GAGAACTCCGATGAAGACACCCAGATAATGCGATTGGAATTTGATTTTCTCTACCATGTAACCAGTGTAGTCGGAGTATGATCGGACAGCGCATGTGCGCCACGCCCCCATAACCCCCTAACAAAACCACCAGAGAAGAGGAGTAGCGTGCGTCTCATCTGCAGAAAAAGTAGCGCATCCATCATGTAGGACAAAAACAACACTATAGGATGCTCCATCTTCTTGCTCCAAAATGCCCAGCAGCAGTTGTAGACCATAGAATGTATATAGAATGGACGCCGTCTGCCTCCTCGCTTGGTGAAGCCACTCCGAGAACAGCACCCTCTGTTGATGGGCTGCAGTATAAATCATAAATCCTGCCTCCTCCAGCAAAGCTTATGGAGCTGTGGACAAACTTTACAAATTAATGACACAGAATATAAATGTTTCTCCCCCCTGCTTGTGATGTTGACATGTAGTTACTGTTTTTCTGTCCATTTTTAAAAGTTATTAGGGGTTTCATGTTTTCTATGATTGACACTTGATACAGCTTATGGGTGTCTGAAGATAGCATAGCTCACCCGGGGGATACGCTGTTTGAGCAGAGCGTCATCACAGCGACTCTCTGTGACTCTCCTGCTGAATGCGTACAACGCTACTGCGCAATGTTGGTTTCAGGAAATGGAGAAAAATCGCAGACATACCGAGAACTTTTCAGCTTCAAGTCTGTATACTGGCAGAAGGCGGAACCAAGTTGTCCATCCTATATACAGTCTATGTTGTAGACACTTCTGGCGTTTGGCACAGACCTGCTGTTGTTGTAGACGGTTGTATGGGGTCGGAAACAGCGTTGCTGAAAAGACCCATATCGCCCCCTAGTTTTGGGAAGGAGGACACGTTCACGTCAATAATTTGATTTTCTTAGCAGCATGTATATAAGGACAAGGAGAGAAGTCTGATTCTGCAGAAAAAAAAGAAGTATGAGTTTAGTCTGATTAAACTGTGCATGTAAACACACTGAGTGAGAACAGAGTTTTCCTGCTGAATCTGACCGGCAGACCTGACCCCTGACAGAATCTGGTCCTGCTGTTTTCTATGTAGATCAGTTCCCTAAATGTGGCGTTTGGGTGACAGTAGATAAACAGGTTCCTCACTGTATGTGTCAACTTCAAATTGGAGATGATCGTTTTTGTTTTAATTTTGAGAGGAAATCCTGTTTAGTTTATCTGTATTTTCCAACTCTGCAGCAGGACCGGTTCACCCTGACCCTCACAATTGAAGTTCTCACCTGTTCTTAAACTCTCGTACCTGTGAGTCCCCCAGACCCGGGTCTGTGCTGAACCCCCTCTGGTCTGGGTTTTTTCAGACCCAGCAGCAGCTCAGCCTTCAACAGCTCCTGATGAACCTCAGCGGACGAAAAGACAGGCCATCTCTGCAGAACCCTCAGCGCTGGACCCGTCCCAGCTCACCGATGTCACGCTCACCAGCTACTGCAAGACCAAAGAGTGAGCCCGCTATACAACACACACACACAAAACACACACACGTGCTGTGTTTACCTGTGTGACCCCTCTGTGCTCCTGCAGGTCCAGAGAGTTGATCCAGAGAGCTCTGATGGACAACGACTTCATGAAACACCTGGAGCACGGACAGGTAAGGACACACGTGGGGATATCCTCCTCTTCATGTGTGTTTGTGTGTGTGTGTGTGTAAGATGTGTGTCCTGTGTGCAGATCCTCACCATCATGGACTGTATGCACCCCACCTGTCTGGACAAAGGCTGCTGCGTCATCCAGGAGGGGGATGACGGCTCCATGGTCTACGTCCTGGAGGGTGAGGTTCTTGACCCCGCTCTCTGCTCCCACCTGTCCTGTCTCACCTCAGCAGTCCTCTCGAAAAAAAGCCAAACTAGCTGCTGCAACAAGGAGGGTCCTCATGATCCAAGTCCAGTAAAAGTTCTACTCCAAATTAGGGCTGGGCGATATGGGAAAAAGTTTATCACTATATATTTTTTTCATATCAATCAATATCGATATATATCAGGATATAAAAAATGAAATTCAACAGTGCTTATTGGTAGCATGTCTTTTCCAATACAATGATCTACTGCATCTGTGAGGTCTTTGTGTCTCTTTGACGTTTTGTCGTAAGGCATTGCTCTTGAGAAAGTGGACTGAATGGTCGTCTGTTTCAGCTGCACAAGCGTCATGGGCTCCTTGCTCCTCTCGGGGTTTGTAACCTTTTGCGTTGCGCGTGCTCCGCGGCGTGGCACTGCTTCAGGTGGTGAAAATGATTTGAGGTATTCCCCGACTTTGTGAGAACATGTACGCAACATAATCTGCAGCACACATTACTCTGCTTCATGTCCGACCTCAAAAAACCAAAATATCTCCACACCACCAACATTTTCGTGCCAGTGTTGTCGACTCTGTCATCATCTGTTGAGCCCTCATTGTCATTTCTGTTGGGGGTAGCACTCATTTTCTTTTTTTCTCACCAACAGTGCTGTCAATTTTTTTTTTTTTTTGTCTGTGTCTCTGATTCTGGAGTTTTCTCAGATTTGTTCTGACCCGTCCAATCACAGTCTTACCGGCAATTTCCACAGCTACCAAAAGGCTGTATCCGCCGATCGTAGCTGATCGTAACCATTCAAGTTAACATGTCAATTTCCACTGACTTCTTTCTTTTCCTCTGTGGATCGCCGGACTCCACAGCAGATTGCAAGAGTTCTATTTTTCCTGACGCCGGAGCATTTCGGATAAATTTAGCACAGATTAACTCGTGCTGGAAAGGAAGTCGGGCACAGACACAAAATAAAACATCCGGCTGCTTTTCAAAATAAAACACCCCGTGTTTCCCCGGGAGGGGAAGGTTTACCCGGGATTTCCACCAGAATGGCCACGATGTTCGCTGTACGCTAACTCCTACTGGATCCGTTTGTGAGGTGAATTTCATGGCGTATTACGGAGAGCATGAATCACAAGAACTCAAAGAAATGCACGGATTTACGTGCAATCGCGCAATAACAAGTTGTCTCTATAAAGACAGACACATAGACATATAAGCAGTAGATTGTGTTGTTCCAGAGGAGGAAATCTACTTCTAGACTTCTAGAATCAGCATCTCCTCACCCATGGTGTCATCGGGGGGGGGGAAATGACGTCTAAAAAACTTTCATTTGTTCATCTCCGCCCGTTTGTATGGTGTGAAATACGATCCACCTGAAAATTTGAGTGTTTGATTTTGAAAAGAAGCCGGATGTTTTATTTTGTGTCTGTGCCCGACTTCCTTTCCAGCACGGGTTAATCTGTGCTGAATTTATCCGGCATGCTCCAGTGTCTGGAAAAAAATAGAACTCTTGTGATCAGCTGTGGAGTCTGCCGATCCACAACAGAACGGAAAGAAGCCGGTGGAAATTGACACATTCACTTGAATGGCTACGATCAACTACGATCGGAGGATACAACCTTTTCATAGCCGTTCAGGATGCGGTGGAAATTGGACTTAAGGATGCAAAGATGACTAAACCTGCAGAAAAAAGCCACCTAACCAACCTTTAAAATGTCTGCTGTTGGATTGAACATTTCCAAAACTCATTTCTGCAACCGCTCTCTGAGCGACTCAAGTTTGCATCTTTAAAGTCTCAAACTGCTAATTTCTGTTTATTCAACTCCAGTTTATCGTTTCTTTAACTGTCCTGATCCAGGTGTTCTCCATACACCGGATTCTTGACAAACCTGAGGCCATGAAAACGCTCCTCAGATCCTCCTTCATGTCTCAGACTATGAGCTGGGAAAACAAAGACGGTGGTAATGAAGACAAACTGTCCTCTGCCGCTCGTTCCTGCGCAGTGAGACGGAAATAATCAGAGGTGAAAAGTGGAGTGATGTGGACGGACAGCTCATTTATCTGAGAGGAGATCAAACAGAGAAAGCAGCAGGATGGGACAGGTTTGATCAGTCTGCTGAGGTGTGGAGATCAAACTCTGCAGCGGTCACATGTTCCTGACACCTCCACTCCTCTGTCAACACGCGCTTTTTGTCCTTTAGTCTCAAGGACCGCCACTCTGTCTCTCTCTTTTTGTCTGCTGCTGTCATGTCAGTTCTCTGAAGAGCTGCTCAAACACCTCTGACGCTGTTCAGTATGTACGTTTGTGCAGACATGCAGCGTCTCAGTCCAGGACACCTTTATGTCCTCTACAGCGTCTGATATGATCTTAAAAATGTCAGAGAACATGTGTTGGAGACATTTATCCCATTTCCTCGGATCCATCCTGTCTCCTTTAGAAAGGCTCGACATATTGGCAGGAGCAGAACAATGTATAAAGAGCTGCTCCTCTGAAAATAGAGGTTATCTAAAAAAAAAAATAAAAAAAAAACCTTTTTCTGCAGAAAACCACCAGGATAAGGAACTAATGGAAGTGGATTTCTGTATCTGAAGCTACGTTTCCTCTCTGATGACAGTTTCTCTTCTTCTCCCAGAGCAGCCTTATGTAACTGGTTGTATTTTTATCTTTGAAGGTGAAGCTCTTGTACAGTTTGGAAATGATGCCTTCAGAGTGTCTGAATAATAATTATCGATGAATAACTGAGTTAGTTTGAGAAAAATAAGCCGAGACAGACCTAACCTGACTCACCTGACCCCCTACAGGCTTTTATTTTGCAGGGTTAGTGTCCTTCAAATTAAAGCTCTTCTTTACATGTCATGCAGGTTCAAGCAGAAAAAAAAGAGTTTCAAGTCCACATTCAAAAAGCTGTAAACTCTATTTTCTGACGATTTCAGGAGACTGAATCTACTTTAGTGATTGGAAGATAAGTTCTTTTGACTGTACTGAATCTTTAGAATCCGTTCATTAAAACGATTTGTTCAAAAGATTCGTTTACTGAATCAGTCAGTGTTTCGGAGCCTCGTCTCGTCAGTGCAGTACACCAGTGAGTGACACAGCAGCGAGTTCATTCATTGGACATAGAATAGATAGAATAGAATATTCCTTTATTGATCCCCCATGGGGGAAATTTTTTTGTCACAGCAGCATCACAGACAAAGAGTGCAAAAATGCAGTGATAAAAAGAAAGATCGTTATATTAAGAACTTAAATAAATGTAAGAATTAAGAAAAAATTTAGAAAAAGGGAGAAGAAAAATAAAACTATCTACAATATACACAATTTAAGTACCAGAAAAAAGTGGTGGTGTGAGTCCAGTTATTATTGCAGTTCGTTGTAAAGTCTTATTGCAGAGGGAAGGAGAGACCTGCGGTAGCGCTCCGTTCTGCAAGGTGGGAGTCTCAGTCTGCTGCTGAAGGAGCTGCTTAAGGCCCCCACAGTCTGGTGCAGTGGGTGAGAGGGATTGTCCATGATGGATACAAGCTTTGCTAACATCCTCCTCTCACCCACCTCCTCCAGGGAGTCCAAAGAACAGTCCAGGACAGAACTGGCCCTCCTGACCAGTCCGTTCAGTCTCTTCCTGTCCCTCTCGGTGCTTCCTGCCCCCCAGCAGACCACTGCATAGAAAAGTGCAGATGCTACCACAGAGTCATAGAAAGTCCTGAGCAGAGTCCTGCACACTCCAAAGGACCCCAGTCTTCTCAGCAGGTGGACACGACTTTGGCCCTTCTTGTACAGGACGTCTGTGTTGGTTGACCAGTCCAGTTTAGTGTTGAGGTGGACACCCAGGAATCTGTAGGACTCCACCATCTCAATGTCCAGACCCTGGATGTTCACTGGAACAGTCTGAGGTGTCCTCCTCCTGCGGAAATCCACAACCATCTCCTTTGTCTTACTGGCGTTGAGCTGGAGGTGGTTTGTGCCACACCAGCTGACAAAGTCAGTGATGACAGTCCTGTATTCCCGCTCATCCCCTGACGATACACATCCGACAATGGCTGTGTCATCAGAGAACTTCTGGAGGTGACAGCTCCCAGAGTTGTAGCTGAAGTCTGAGGTGTACAGGGTGAAGAGGAAGGGGGAGAGCACTGTCCCCTGTGGAGCCCCCGTGCTGCAGACCACCATGTCTGACACACAGTTCTGAAGCCTCACAAACTGTGGTCTGTCAGTGAGGTAGTCCACGGTCCATGCAGCTAGGTGACAGTCCATTCCCGCCCTCTCAAGCTTCCCCCTGAGCAGTGAAGGCTGGATGGTGTTGAAAGCATTGGAGAAGTCAAAAAACATGACCCTCACAGTGCTGCCGGTATTCTCCAAGTGGGCCATGGACCTCTGCAGCAGGTAGAGGACTGCATCGTCCACCCCGATGTTTGGCTGGTACGCAAACTGCAGAGGATCCAGATGAGAGCTCACCAAGAGGCGGAGGTTCCTCAGCACAATCCTCTCCAGAGTCTTCATCAGGTGAGAAGTGAGGGCCACAGGTCTGAAGTGGTTGGGCTCCCTGGGGTGGGCTGTCTTGGGGACAGGAATCACGCAGGAAGTCTTCCACAGTGCTGGGATCCTCTCCAGACTCAGGCTCAAGCTGAAGATGTGCAGTAGCACCTCACAGAGCTGGTCTGCACAGTCCTTCAGGAGTCTGGAGCTGATGCCGTCAGGACCCGTGGCCTTCCTTGGCTTCATCTTCCTCAGCTCACTTCTCACCTGGTCAGCTGTTATGGAGAGGCTGGGGGTGGTGCTAGAGGGGGTGGTGGAGGATGAGTGGAGGGTGGTTGATGATGCCGGTGCCATGGGACTGAGGTGGTGTGAAGAAGAAGCAGACAGGTTGTTGGTTTGATGAGTCGGGGGAGAAGTGGGAGCAGAGTCAAATTTATTGAAGAACAGATTCAGCTCGTTGGCCCACTCCCTGTCTCCTGCTTCAGGTCCCCTCTCGTGGCCCCTGCTATGACCTGAGATGGATTTCAGGCCTCTCCAGACCTCCCTCGCATTGTTCTGTTGCAGAAGGTTTTCCATCTTGGTCTTGTAGCTGGCCTTTCCCTCTCTGATCTTCTTCTTCAGCTCCTTCTGCACCCTCCTCAGCTCCTCCTTGTCCCCGGATTTAAAGACCCTCCTCTTCTCCTTCAGGAGGACTTTCAGTTCCGGGGTCACCCAAGGTTTGCTGTTGGAGAAACACCGTACTTTCCTGGTGGGTACGGTGTTCTCAACACAGAAGTTTATATAGTCCGTGATACAATCTGTCATGGTGTCGATGTCATCACCATGTGGGCCGCACAATACATCCCAGACTCCTGCAGCGCCTCAGTGGCCTCCTCAGACCAACTCTTAACATACCTGATGGTGGGGGGTTGTTTCTTCACCATAGGTATGTAAATGGGCTGCAGTCTCACCAGGTTGTGATCTGAGCGGCCCAGCGGGGGGAGGGGGGAGGAGGTGAATGCATCCTTGGTGTCTGCATACAGTAAGTCCAAAGTTTTATTGTCTCTTGTTGGGCAGTTTACATACTGGCTGAAGGTAGGGAGAGTGGAGGAGAGCGATGCATGATTAAAGTCTCCAGAGATGATGATCAGAGACTGAGGGTGTGATGTTTGTAGCTTGGACACTTCACTGTGGAGGAGTTCACAGGCTGCAGCAGCATCAGCCGAGGGGGGGATGTAAACAGTTAACGCGATGACGTGCGAAAACTCCCTCGGCAGGTAATATGGCCGCAAACTCACAGCCAGCAGCTCAATGTCCTTAGAGCTGTGCTAGTGCTCTTTAACACTGATGTGCCCAGCATTACACCATCTCTCATTCACATACACCGCTATCCCGCCTCCTTTCTTCTTACCACTCTCCCTCATGCTCCGGTCCGCTCTGACGAGGTGAAATCCGTCCAAAGTTACGAGCGGGTCCGGAGTGAGTTCGTTCAGCCATGACTCCATGAACATCATGAGGCTGCATTCCCGGTACTCCCACTACAGCTGAGTCAGCGCTGTGAGCTCTTCCATCTTGTTGGGGAGAGACCTCACGTTTCCCATGATGATGGATGGGACAGTTGGTTTATAACATCTCCGCTTTGCCCGATGCTGAACTCCAGCTCTGCATCCTCTCCTTCTCCTGCGGAGCTTGGCGGGGATGTCGGGTTTCTCCCGACAGTTCAGTTTTTTTGAATGAAACGTTCATGAACGACACAACACTAATCTACTTGTCATGTGTCTGACTATAATTATCAACGTTGGGGTTTACTTAGTGTCTATACAACAAGGATTCACTTTATAGAAAAAACAGTTTCTTTTTGAAGGGCGTCTTTTAGACATAAAACAGTCGATCTAATGTTTTAAATCCATCTGTTTGGAGAAATCGATGGAGCGCCTCATTATCACATTATCACTGAGGGTGCCCAATGCAGTGGTCCTCAACTGGTCTCACTCTGGGACCCCATTTTCCAATGGTCCTTCAGTCGCGACCCACTTTTATAAAATTCAAACCAAGAAAATTCATTTTTTATAAAAAAGAAAAAATGTTTAAAGACTCAACTCTTTGACACAAATACACCCGCATTTCAGAGCACATGAACTGAGGACGACAACTGCTGAAGTTGCATATACAGAAAATATTAAATATCGAATTGCACAAAAGAAGATATTTTTCAAACTAATAGACATGTCAAACATCAGATGCACATTAAATATTTACTTTTTTGACCAGCTGTTTGTGACCCATCCAGAACGTGTCCACGACCCGTTTTTGGGTCGGGCCCCACCAGTTGAGAACCTCTGCTCTAATGTTATTCCTGCAGGATTATCACATTTTTAAGTACATCAGTCCTTTTATAAACACGCTGATCATTGCTTTATCCTCTGTTCACAGAGGGGATGGTCGAAGTGACCAAACAGGGACAGAAACTCTGCACCATCGGGCCGGGAAAAGTCTTTGGAGAGCTGGCCATCCTCTACAACTGCACACGCACAGCCACAGTGACAGGTGAACACACACACACACACACACACACACACACACACACACACACACACACACACACACACACACACACATACGCTCTACTGTCTGATAATCGTCAGTTTGAGGCTCAAAGGCGGTGAAAATAGCTCATCTGTCTGCTCCACAATGGACCAGTCGACCCTAACATCCTCGCTGAAGGCCACTTCATCCGTCAGAGCTGCTGCAGAGAAAAAAAGGTTTGAACGGTTTCATAAATGTGCAAAGACCGTCAGTTTCATTCATCCTCTGATTATGAAATTCACAAACATGGTAAGAAGAGCTGGACATCAGAAACAACGTTGGAAATCGTCTCTGGATGATTCCAGTAGATCAGAAAAATCCGTTCTTGTTTCATGTCTGAAACAGTTTTGGTTGCAGATTGAAAACGGTCAAACCATCACTGCATGGACCCACTACACCCACAAAAGCCAGCGTGTGTCTCTGACCGCTCCAGCATCCATGAAATGCCTCCATGTGTTTGATTCCTCTGTTTGGAAACCACAGAAAACTAAAGGAACTCCTGGACACTGAGAACAGTGATGTTGAATCTGCAGGGAGTGTGCAGACACAAACACCAGATACTTTCCCACAGATGTCGTCCATTCATGGGGGGATAACATAGGCTGTGTCCGAAATGAATCACTCAGTCCCTGACCCCTAACCCCCATATGGGGTTTTACGATATAGTTAACTATGTAGTGAACTCAATCACCAGAGGTTTCAGACACTACAATGCATGACGGGATGCCCACCACCGATGAGTGACCATCGGATGGTCACTACATTTTGCAATGCTTTATGGGAAATTTTGAGTCGCCTATATAGGGCACTGGAATTGATCACTCAGGTTTCGGACACCCCTCAAAATTGTGCCAACCCCCATATAGTCACCTATATAGGGGTTAGGGATCAATTTCGGACACACCCATAGACTGTATTTGGACAACTTGGATCGCCTACCGCCTGTATATGGATTTGAAGCCAAAAAGCTCTCTGTATTTCCGCGATTTTTCTTCATTTCCTGAAACCAGTGCTGCGCAGTAGCAATGTGCGCATTCGGCAGGAGAGTCGCTGAGAGATGTTGTGATGACGCTCGGCTCAAACAGCATATCCCCCGGTGTGTTACGCAATCCCTGAATGCCCATAGGCTGTATCAGATGTCAATCATAGAAAACATGAACCCCCTAATAACTTTTAAAAATGGAGCTGTACAGAAAAAAAGAGGACTTGAGCACAAACCAGTCTGACAGTAACTACATGTCAACATCACAACCAGGGGGGAGAAACATTTATATTCTGTGTCACTAATCTATAAAGTTTGTCTACAGCTCCATAAGGAGGCGGGATTTATGACCTATAATGCAGCCTGTCACCAAAGGTTGCTGTTCTCAGAGTGGCGTCACCCAGCGAGGAGGCAGACTCTGTCCATTCTATATACAGTCTATGGGAGATAAGTTAGTGGACATCAGTGTGGACTTTATAAACCTCACTGGAGAGTCAGCTGTGGTCACTGATGGTGTCTGAGAGAGCAGAAGACGTCCAGCTGAAGGAGAACTAAAGTCAGCATTACATAGAGATGTGGACGTGTCTGAAAGTTCAGGAAATCATCTCCTGAGGGTTTTCTATACTGGCGCTCTCTAGCTACTTTATCTCTACGTCGAATGTATCAGTTTTAGAAATGTAGGTTTTGTCTTAACCCTAGAACACTATCACTAAAATAAGTAACTGTGACTATCGCTATTGGGTGATTTTTACCCAAAATAATATACCCAAGAAAAAGTATTTGTCATCAAAATATTCCAAAATAGGACAAAACATGACAAATTAAAGTAGTTTTATTTAGTTTTTAACTGTGCAATGTCCAAAAGGAGGAAAAAAAGTGCCATGAGGGGACCATGTAAAAATGCAACAAAATAACTGAAATAAGGCATTCATGAACAAAAAAATCCTAATACATACACACACACACACACACACACACACACACACACATATATATATATATATATATATATATATATTAACTGTAGTTAGTTTCTTTTCCCCCCATTCCTGGGGCATGTTAGTCTTCCCTGGTGAAGACTCAGGGTCCTTGGCACAATAACAGCTGCAGGAGAGAACCAAAATATGGCAGATTTGGAGTGAGTAAAAATGATCATATGAATTCCCTTGAAAATCACTACTTTGTGATAGTTATTCATAACCACTGCACTACATTAAGATAGCATGTAAATTCCAAGTCGACTCTTACTGACCTTATTCCCTACATGCAGCTATCAAATCCACCCAAACCTACTTTACCCTTTATCACTATTGCTGGGTGAAAATCACCCTGTGAACACATGCCTGTGGGAAAAAGCAGGTTTTGGATCAGGGAAACAAATATGCCTTCAAAGATGTCAAAGGAAATGCTGAAGTTACCCAGGGACACATGATACTCAGACAAACGCAACATCATGAAAATCATGTAAACATGTTTGGTCGGGTGAAAATCACCCGGCGATAGTGTTCTAGGGTTAAAGTCACATTCTCCTGGTTATATCTGCACAGAGATGTCTGAAGGTCTTTTGCATACAGAGACAGCTCCAGGACATGTTTTAGGAGAAAACTGTAAAGATGTTTGTTTCAGACCTCCAACCTTCACCTCGGTGCTGACTGATGCTGCAGAGCTCTGCATGTTTCCTCTCTGCATCTCATCTCTTTATCCTGCAGGCTGTCAGATGATGGATGGACTTTATCTGATTTCTCTCGGTGTGTTTTTCACTCTGAAGTCTTGGCAGGATTCAGAGACCATGATGGAAACAACTGTGAGCATGTTTTGCACCTTGTGAAGAGGATTTGATCACAGTTATTCAGAAACAATCAGATGGATCTTTAAAAATATTTAGCTCTGAAAGGAAGACAGACCTGAGCTCACCCTCTCTCTCTCCGTGAATCAGCGTCCTTGAGCCTTTTAGCGTCGTTATAGTGATCGAAAAAGGAGAGGATGAAACTGCAGAGAAACACAAACATCAGCTCATCCTGATGTGGGAAATGTTCATTTAGAGTCGGCTGTACTGATTTATCTGCACAGGAACAGGAAGTTTTTCAGCGTCCACACTTGTTCACATGGACGTTAACGACTGACCAGTGAGAGACAGAAAATAAGACACAGACAGAAGAGCAGAAGATGGAAGAGGAGTGAAAGATACAGATGGATGGAGTTAGAGATAGAGAGATGAAATAAGGAGAGAGGTGGAGAGCGGGGTGGGGTGGGGTGGGGTTAAAGAACATGGTATCATCTGCATAATACAGGAGTAAACTGGGGTGGCCGAGAACTGCCACTGTTGCAAATAAAAAAGTGCAGAAAAATAGAAGTTACACCAGAAATTAGCGATGCAAAAAAGAGAAAACGACGCACACTGCAATTTAAAAAAGAAACGGTGCAGATAAAAAAAAGCCACAACCTAAGTTAACGACACAAAAAAGTGGCGATGCAAAAAAATAAAAAGGTACTTAACTGCGAAAATAAAAGGATGCCAATAAAAAAAAAAAAACACAATGGAAGTGAGCTGCTGGGGACCACTAATGATGATGCACTGGTGTTCTACAATCCAGGCACAAAAGACGACAGCGAGAAGACGAGCAAAGAAGTAAGTGGAAAGGTTTTTGTTGAGTTTCAGTTCAACTTTATATCAACTCAGGCGCTACGTGGTCTAACCACATGACACGTTGAAAATCGCAAGGAGTGAAATTCAACAATAACCTTTCCACTAACTTCTTTGCTCGTCTTCTTGCCGTCTTCTGTGCCTAGATTGTAAAACACCAGTGCATCATCATTACTGGTCTCCAGCAGCTCACTTCCTTTGTGGCTTTCTTTATTTGCATCCTTTTATTTTCGCAGTAAGTACCTTTTTTTTTTTCCATCGCCACTTTTTTTTTTTTTGCGTTGTTAATTCCCGTAGTGGCTTTTTTCAAATCTGCACCGTTTTTTTTATTTGCAGCAGCAGCAGCAGCAGCAGCGATTCTCGGCCACTGTAGTAAACCAAAGGAGTGGATAACTGCACTAAGATTGAGTCATTAATAAAAGAAGAGGACCAAGAACTGACCCTGGAGGCACTCCTGCTGATAGACAATGTGGTTTAGATTCTCTGAAAGATATTCTTTGAGGTAGGACCAAAACCACTGGGGTGCAGATCCAGAGAGTCCTGGTATTTTGTGTTTGAAGTAATGTTTTAAGTGTGATCTTTAATATAGTTTTAAAATCTCTCTTTGTAGAGACTTTCCATAACAAACCTGGATTTGCCCGTTTCTGAGTACATGGACTAAAAGCTGTGTACAGACTAAAAATAATAATAATAATGCATCAGATTTCATATAGCTCTTTATCAGAGACCTTCAAAGGGTTTTACATTGGATCCATCATTCATTCGCTCACACAGTCACACCCTGGTGGTGGTAAACTATCTTAGTAGTCACAGCTAACCTGGGGCAGACTGATGGGAACATGGCTGCCAGTTTGTGCCTACGTCCTCTCCAACCACCACCACATAACACTTACAATCAAACACCAGTGGAGGACACACACTGGAAGCAAGGTGGGTTAAGTGTCTTGCCCAAGGACACAACAGACAGACTCGGGATAGGGGGGAATCAAACCGCCAACCTTACAGTTATTGGACAACCTATCTATCTCCTGAGCTACTGCCGCCCCACAATAAAACCATATCTCTTTTTTTTCATGAATGGTAAGTTGTTTTGTTTTTTTGTCAAATCCTGGTTTCTCAGTCTTTGTCTGTCACTGTAGCTCTAACGGACATCAAGCTGTGGGCGATCGACCGTCAGGGTTTCCAGACCATCATGATGAGGACCGGTCTCATCAAACACTCCCAGTACACGGACTTCCTCCGCAGGTACAGCTGACTCAAACGCTGAGGTGTTCAGAGCTCTCTGATGGTCAGCAGGACTCACCTCTCTCTCTGTCTCTCTCTCTCTTGCTCTCCTCCCAGCGTCCCCTCCTTTCAGACTCTACCCGAGGACATCCTCAGTAAACTGGCTGATGTTTTGGAGGAGGTGAGGACATCTATGTTCAGCTCTTAGTTTTGAGTGTCTGTTCGTCTTCTTCCTGACTGACTGATGATGAGAACTGTCCTAAAGGCAGGATTCTCATCTCTCTGTCTCTCCAGACTCATTACAGCGACTCTGATTACATTATCCGTCAGGGCGCCACCGGAGACACATTCTTCATCATCAGCGAAGGACAGGTGAGGAAGACAAATGGTGAGACAGTGACGGCTTATTCAGAGGGAAACACAGAATAATTACCGCAGAGGGAGGATGGAGAAAAATGATGGTTTAACTCTGTATCCTCAATGTCACCTGAAATTAAAACTAAGACTGAGAAACATCAAAAATAAACTCTTCAATAAAATCATAAAACTAATAAATACTTTAGGATTTCTGTTTTGGAGTGAGGGAATTAAAAAAAGTATGGTGTGTCTGTAAAAAAAAAAAAAAAAAGCTGTCCAATGAGAAAAAGTCTGATGTAAGAAAAAATTCAACATTCAAAATTATGAGATTTAAAAGTTAAAATATGACAGACTGAGATTTAGGACAATAACAAAGTCAAAATTATAGATTTATGATTCAAAACTGCAACAAATAAATTAAAATAAAACACTGTTTGCAAAACTTAAATGAGATCAAAAAGTTATATAAATAAGAAAGAAAGTTACATAGATGAGATAAAATAGTGTAATATTATGATAAAGTTAGGAAGACAAAATAAAGTTATACAGATGAACGGTAGAATAAAGTTGAAAAGACTTTGAAAAAAATTCAATACAGTAGATAAAATAGTTTGATGATATAATAAAGTTGAAAAACAAAATAAAGTTATATAGATGAAATAAAAGTTAAGTAGATCTAAATTCTGATTGATTTAATTTATGTCATTGTGACTTTTTCATTTTAGATTTATGACTTTTTATCTCATCTCTCTAACTTTTTGTTATATTTTTACTGTTTTTCCTCCTAAATTTGGATTTCTGTCTCATTTGGAGGAACTTTTTTTCTCATTTTGTCCTTTGAACAACATTTTAAATGTCAAAAGTCCTCAGTATGCCTCTTTATCTCGCCATGATAACTGACATTTATCATAACTGTTTTTATCCAATTATGACTGTTTAAAATCTCATCATGATGATTAAAACTTTTTATCTCATTTCATTTTCTCATCTCATGTCGACTTTTGGACTTTTTACTCCGTCACTATGACTACTAATTTTGTTTTTTTAACTTTCTGGATCATGAGTTTATTTTTATTTTTTTTACCTTCAGTGTTATCTCATGATGTTTTTTTTAACATGAAAACAGTGACTTTTTGAATCAGGGTCATTTTTATCATTATGAATAAATCTGTAAATATTTCTCAGCGTGACTCTTTTTTTTCCTTTATGTATCTGTAAATGAGCCTCCGTACTTAAACTTTTATTTCTGATATGAAAATAAATGATGAACCAGCAGGTAAACGCCGCATTCACCTGTGTGGTCCGCAGGTGAAGGTCTCGCAGCAGAACTTGGTGGGTGACGAGCCGGAGACGGTGAAGACTCTGTCCAAAGGGGACTGGTTTGGGGAGCAGGCTTTGAAAGGGTCAAACACTCAAACACACAAACAAACTGAGAATTATGGGGAAATTGTCTCTGACTTTACTCCAAAATAATCCCGCTCTTCTTCTGTCTTTGTCTCTTCAGCGAGGACATTCGCACCGCCAGCGTCACGGCAGTGGGAGATGTCACATGTCTGGTCATAGATCGAGAGTGAGCAAGGATCTATGTTCACTTTTTAAATCAGTTTTTACACGCCGGTTCGATCCGTCTTTAAGAGCTCTCTGTGTTCAGACACTCTTTTTTTTTCAGGTCTTTCAAACAGCTGATTGGAGGACTGGATGATGTCAACAGCAAACAGTGCGACAGCGACGAGGTCAAAGCGAAGTGAGCTTATTCAGAGAGTTGAAGAGCTGCTGCTGAAGGTCTGGTGAAGAAGACTCAGTGAAGGTTTCAGAGTAGACCTTTGAGTCCTCCAGACAGAGTCATCTCATATCCCTGTGAATGGAAGAAACATGTCAGGATTTAGAGTATAATAATTCTCAGACTGACTGAGGCATAGGTGACTGACTGGTAAAGGGGCGGAGCTAACCCGCCTGCTCCTTCACAGTATCAAACCATCCACTCTGTCATGTCCCTGGTGGGAGACATCCTGCTGTAATCCTCTACCCTCAGCTTCCTCCTCCTCTAACCTGTTTGCCCAAACCTGTTCACCTACTCTCTTCCATCAGCCACTTGTTTGTAGCAAGACCTCAGGCCAGTCCATTAAGGACTACAGCAGGTTGACACAGCTCAAGGAAGAACATTTATGATCATTTCTTTATCATTTCCTTGAAGTAATAATCATCATATTAATCATTTTCACTGCAGACGCGGTAGTTCTTCTGCCTTAGAGTCTCAGTCTGAATGTATTTCCATGAAGTAATGATCGTAAATGTTCTTCCTTGAGCTGCGTCACTCCGCTGTAGTCCCTAATGGACTGGCCTGAGGTCTCGCTACAAACAAACAGCTGCTGTAGGAGAGTAGGTGAGTTGTGTTTAGTCTCTTTGCTAAAGAAATTAGTCAAAGTTAAAAAGATGTTTGGTGGCTAGTGCTATGGCTGGGACCCTATATGTACTGTTGATGAAGTTAGGTGCGGTTCTGAGCATTATTTGTGGCTATAAAGTGGCGTTTTGCTTGAGCGCGTGACATTCTATATTGCTATTGTGCGGTCGTTACTAAAGTTGGTATGACTAGAGAAGCAAGCGGTCGGCAACATTCATCTCTCGAGGGGTGTCTAACTCAGTGTTACGGTGTGTTTGACCCTAAATTAATTTTACGCCAGAATATCCCTTTAATACCTCTTCTTGTGAAGCACACTCATCTTCTTCATCATCGTCATCATCGGTTATCCTTCACTCTCTCTGTCATGTGCAGGCTGCAGGCGGAGGCAGATTTCTTCTCCAGTGTGTCTCTGAGTGATATCAACATCGTCTGCACTCTGGGGATGGGAGGCTTCAGCCGTGTGGAGCTGGTGGGTCGATGAAGAAACTCTGATGATGTATTCAAACATGTTAATGTGTCTGAACACACGTGTGTGTTTGTGTGTTCAGGTGCAGTTAAAGAACGACACGAGCCGATCCTTCGCCCTCAAAGTGTTGAAGAAGCGTCACATTCTGGATACCAGCCAGCAGGGACACATCCTGTCAGAGCGCTGCATCATGATGGAGGCGCACAGTCCCTTCATCATCAGGTCAGACGGACGCACCGGGTCTCTGAGGACCACTCCAGAGTTCTGTCTAATTTCAATGCTGTCCTGCCTGGGGCCCTAAAGACACTCTCCATTTGGTCTCCTGCAGATTGTACCGGACCTTCAGAGACCCCAAATACCTCTACATGCTGCTGGAGGCCTGTCTGGGAGGTGAACTGTGGACCCTGCTGAGAGACAGGTTGGTCCTGGTTTGTTCTGTTTGGAGTAAAGGTTCTGAGAAAGTCCGTGAAATCCTCAGTGTCAGGATTCTACTCCTAGGGGGTCATTCGATGACGGCACCACTCGCTTCTACACGGGCTGTGTGATCGAGGCTCTGGCTTTTCTGCACTCCAGAGGGATAATCTACAGAGACCTCAAACCGGAGAACATCATCCTTGACCACAGGGGATATGCCAAACTGGTGTGCACATGCAGAATCTGGATACCCAGTCAACATAGATGGGATAATTCTCATAGGACCCCCTCATGTGATGTGTTTGTCTGCCCAGGTGGACTTTGGCTTTGCCAAGAAGGTGGGTCTGGGGAAGAAGACCTGGACTTTCTGTGGTACTCCAGAGTACGTGGCTCCTGAGATCATACTGAATAAAGGACATGACAGCTCAGCAGACTGCTGGTCTCTGGGGATCCTGGTCTTCGAGCTGCTTAGCGGGAGGTAGACCAGCAGACGTTCTGTGAAGCCTGTTTTTCTGTCTTTTATCATTTCTGATGAGTCTCAGTTTCACTGTAAATCCTGAAAGACATCTAACTAAAGCCGTATAATTCTGTATAATTCTAATTATTTTGGGTTTGTCTTGTAGTTAATGGTTCTTTAGTTTTCTTAGAGGTGGTGTAGTCAGGATCAGAGGAAGTTCCAGTTTTTAGGAGAAATCTTGAATGTAAACTCTACCCCTCCCAACCAGTTTTCCCCTCAGCTCCTCCTCTCCCCTCCCGCTCTGCTCCAACAAGCCCCACCCACAAACAGACGCTCCTACCAGCTCGTATCGTTCCAATTAAATTCAGATATAATGCAGATAAATACTTCAGATAATTACAAATGGGGCCCAGTCAAGGTGAAAGTCAAAAGCATTGGTGCTACTGTAGATGCCAACAGACTACCAGCAAACACAATGTTTGCAGGACTTCTACAACTAGGATAAAGGGACATAGTCCAGGACCTGAGGTCAACAGTTTAGCTGCACTACAACACGCTACAGCAGGTCCCGTTTGACAAGAAACACTTCTGTTACAGACACTTTGTTTACTTTGTCAAAGCGATTTACCTGTCCAGCAGAAAGTTAACAGGGTCCGCAAGATTCCGAAGCATCCCCCGTCGTTTATGTTGACCCAGCTTTAAGCTCTTGTCCGGTCTACCTCCGTTTTAAGCGCCCGTTATTCCGCCAGAGTCTCTGGTATTTACTTTGTTTTTTTGCTTGTGTTGGGAGTCGCGGCAAAAGGAGGATTCAGACAATTTTCCGAACTTTCTGGTTGGTTTCTACTGTCTGATATTGTAGCACACTAACTTTGTTTGGGCTCCTGAACGACACGGGGAAGCAGCGTCTGCCTCACAACCAATCAGGTTGAGGAGATGGAGAATGGCTTTATTTACAATCAGAAAGAGCAGACCGCTCAAAAATGTTAAAATGTTGACTTCACAGACATAATAGCGAACACAGCGATATTGTTATTTTACTAAATGATCATCGATAACTAATAACTATTGACTGGTATTAAAAGCATTTCTGTAAATACACAAAAAAAATATACAAAAAAAGATTCTTCTTTAACGGAATCCTGCCGACCCCATCTTTAAATGAGGTGATGATTCAGATTCTTGGTGAGTCTGAGTTTCACTGTCAGGAGAAAGTTTAACAAAAGCCTCAAACTCGACCACTAAAGCAAAAGAAAACAGGTCTAAGGTTTCTAAAAAATAACATCAGGATTCAGATTCCCAGTGAGTCCCAGTTTCACGTTAAATACCAAGTTACACCAAGACCCCACACGTAACGATTTAATGAGGAAACCTGTATTCTTGAGATAAACAAATCTCAGGTAACCAAAAACAGCAACAGAGTCTTAGTTAGTGGAAGTGGTTTGGGTTCAGGAGAGGATAAATCTAATTTACTGGCTGTTTTTAGTCCCCCATTTTCTGGATCAGACCCCATGAAGACCTACAATATCATCCTGAGAGGCATCGACATGGTGGAGTTCCCGAAGAAGATCACAAAGAGCGCCGCTAACCTCATCAAACGGCTCTGCAGGTTTTCAGAAAATCATAAATGTACAGAAATGTCAAAAACACACAAAAAAACATGTCTGCTCATGTGCTCGTGTTTTCTACAGAGACAATCCTTCAGAGCGACTGGGGAACCAGAAGAACGGCGTCAAGGACATCCAGAAGCACAAGTGAGGATGGAAAGCTGCTTTTATTACTGTTTCCATGGCAGATGATGCTATTGTCATGGCAACGTGTTGCTGTCCTTCAGGTGGTTTGAGGGCTTCAACTGGGACGGACTCCGACGGGGAACCATCGACTCTCCATACACGCCCAGTGTGAGTGTTGATCAGTGTCTCAGCGAGGTCAAAGTTCACAGGTGAGAAAGTTGACCTCCTGTGTTCTTCTTCTTCAGGTGGACGGTCCGCTCGACAACAGCAACTTTGACTTTTTCCCTGAGGACACGGACGAGCCTCCTCCTAACGAGGAGTCTGGATGGGACCTGGAGTTTTAGTGTAAACCCTTTAAAAAGGACTCTGAGGAGAGAGGAAGTCCAGCTGCGCTAAAACATTTTTTATTTACTGCTCATAAAACTTTTTATCTCTCATCAGCCTCTGTCTGAAACGCTTATCTGTGGATGCTCTTTTAGCTGATTTATAATTATGCTGCGGAAACAAGATAGCTATGTCTAGGAAAGTTATTTTAGAGCTTGCCTTATATGCTGACAAGGCAACTTTTGTAGATGCAGCCATCTTGTTTCCGCCTCCAATTTGCTTTTTTTTTACTTGGTAGCCTAACTGAAACCGTAGGGACTCGGACATCTGACTTCCGAGGTAACTTAAACGCAGCATTAGACACAGCTGTGGGTGTTACTTTTTACACAGATATGTTGTCACGAAACAACCTGAAAGTTGTGCCGATAGAAGATTTAGCCACGTTAGCATATGTTAGCTGTCATTCCGTTATCTGCTGTTGTAGTGTTTCTTCCAGTTTGTGTCTCTGAGCTTCATGAAGGTCTTCAGAGACACAGAGCTCCAGGTTTCACTGACAGCTGAGACTCAAATCCAGCTTGTACTGGTCTTGGTTTATGAAGGAGTCCTTACGGTGACTGAGAGCTGCCACTGCTGCAAATAAAAGAAGAATGCAAAAAAAGAAAGGAGCCACAACGGAAATTAACAATGCAAAAAAATGCCGATGGGGAAAAAAAAAGGTTACTTACTGTAAAAGTAAAAGGATGCAAATAAAAGAGCCACAAAGGAAGTGAGCTGCCGGGAACCAATAATGACGATGCACCGGTGTTTTACGATCTAGGCTCAGAAGATGTTGGCGAGAAGACGAGCAAAGAAGTAAATGGAAAGGTTATTCGTTACTCGGTTTTTGCTTCAGTTTAACTTCATATGGACTCAGGCGCTACATAGTCTAACCAAATGACACATTAAAAAGTTTACGATGTGAAATTAAACAATAAACTTTCCACTAACTTCTTTGCTCGTCCTATCGCCATCATCTCCTGTGCCTAGATCATAAAACACCGATCATCATTATTGGTCCACGGCAGCTCACTTCCATTGCAGCTTTTTTATATTTGCATCCTTTTATTTTCGCACTAAGTAACTTTTTTTTCCATCATCACTTTTTTTGTGTCGTGGACTTCCGTTGTGGCCTTATTTCTTTTTTTTTATCTGCACTGTTTCTTTTTTTATTTGCATCAGTTACTTCCGTTGTGACTTCTTTTTTTTTTTCATTCTTCTTTATTTGCAGCAGTGGCGGTTCTTGGCCGCTGTAAGTCCTGAATCAGAGATGGGTGCAAACATTGCATTAACATCGGCTGCAGCATGTCTTCTGGATTGTGCGTTTATGAAGAAGATGTCTTGTGTTTATTTGCACAAAAAGTCGTGTTTCTGGTTTATGAATCGGGTCCACAGTCTGTTCTTTTTCTCCCTCAGTGGGTGTGACTACAGTGACTCCGCTCACCATAACTTCATGTACATAGCCTTTACTCTAAAACCGACCATGACTAGAATAATGTCGTACTATCGAGTCTGTTTAGTCTTAATACCAAGTATGTCAACATGGCGGAACCCCTGATCACTTTCATGACAAAGCTGAGGATGTTTCTGTTTTTTAAGAGTCTGTACTGACTGATTAAGACTGTTTCTATCTGCTTTTTTTTAAACTTATATTTCTGTACCGTGTTAGTCTGTGCAGAGTAGAATTAAAAACCAGTGGGTCTTTTGTTTAGGTGCCTTAAAGTCCATTTATTTCTAACAGAGATGAAAAGATGAACAGAAACCAGCACTGACTGGTAAAATGAGCTTTACATGCTGCCTTCAGGTTCTCAGTCTTTGGGGACATCAGAGTTATTTCAGTATTCGATCCACGGGGGAAATAAAAGGAGGACAGATGGACTCGTCTGTATTCCCCAAACTCAGAGATCTGACAGTAAATGTGCTTTACATTCTCGTGTGCTCCTCTCAGTCACATTTTCAGTTAGAGAGCTTCACAGTAACAGACAGGTTTTTTATTTCACTGTAAGAATGACAGAGAAGATTCAGCAGAGTGTTTGTCGGCGTTTATTCACTCACATTCTCGCAAACCCTCGCCATCGCTCAGTGCCTGTGAGGTTCAGGGACACCTGATAAAATAACCAGGAGCGTTTAGCGTGTTGGCTTCAGATATCAGTTTTCAAACTCTTTTAGGATGAGACTGATACAGTCCTGTAGTGTACACACAATTATCCACTTTAAAAAAGTCAAAGTTTCTTCTTTTATAGAGTTAAAGGTGGGGTAGTCAGGATCAGAGGAAGTTCCAATTTTTAGGAGAATCTTGAATGTAAACTCTACCCCTCCCAACCAGTTTTCCCCTCAGCTCCTCTTCTCCCCTCCCTCTCTGCTCCAGCAAGCCCCGCCCACAAACAGGCGCTCCAGCTCGCTCGTATCGTTCCAATTAAATTCAGATATAATGCAGATAAATACTTCAGATAATTACAAATGGGGCCCAGTCAACGTGAAAGTAAAAAGCATTGGTGCTACTGTAGATGCCAACAGACTACCAGCAAACACAATGTTTGCAGGACTTCTACAACTAGGATAAAGTAACATAGTCCAGGACCAGAGGTCAACAGTTTAGCGGCGCTACAGCAAGCTACAGCAGGTCCTGTTTGACAAGAAACACTTCTGTTAGAGACACTTGGCTTACTTTGTTAAAGCGGTTTACCTGTCCAGCAGAAAGGTTACAGGGTCACCAAGATCTCAAAGCGTCCCCGATCGTTTATGTTGACCCGGCTTTTTAGCTCTTGTCCGGTCTACCTCCGTTTTAAGCGCCCATTATTCCGCCAGAGTCTCTGGTATTTACTTAGTTTTCTTGCTTGTCCAACACAAGCAAGAAAACTGAGTAAATACCATTGTTGTCAAAGGAGGATTCAGACAATTTTCGGAATTTTCTGGTTGGTTTCTACTGTCCGATATTGTAGCACGCTAACTTTGTTTGAGCTCCTGAACATTATTCGTGGAGCGTGCCTCACAACACAAGGGAGCAGCGTCTGCCTCACAACCATAGACTGTATATAGAACAGACGCCGTCTGCCTCCTCGCTGGGTGAAGCCACTGCGAGAACAGCAACCTCTGGTGACAGACTGGAGTATAGGTCATAAATCCAGCCTCCTTATGGAGCTGTGGACAAACTTTATAAATTAATGACACAGAATATAAATGTTTCTCCCCCCCTTGGTTGCAATGTTAACATGTAGTTGCTGTCAGACTGGTTTGTGCTCAAGTCCTCTTTTTTCTGTACAGCTCCATTTTAAAAGGTTATTATGGGGTTTATGTTTTCTATGATTGACACTTGATACAGCCTATGCGCGTACAAAGATTGTGGAGCTCACCTGGAGGATACGCTGTTTGAGCCAAGCGTCATCACAGCGACTCTCGGCTACTCTCCAACTGAATGCGTACAACGCTACCGCAATGTTGGTTTCAGGAAATGGAGAGAAAACACGGAATTACAGAGAACTTTTTGGCTTCAAATCCGTATACTGGAGGGAGGAACCAAGTTGTCCATTGTATACACAGTTTATGGTCACAACCAATCAGGTTGAGGAGATGGAGAATGGCTTTGTTTACAGTCAGAAAGAGCGGACTGCTCCAAAATGTAAAATGTTGACTACACAGACATAAAAGAACACAGAGATATCGTTATATTCCCAAATGTCATCAATAACTAATAACTATTGACTGATATTAAAAGCTATTTTGTATAAAAACCACAAATAAAGATACTTCTTTAAAGGATTCCTGCCTACTCCACCTTTAACATGTTATTAACTGTGTCAAACTCTCTGATTACCATGAGCAGAAACTTAACGTCTGCTGATTATGATGATCTACTTTTCAAGCTGTTCATCCCTGTTGGAAACACATGGCCTCTTCAGATGTTGTTTTTTTGTGATTTTTTTTCAACATTCCCTGAATTTGCATAATTGCTAACAGTTTTAACTGTTTTTGTTTTTTTACTGAGAATCAACCATTTTAGCTGCTGACTCGATGTTTGTCTCTTTCTTTAGTTTTCATCAATTTTGTCGTTTTTTTTATTAATGACCGTTTTGGCTCCTTCTTACTCAAAGTGTCTTAACTCAGATATTTACTTGATTTCTTTATGCAGTTGCATGAAAAGCGACTCAAAGTTTCTCTCTGTTCTGCACAGTCGTTAATTAAATTCACGTTAAAGTTGAAATAAATGAAGGTACTTTTATTGAAAGTTTCACTGTTGATCATTTTCCCACAGTCCCACAGCATGGTTAATGAAAACTCAAGTGTGTGTGTGTGTGTGTGTGTGTGTGTGTGTGGGTGTGTTGACCTCGGGGGCTGCTGGGTTCACTGGTTCCTGCGGTGAACTGGTCCGTGATGGAAACGCAGCAGCCTTCACTAACGACTCTCCCACAATGCACTGGGGACTCTCACACTGATAAGACACACTCAGTTTTCCACATCTTCCACGGTGCAGGTGAATGTCCGAATAAATGGTTCACCTTTAACCTTTAAAAGAATAAAGACTTGAATTAAAACAAAACTGTAAATAACTGAAAAGGAAGGAAGTTGCATGGGTTTTTTATCATAAATCAGAAATGTATTCACGTTTGTCTTTAAAAATATAAAGTAGATGGAGATGTTCCTCCAGCTGTTTTGGAGCCGGGGTTCAAATACTTACTGCAGTTATTGCCTAAAAAGGTCAGTTTGTTCCTTCATTTCATCTTATATTTTTTTCGAACGTGCGTACAACACAAAAAGTAAACTGAAAAGAAACAAACTTAACCAGTGAGAATATTCAAAACAACAATAACAATAATCAAAGCAAAAAAGTAAAAATAAAATAAAATAAAAAACTTAATAATAACAATGTAACCCAACATGTCTGAAAGGGAGAAGGATGAGACAGCAGAGCAGCAAAATTATATTAACAAAAAAATACGACATAATTAGAATAAATAAGTACATGAATCAAATAAGTACATAAATCAATCCTTAATCTAAATAAAGTTTTGGTTGCAGTACTTTGATAAGTAGTGGAGTACTTAAAAAATACTTTACATTAAACTTGTAAAATGGTTCCCTTTGTTCACAATCAGTGATCAGCTTCTTCTGCCTGAATGAACCAGATCACAGGAAACTGCAGACGTGACAGGAATCACAGTCAGGCTTCCTGTTTCCTTTTCTCACCACTATTTATAGAAACTCAGATCTCAGACTTACAGATTATCGGTAATTCTTTATTAAAGTCAACATTTAATGCCTTTTGTATCATATTTGATACATACTTTATGATACTTCAATAAAATCAATATGATCAACAAACTATTTAAAAAACACCTGAATACAGTTGGATAAATGATAAAAATGTCCTCTTGTGGTTTATCAGTTTCCAAAAACATCTGTTGTCTCAAATGAGATAAATAAAAATATTTGTTAAACTCTAAGTACATTTAGATTTTTTGGGTTTTCAGTAGTAGAGGAGAGTGGGGTAAGATGATCCATTTTTAATACTTCAGATCACTACATCAAGTAAATCATAGTTTTGTCTCGAACTAGTGTATCTGCATATATTTTAGGATGTTGTTCATCCCTGCAAACCAACAGAATAAGTGTAAACAGAACTGTAATCTTGATAATATCACATGACAAAAAAAAAGTGGTCTCCTATGGTCAACTTACCCCAGAACTACTATGATGACTTTATTAGTCCTCTAAGCTAAAATGGTGGACTTTTATGTTAGGTTTTTGGCCTCATGTTGGAGCTCATAGATACCACAATTGATGTATAAAACAAATTTAAAATGATCTTTTTTGGTTTGAACACAATTCTAATAAAACTGATGACAGACTAAATTCACTTACAAGAGTGAAAAATGTTTTTTAGAAATTAATGTCTAACCCCTTCACCCATGTGCTTCTAACCTTCACAGACTCCATGAATTGATGACCATCTCCTAAATATTTGGTCACATGATCAATTTCTTTTACCATTTCCAAGCAACAGGGGGTGGCTCAACTTAGCCCAGTCTCAAGTAGCGAACTCTGTGATAGGTGCCCCCACTAAAAAATTGGAACTTACATGCATATGTTCTGGCATTGTGGCAACTCTCTGGACCTATGTTGCTCAAACCATTTCAGATTTGTTGGAGAAAGAGCTTCCATTTTGCCCAGCCTTTTGGCTTTTTGGTTGTAATCTAAATGTTATTTTGCCACATACACGAAAACGTATCATACTTGCTGCCTCTACAGCTGCAAAAAAGACCATTCTTAAAAGCTGGTTTGAACCAAGTTTTGTTATGAAAAGAATCTGGGTTGCTCTGTTTTATGATATTTGTCTCTTAGAAAGATCTACTGCTTAGGTTAATGGTGCAAAACTCGAGACATTATCGACATGGTCTCACGCTATAACTTATATTCCCAGGCTATTCTAATATATATTATATGCCAGCTGGATATTAGAAAGAACTTTGTTTTGTATTTTGATAGATTTATTGTTTGACTGATTGATTGTCCATTGACTAACTGATCAACAAAGGCTTTAGTCAGGGGGTTGTTATTTCAAACATGATACATGACACAACAGTGACTGGTACTTTGATTCTCTGATTTCTATGTTTTATGAAACAGCATTCATCTTTTGTCTATTTTGTTTGTTTTCTGTTTAATCTATCTATTTATTTGTTTTGCTTGTGTCTTTGCTGATTCTGATGGTCAGCTCAAAAAGAATTTGAATTTTCTGGCCATAATTTGTGGTTTCAGGCATTAAAAAGGGCTAAAAGTGTTTGGTGTTCTGTATTTATCATTTTGTACGTTAAACATCGTATTAAAATGTGTTTTTTAATCTGTTTTAAGTTTGTTTTGTTGGTACTTTCATATAAATATTTGCAGTAATCAGGTAAATCAGCAGCTGTTAGTGAGTAAAATCTAAAAATAGCCCACCTTCTTTGTTTTGTTCACACCTCCTTTATCCCTCGGTATGTGTGGAAATATCCTTAATTACCTGTGCGCCGTAATTACCTGCAGGAATCAAATATTAACTGCTCCTCCACCACGTGGGGACCGAGCGCTCTGATTGGTCGGTTCAGCGCCGCTTCGATACAAATACCAGGTGAGTCCGGAGAGTAGGACCACAACATCCTGAACCACAGAGACCTCCTCTTCCTCTTCGTTTTCATCCTCCTCCTCTTCAGCAGCATGCAGGCCGGCTCCGCCCTCCTCCTCCTCCTCCTGTCCATCAGCTCCGCCGTCTCCTTTGAGCTGCTGGCCGAAGAAGCTGCTCCCCGCCGGGCAAGATTCTCCGCCAACAGCCCGAGTGAGTCCCGGTTCTCTGGAACCAACAAAACCCGCTTTATAGTTTTCTGAACTTTGTTCATAAAATAGTTTTTTTTTCTAATTATGTTCCCTAATTTTAAAGTAAGCTAACCTCGTGATTTTCCTGCTACTAGCTAGCCCACAGAATAGGGGAGACTGGGGTCGATATCAACGTTTCTTAACGGTTATTTCAGTCCCTCTAAGACCGTAAAAATGAGACTTTTTGAACTGACTTTTGTGTTACTATTACACTAACTTTTCATAAATTAAAACACAGATAAGTGGAAATCATGGAAGATCACGAATCACAGTGGTTAGCAATCTTAGACAGCTGAAAGTATTTGAACTCACTTTAAAGGTTAGTTATAATTTTGTTATAAAAATGTAATATCATTTAGATATAAAAGAAGCAATTTAAGAGAGTTTTTACACTGAATTTGTTGCACATCTACGACGGCGTATTAGGGCCACATTAAGAAAAAAATTAAGACTTCGAGATTAAGTCATTACTTCCAAGAATAAAGACGTGTTTAAATCATTTTGTATGAGAATAAAGTCGTAATATAGTAATTACTGACGAGAAAAAAGTCGTAAAGTAAATGAAGTCTTAAAGCTGATTTTGTGGAGGAGGAAATGTCTGAAGTGGTCGACTGCAGAGTTATCAGTGGGTGCATCAGTGGGCCATTAAGAGAGATTTTGTGGTTTCTCAAGAAATAATCCAACTGATGATCAACATTTGTGATTCAGAGGGAGTCGAGCACCGCGTCTGTCTCTGATGTTGGCACAACAGCGGCAGTAACCTCCACCTGCAGCGGCACCAACACCTTATGGCGGCATATAGATTCATGTGATCAACTAAAAACATATGAAACTATAGTTATAAATGGCTGCATTGAGGGATTTAACCTCTGCACAGACATTTCCAGCCATTTCCCCCTCCTCAGAAACAGGGATGCATTACAAGTCCGCCTGGTTCTTTCTGCGGAAAAGATGTATGTCTTGCATATGTCCTGATACTTCTGATGATGTGATGCTGAAACGCAAAATGATTTAGTATCGTCTTGTTTGTGAAACCTAACTACTGAAGTTCAATTCATCTAAATGCTCCACAACGCTCATTAACACAACTAACAACAGGTTAGAGTATTAGCTACGACTTTATTTACATAAGAAATGATTTTATTATGACTTTGTTCTCGTAAAAAATTATTTTATTACAACTATATTCTTGTAATTAATGATTTTAACACAACTTTATTCTCGTAAGTAATTACAAAGTCTTATTAGTATTACTTTTTCTTAATGTGGCCCTAATACTCTGTCATACACATGTTTACAGTAACAATGAAAAATTTCACCTGGAAGATGTTTCTGCAGGATAGCTAGCTTTAGTGCTTATTTTACAGACAATAAAGTAACACACTGTACATAGATATATACAGTCTGTGCTGAAGGGTATCTCTTTGTTTTATGCAGAAGCAGGTAAAGTTAGTTAAAGTTAATTAAAGTGTACCTCTGACTGCTGTCAGTCAGTTAACAAAGATGCTAACTTTGACAAGAGTAAATCTGTTCACTCACCTGAGCAGGTCATGAGTACAGTGTTCATGTGCTTCTCTCTGTGTGTGTTTGCAGGCGATGTGGCCAGATGTTTAAACGGTGCTGTGGCCGTTGGCTGCGGGTTCTTCTCCTGTCTGGAAAACTCCACCTGTGACACTGACGGCATGCACGAAATCTGCGAGCTCTTCCTCCACACAGCTGCTACTTTCAACACAGAGGTTAGTGTGCGTGTGTGCCTGTCTGTGTTTTTATTTGTGTGTGCATGTGTGTGTGTGTGTGTGTGTGTGTGTGTGTGTGTGTGTGTGTGTGTGTGTGTGTGTGTGTGTGACATTAAAGTGTGTGTGTGTGTGTCGTCCTGCAGGGTAAAACCTTCGTGAAAAAGAGTCTCCACTGTATCACCCAGGGAATCTCTGCCAAGGTTTTCCAAACGATCCGTCGCTGCAACATTTTCCAGAGGATGATCGCTGAGGTTCGTACGCTCAGAGAAATCAGGGGCTGTGTTTAAGAGGGGGACTTGGTCTGGGGGGTCTAGATAAGGTGCCAAACCTGCACTCTTTTTAATGAGCTGACCTTTGAACCTTTCTGAGACACCAACTCTGATGATGTAATCTCAACTCAACTCAACTTTATTTGTAAAGCACTTTAAAACAACCACAGCTGAACAAAGTGCTGTACATAAATAGACAAAACAATGCAAACATAAAAAACAATCAAAAAACAATTAAAACAATGGATAAAATAATAACAGATATTAAAAAGTAAAATATAGTTTCAATGTTTTTAAAAACTAATTTAAAAACATAGAAACAAATAACTAAGAACAAACCATAAAACGCTAAAACAGGAGCCGAGTCTCATGCAGGGTTGAAAGCCAATGAATAAAAATGGGTTTTAAGACGAGTTTTAAAAATGGACAGTGTGGGGGCTTATCTGATTTGTAGGGGTAGCTCGTTCCATAATTTTGGTGCCGCAACAGAAAAAGATCTATCCCCTCTGAGCTTCACTTTGGACCTCGGTACCTCCAGGAGCAGCTGATCAGCTGACCTGAGGCACTGAGCTGGGGTGTAGGGGTGGAGAAGCTCAGAGAGGTAAGATGGAGCCAGACCATTTAAAGATTTAAAAACAAATAAAATAATCTTAAAATGAACTCTAAAATACACAGGTAACCAGTGGAGGGGGGCCAGGATGGGAGTAATGTGCTCCCTCTTACGTACTCCAGTTAAGAGGTGGGCGGCTGCGTTTTGTACTAACTGGAGATGTGAGAGGGAGGACTGGCTGACTCCAAAGTAAAGTGCGTTACAGTAATCCAGCCGAGTTGTAACAAAGGCATGGATTACTGTTTCAAAGTGCCTACGTGCAAGGAATGGCTTTGCCTCCTATGTGTTAACGGCTTTTCTGTCGTTTTTAAAGGTGCAAGAAGAATGTTACACCAGTCTGGACATCTGCACGGTGGCTCGAACCAACCCTGACGCCATTGGAGAGGTGGTCCAGGTGCCCACTCACTTCCCCAACAGGTGAGGGCTGATGACGCACACCAAATCTGACAAAGCTCGCTAGTTTCCACCCCGTGTCGTGACTTGCTGGATCTTGTTTCTCAGGTACTACAGCACTCTGCTGCAGGTCCTCCAGTCCTGCGACGAGCAGACGGTGGCGGCGGTGCGAGCCGGCCTCATGGCCCGTTTAGGCCCCGACATGGAGACCTTCCTGCAGCTCGTCCAGAACAAACCCTGCGCTCCCGGATCCAACGCCGCCGCTGTTTACAACAACCCTTCCAGCTGGAGAAACATGCCAGTGTTCAACATCCAACCGGGCTTCAGAGGACGCGACCCCACCCACCTGTTCGCCAGGAAAAGATCTGTGGACAACCTGGAGGGAGGGGCCGCGGAGGAGAATTAGAGAACGCCCAATCACTTGCCATCACGCACATGCTAACGCCATTCTGATTGTTTTTCACGTACGCACGCTCAAACTTGCAGCTTTATCACGATGATTACAGCCTGGAGCTTTAGACGCCGATTCGGCTTAAAGAAAAAAACGCCACTCGCGCTGTTGTTGTTCTTTTTCATGCCCATTTACTCAATCGTGTTTCCGACCAGACACTTCAGTCACAGTGACAATAACTGATATTTATTTTCCTTAACGAGTTAATTTATGAGGCGGTGGAGCTCAGAGGAAGTCTTCACGCTGGTCGTGGAGCTCTCAATGAGTCCAGTTTGGAGCCTTTTGTTGGTCTGGGATCACTTTGTGTTGAAAACCTGTTTGAACGAAGACTATGGGCCAACTCGGCTGGTTTTTGTTTGAAATAAATGAAATGATATGACTGACTTTGACTCTGTGATTCTCTTCATATTTAAAGAGAAGAGGTCTGACTTTACCCCACACTGTTGTTTCTGATTAAAGTAGAGAAGTATTCTCTCTTTTAAAGCCTTTTTATTGGTACTGAACCCACTCTGCACCTTTTTAAAGGAGCAGTCATCTTATTGGTGTGTTAACATGGGGCTCTATGGGGATCGGCTCACTTTTGGGGAAACACAACTTCAACAAACAAAGTTGGTCTGTCCTTTACAGTTTTTCTCAGTCGCTTTGGTGCATTTCTCAGAACAATTAGTAAAAACTGCAAAACCTAGTGGATAACCTGCAAAAGCACGTCACTTGCTCAAAATTAATTGTTGATTCCTCAAAAGCAAGTCTTCATGTAGGCGAAAGTGTCTGTGTCATCAAAATGATTAGTCCTGACATCATTGTTTATGAATGAGACAGTCAAATGGCTTTTTCATGTTTTACACTTTCTGTGTTTTCCAGTGCAAAAAAGTCTGATCTTGGTGACATTACCTGAAAATGCTCAAGACAGCACAATACACTACCTGTGCAGCCATTTGAAAACTACAGTAAAGTTACCCATTACTGTATTTAGTGAGGTAACTGAGTACAAGACACATCAAATCAAATCAAACTTTATTTATATAGCACTTTTCAGGCAAAAAGAAATACAGCACAAAGTGCTTTACAATTTAAAACAATGAGCCCCCCCATATCCAGCCCGCCACACCACCCCCCAACCCTCACCGAGAGCCCACCCCAACACACACACACACACACACACACACACACACACCACACACACACACACACACACACACACACACGCACAGATAATGCAATCTTAAAAGCGTGTGGCTGAGTACAGAGGAGCCAAGTCAGGAAACGTCAGGAGGCCGACTGCACTGGAGGCTGCTCATGGCCCAGGGCCAGGACACCTCCACCCGGGTGCGCACCCCGCTACAAGCCACATGTATGTTTCACATATTTACTGAATATGCTCTTTGCAATTCTACAGCACTGTGCAAAAATTTAAAAAAAAATTCACAGTCACTTATTTAGGACAAACATAAGTAATACAATTTTTGTAGAACTTAGCACAAATATAAAGAATATAACAGTACATATTGCTGTAAACTGAACATAAATTGTTCCTGGACATTCACAGTGGTTCTCCCTACATTTGGTTGCACCCGTCGACCAGCCTCAGCCATAATGAGGCCGTGATTGACAACATGGTCCACAAGTGTAGCCCTAATTTCATCAGGAATTTGGGAATTTGTCTATGTACTTCTTCCTCTGCCCCGGTTTTGTCCCCTTTCCCGTCCTCCCCACATTCTCACCCCTCCTTCACAACGATAACCTTCCATTTTTGTGTCACAGAATTGAAGAAATGGTACACACTATGTCCTGCTGGTTTACATATGCTTGCCAAGTGAGAACTGTCAGCTTGACAGATTTTGAGAACTAGTTCAACAATGTTCTATGTAATGACTCAAGCAATGAAATGAGGACTGTAAGTTTTATAGGGAATGACTATTCAGCATTCATAAGTATGTTTCATTTTGTCTGACATGACATGAGCAAATGATAATGTTATGAAACAGCAGTGAATTGTATGAAAGTAACTGATACTTGTCTGAAAGCATTTGCAATTTGTTCAGAGGAATGAGAAACTGCTATGATGATGATGTGCACAAAAGACTCAATGTTGTGGAGGTTAAGCTAAGAGTTGTGAGAACTTTCATTCTGATCTGAGAAATTAACCAAAGCGACTGAGAAAAACTGTAAGATCACGGCAGCAAAGTTTAAAAACATTTGTGTCATTAATCTCAGAGGAGAAGGGCCGCTGCAGAAGTCCGGACCTCCAGGTGTGACTCACAGAAATAATTAAATTGGGTCAAAGTCTCTGTGATCAAAGTGTGTTTGTCTTCTCTGTCCTGTGCTGTGATTGGTTAGAGTTGCTGAAACGTGATTGGCTGTCCTCAGTTTGCTTGTAGGGCTCTCTGCCATAAAGTTCTTTCACCCTGAGGACCAGGAGGAACTTCTCCACGTCCAAAAGTCTGAAGAGGTTCAGGTTTGATAGGACAATGTTTTCTCCACACCGTGTCCACCTGATGAAGTCCTGTGTCCTGCTTGTTCTGCTGGTCCAGGTTCCCCAGACTCAGTCCAGACCATCCAAAAAGGACAAAGTCACAGGTAAGATCCTGTTCGGAGGTGATGGTGATGATGAAGTGTTTGAGAAGAATGTTTTTAGGAGTGTTATGAGAAAACTTACACTCAAACTTTTATCAGTTAACTAATTAATCAATTAATTATTAGTTTATTTATTTATTTGTTTATTTAATGAGGTAAAGAGACATCCTGGTCCTGTCCCCAGAGTGACAGAGCAAATAAAAGAAAGAGAATCAAACATTAACCAACCACATCAGGTGGGTTAAATTTCACCTCTGCTTTGACTGAAAGGCAAATCAAGGCAGCAGTAAGGTTCACAGGTTCAGTCCACAATCGCGGTTCAGAAGACCTTTATTGCTGTTAAGTCTGGCTGTTCAAGCAGATCAGAACTTCGAGGAGCTCCACAGGCACTGGACTGAGGCTGGAGTCCGAGCATCAGACAAGTCCAGGAAGTGGACTACAAGTGGTCCTGCTGTCCGAATACTCCTGAACCAGAGACAACATCCTATCCTGTGGTCATTACTAAAGTTGGTAAAAGTAGAGAAGCAAGTGGTCAGCAACATTCATCTCTGGAGGGGGTGCCAACTCGGTGTTACGGTGTGTTTGACCCTAAATTAATTTTACACCGGGATATCCCTTTAAGTCCACAGTTCATGCAGACTAAAGTCTACCTGGAGGTTTTAGAGACCTTCATTCTTCAGATTTCCTTTACTGGCAGGACCTGGACCCTGCCCACAGCACCAACTACCAGGAACTGGTTCGCTGACTGTGGTGTGACTGTTTCTGATTGGACAAAGAAGGGAGTGTGAAACTTTGGTAAGAACTCAGTAAATAAATCTGTTGGTTTATCTCTGATTTTTCTGAACTTTGTCCTCCAGGAGTCCGACCCAGCAGACCGTTTCTGCAGGCGGGTCTGCTGGTCGACCAGACCGCGGTTGTTGGTAGTGACGTGACCTTCAGGTGTAAAGTGGAGAATGGAGCTGATATTCACATGCAGTGGCTGAAACACATCAAAGTCAACGGCAGCAGCACTGGACCAGACGGACTACCATACGTCAAGGTCCTCGTGGTTAGTGAGCGCAGACAGACCAGATCTACTGGGCCTGACAGACCTCCAGACTAATGAAAAATTTCCCTTTTTTTCAGTCCTTTCATGAAGAAGAGGAACACTTGACTCTGAAGAACATCACTGTGGATGATGGAGGAGAGTACACCTGCCTGGTGGGGAACTCGCTGGGAATCGCCCATCAATCAGCCACACTCACCGTCATCAACTGTACGCCATATTACCAAAAAACAGATCTACTCTCTGTCTAAGTTATAGTTTTTTTGAAAAGATAGACCACAGAGCAGGACTCCTACAGTGAAGCTAGAACATGTAGCCATCCCCCTGCTGGCCAACTGTGGTTCAGATATCTTATGGTGAGTTTAAAAAAGAAAAACATCATTTTAATCGATAAAGGAAGGTTTCGGTTTTCATCCTGCTTGAAATGAGGTTTGATGCGTAACCCTTAATTTCCACCATATCTGGAACAGCAGTGATTTTCGCCATCCGCTAATTCCTACTGGATCCGTTTGTGAGATGAATTTCATGGCGGATTACGGACAGCAGTAATCACGAGAACTCAATTTGTAAGAGCCATAATGTCGCTTTGCTCATCGGTTATCCTGTATTCAGTTACTTCTGTCTGGTTGCTATTGGTTTTGCTGGGCTTGTGTCACGTGAGTGCTGTGTTTGAAATCTGGTAGTTTATATAAGGCTACATTCACCCTGCAGGTTATAATGCACAATTCGGATTTTTGTTAAATCCAATCTTTTTGTGCGGTCGTTCACATTACAACAACAAATGCGGCATCTAATGTGAACGGAATGCGTCCGTGAAGTGACCCACATGCGCACAGCTGGCTGTTCTCCGTCCCCTCGTCCGCCATTGCTTTCTGCGCCTGTTTGTGTTGTCGAATAATGGTGACGTTTGTCCCGTATTGATGACATATAAGTCAGATGAACGCGACCTGAGCGTCCACACTGCAGTCACATCGGATACATATCCGATTTATATCCACATACAAAAGAGGCCTGGGTCAGATTTGAAGAAAATCAGAATTGCACTGTTCATACTAACATGAAAAATCAGATATGTGTCACATATGGTTAAAAAAATCTGAATTGACCTGCAGTGTGAGCATAGCCTAAGGGGCAGTCTTACCTGCATTGGGGTGGAGAGGTGAGCCTAGGTAGCCATAATTTTTGTTGACCACGCTTTATGTTCTTTTGTTTGCAATGATACACGTCGCAAAGTGTACACATATGACATCGAAAGTGCGCGTGGAATCATTGGTCCCTGTCAAAGTGTTTTTTCTGTTATTAAAGCGCTGAAAACTTTGATAAACTCTGGGTGCTTCTTTGGAACAGCAGCGGCGTGTCACACGAATAGACAGGACCTATTCTCTGCCTCAAGCGACTTTTTTTAAAGGTACTAGGAAAGACGCAATACACAAGAACCCGTGGATTCACGTGCAATCGCACAATAACGAGTCGTCTCTATAAAGACAGCTACATAGACATATAAGCAGTAGATTGTGTCCTTCCAGAGGAGGAAACCTACTTGAGAAATCTACTTCTAGACTTCTAGAATCAGCATCTCCTCATCCATGGTGTCATTGGGGTGAAATGATGTGTAAAAACCTTTCACTTGTTCGTCTCCGCCTGTTTGCATGGTGTAAAATATCATCCACCTGAAACACGGAGTGTTTTATTTTGAAAAGAAGCCAGATGTTTTATTTTGTGTCTGTGCCCGACTTCCTTTCCAGCAATCTGTGCTGAATTTATCCGGCATGCTCCGGCGTCCGATAAATAAAACAACTGTGATCAGCTTAGGAGTCCGGCGATCCACAGCAGAACGGAAAGTAGCCGGTGGAAATTGACATGTTAACTTGAATGGTTACGATCAGCTACGATCTGAAGATACAACCTTTTCGTAGACATTCAGGATGCGGTGGAAATAGGGGGTTACTCTGAACATGCTTGTCATAAAACAGAGTCATAAATTTAAATTATAAAACAAACAAAAACAAAAAAAAAACCTTACTGTGTCTAAATTACCAGAGAAGTATCTTTTTTTCATTTTAACCATTTTAAAGGAACCCAGACAGAACTTTTCACCTGAACCTCACAGGAAGGAAACCAAAAGACCAGTTTTCATAAATGTTAGTCTGAAAGGGCATCAAGAAGGAACTTTTTTTAAGTATTTCACATCATGGAAGTGCATCCAGAGTGTTATTTTTTTTAATTTAACTACAGAAAGATTAGCAAGAGGGAACTTTTGAAAACTTTCTATCCAGTAGAAAGGCAGTCAGACAGCAATTTTTGAGGGGTCAGATTCATAACTCACTTTGTCGCTTGTTTATCTCCAGCGTTATCTGAACTTTTTCTTCAGTAGTCCGACCCAGCACACCGATCCTGCAGGCGGATCTGCCGGCCGACCAGACAGTAGATGTTGGCAGTGACGTGACCTTTGAGTGTAAAATGATGGATGGAACAACAGCAACACATGTGCAGTGGCTGAAACGCACCAGAATCAACGGTTGTGGACAGAAACCAGACATCACGGTCCTGAAGGTGTGTGAATACGCTTCCTGAACCATTTAGGATTTCACAGGAGTCGAGATCAACGCCACTTATACTCACCTTGATTTTCTCTGTGTTTTTGTTCTTCAGACTTCAGTGGTAGTGGGAGGCACGGCGGTGTTGACCCTGAAGAAAGTCACTCAGGATGATGAAGGAGAGTACAGCTGTGTGGCCGGAAACTCTGAGGGAGTCTCGTATCGATTAGCGTGGCTCACTGTGAACGGACCTGAAACAGAATAAGACAGAAGCAGAGTCTGGAATCATCAGTAGACCAGGTTCAGCTCCACTATGGAGGGTTTTGGTTTAGTTTTGTCCCAACAGGAGGAGATGGAGAAGCACGATCATTTTCATCAACAGTTTTCAGACGTTATATGACCAAGAAGAGCTTCAAACTCCCTGCAGTAACAGAGACTGTGAGTCCGATAAATTTATGAAACCTACAAAAGAAAACTTCAGCGTCTCATTGTGATTCATAAAGAAAAGTGCATTTTGGTGGGATAATAAAAGAGCAAACAAACAAAGAGAGACTTTTTCTGATTGACAGATTAATAACAATAATTTTATTTATATAGAAAACAGAAGTTTACAAAGAGCTTTGACAGAGTAAAAAACAATCATGGCAGCAGAGGAGAAATTAAGAGGAGGGAGCAAAAAAGATTCTCAGAAGTGGTACCCTTACGGAAATTCACTATGGTTTACTATGGTTTTTATGCATTTAACCATGGCTTTACCATGGTACCTCATGGTGATTACAAAAACTATGGTCTTACCCATAGTACTACCATGGTTTATCCATAGTATTTCATGGTAGCTGTGGTATTATCATAGTTTATATTCCATTACGGAAATTCACTATGGTTGACTATGGTTTTTATGCATTTAACCAGGTTTAGCTGTGGTATTATCATAGTTAATATGTAGCACTTCAAGGTAACTGTGGGACTACTACGGATTTAAAAAGGATGTGCTACCACAGTATGTTACTACCATGTTTTCATCCAACACAGTAAATGCTATCCTGTTTTTTCTATTTAACATACTGTGATCATGGTTTACTATGATGCAAACATAAGGCTTGGTAATACATCTATCTACAAACTTTCAGCATGTCTTATACATTTTCTCCTTGACATTTTGCATAGGTCTATCACTTCATATCATGGAATATAATATTAAGTCATGACAAAATATATCAATCCCACCTCAAGTTTATATTTTAATGTCTGTCATTGTATACAAACACATATAAATCATATTATTAAATGCCATGACATACCTTTAATAAAAAGTACTTCGGTTTAAAGCACATTCCTGCAGAAAAGATATTTGTAAATGTAATTATAAATATTTTAATGTAATAAAAGTCATTATATTACACAGTATTACAATCAGTTTAAAAAAAAAAATTAAGCAAAACCTTTCAATGAACTGATGTGTAAATATTTCAATATGATGAAAGTAATGAAAATAAACTGTATTACAATCACTTATTGAATAATGTACTTTCAAATGGAATACAAACTGGCTGTAGAATTTCTCATTACAAAATTATTTCAACTCTTCCTTTATGTACATCAAATGATTTAACCCTCTGGAGTCAGGGGTATAGTTGGCCGTTTTTGACTACTTTTGATTTTACCTTTATATTTCCTCTTAAAAACCGTTGATGTTAACACACAAAACATAAAATCCGAGTGGAAAAAAGTAACATTTTTTACTGTGAAAACCACAAATATGTGTGACGAACCGTTTTCAAAACTTAAACTGCAAATAAAAATTGTAAACTTCAAAACATATGCAAATTTTTAACAAATAACATAGTAATTTACCTCTATTTACATCAAAATGCAGGCAATGCCTCAGGTGTTTTTTGTACAACTATTTACAAAACAGTGTATAGTCTCACAAATGTCACATTTTATTTATGCCACTACAAAAAAAATATGATGTAAATGATGCATGATGTAAAACATGATGTAAAAAACTTGTGTAGATCCTCTTCTGTCAGTCCATTTGTAATTTTTCCATAATTCTTTGTTCTTTGCAGCATTTTTGTTAGTGTTACTGCAGATTGTTCTGACTGTGTCTATGGCAAAACAATAAAATTAAACTGAAAAAAAAAAAAAAAAGAAAATGTCTCAACATGGACCCCTGGTGGTCTCTGAGGGTGAAACCTGCTCACTGCTGCAGCTCTGTCAGCATCAGTCTCCCATGCAGAGCTCAGAGCGCATGTGTGGCTCTGCAGCCTGAGCAGCGTTGCTCACTCCTCAGTAAGGAAAGCCTGCTTCATGTTAGAGTCTCTAAACTCCAGAGGAATTCGCTAAAAGTGGCTTTTTTTTTCTAAATAAGTCGTTAGGGTGTATGAAAAGTCACTGAATCTAACAACAAAGTCGCTAGGTTTGCAGCCATCTGTCTCAGACTGCAGCCCTGCTGAGATAGCCTGGCTGGGCCATTCTGTTGCGTGAATCACTTGCCGTTGACTCTGCAAAGTCGGCAGAAATCGTTTATATCCGCAGAAGACGTCGGACATAAACAATTTCTGCCGACTTTGCGGAGTCAACTGCAGAATTAATGGCGTTCTGAATGAACAGGGCTTTGAAAAGTCTTGCAGCATGTGTTACGACTGGTTCAAGCAGGAGGCCGTGCGCGCTTGGCTGTTCACTCATAAAGTGTTCTCTGCTGCGCTCTGAGGCGCCGGTCAGACATCGACTGAGCCCGGCAGTGCTCGGCTGTTTTCGTCTGCCCTCAGTTTTCCACACTTACGAGTGCTTTAAACATGGGTAATCAATATGTATTTACGTTTTTATTACGTCATACATAAATTGAATATTGGCAGCATCTTCAAGTATTGTTTTAAATTATTATATGGGGTAAACAACGAATGTTAAATTATTAAATTAAATTAAATTAAATTAATGTTTAATCCACTGCTCTGGCCCAGCCAGGCTACTGCTGGGAGTCCCTCCCTCCCTTCTCCTGTTGCAGGAAGAGTGTAAGCGCCCGCCCCTTGTCAATTAGTCACCATATAATTTTTGATTGGTTGTTATGGTGAAGTTTTTCACCAATAGGAGAGGGATTGTGGTGTGCTTTTTTTTCTTTTGCCAAGCCTTCTCCACCTGTGAGCACTGTCGCTAGTGTCTGCATGCTGTGTTCTCCTGCCTCATACAGCGCGATCGAGCGCCGAACGTTATCAAAATAATAAAAAAAGTATTGCGGACATAATTTATCATAACTCTGGTTTTGTTTGGTCTATCAACACAATTTAAAAACTGGTATATAGTTTTAGGTCCTCACTTTTGAGATAAGTTGAAACGGAGATTCAACGAGGCTCCGTCTTGCAGCTACATCTGGTTAAATATGTCATGTGACTTTGACGTTCGAGAGCGTCAAGGTTAGGAAAATGGCAATGTCGGATATGTACGGTTTGTACGATTTTTTTGAGGAAAACACTTGGACCCTTACATTTCGTTAATTTAAAAGGCACAGGCCTTACAGCAAATGCACTAAACCCAAACGACTGGAATGCGGAGACCATTTCTCTTTTGTCAAACTGGCGCCCCCTGCTGCTGTAGGCGCCCCTGCTTGCTGTGAAGGTGCTGCACAGAGGCTGACAGACTGTATGAATGAGCTGCACATACACGAGTTGAAAAGTCAAAAAAAATAAAGTGTTTCCAGTACATATGCAGAAGTGAGGAATAAAATTAGACAGCCAAGCAGACTGACTGCATTGAGACATGCGTCGGTTGTAAAATATTTGTCGGTCCACGATACTTTGCCACGCCATCTCCCTGGCTTTCACAATGGCAACAGTGTTGCCCTTCTTTTAAAAATATCCCTTGTACTCTTCGTACAACTTCATGAGGAGTGTTTGCTCTGCCGCTAAGAAAGACTCCGCTCTGCCCTTTTTTTTTATGATCTCGTAATTTCGACAACCGATACGTCGGGGCTTTTTATGTACCGCGGAGGCAAGCATTGCCGTGGCTTGGATCAGCCTGGCTTGAATAAGCGTCTCTGGAAAACAGCTGAGCCTCGTTAGTGGAACGAGTCGCAGCTAAGATTAAAGTGGCCGCTTATTCAAGCCACGCTTACCGGCGATAGCCCAGCCTTTTTTAGCAAGCCCCCCCCCCGGCACAGGTGTGAGCATGAGGGGAGGGGCGAGGCGAACCGGAAGTGAAAGGCAAGGGAGCCCAATGCTGCGTCCGAATTGCCCGTTCGGATACTACTACATGCTACTGCTACATACTACTGCTAGATCCTACTCCTACATACTAAACACGTTGGCCCAATTCAGACACACTAAACGAGCGGTGGGGAAAGACGACCCCCGCAGGCAGAGAGTAGGTACTGCGCCCGTGCAGACAGTGGTAACTGAAGCCCCTCATCTGCGGGCCTGGCTGTAGTACTGCGGCTGTGCAGTTTAATGATGGAATAAGTGAGCTTTACCTCCATGATGTCGCCACATATTTGCTCATAAAATGATTACTTGGGCAAATATGACACCATGACATGACAAAGAGATACAACCGCACATTTTTTAGGACAGTGTGTGAAGTTACATTAAAATTACATCTGTTCTGCTGCGGTCCTGCCTGCTGCTGCTGCTGCTCCGACATGGTGCGCGCTGCTGTGGCCAGCCGGTGTTCGCGACACATTTAAATAGGCAGCAGCTGGTGGCGCTAGCATCACATGCGCTTCTACAACTTTTAAGAGGACGAAGAAGAAGCCCGTGGTACATTTTGGGTCAGTAGGATGCCCGTAGGATGCACCGAGACCAACCTACAATGTGGACGTGTCTAGTATCTGAAGTAGTATCTGAAGTAGCATGCTACTCGCTCCGGTGGCCAATTCTCACATGCTAGATACTACTTCGACTACTACTTCGACTACTACTTGGCAATTCGGACGCAGCTCAAGACTTTTCTTCTTCTTCAATGGAGTTTATTGGCGGTTGGCAAACCAACTTGAAGCCGCCACCTATTAGACTGGAGTGTGGGTCAGTAAGGGACCCCAAGACAGCAGGCAAATACATTTTTTTTTTATTATTGTCATTATTACATTTTACAATATACCATTATAAATAACCAGAAAAAAACTAACTAACTAAAGCAAACATCAACAGGACAAACAAACAAAAAGCCAACACCAGCAACAAAAAAAACAAACAAACAAACAAACAACAACAGGCAAATACAACTCTTGTAAAAGCAAGGATGAGACACATCACCCTACCACAAAGTGAATAAATGAAGTGACTGTGAGAGTTTTTCAATAAAGTCGATAAGTTAAAGTTGAAAAGTAGCTAAAGGATAGATTTTTTGGAACTGCGTCTCAAATTTGGAAAATTTAACAGATTTGAAATAATAGTTATTATTATTATTATTATTATTATTATAACAATAAAAATAATAGAAGTAGAGGTAGTAGGAGTAGTAGTAGTTATAATAATAATTGTTATTATTATAATTATTATCATTATTATTATTACTAGAAGTAGTAGTAGTAGTTGTTGTCGTAGTAGAAGAAGTAGTAGGAGTAGTATTATGATAATAATAAAATTGATAATAATAACAACAATTATAATAGTAGCAGTAGTAACAACAACAACAACAACAATAATAATAATAATAATAATAATAATAATAAAACCTTTATTTGTATAGTACTTTTCTAAACAGAAGTTTTTAAACTGCTTTGAAATATAGTCATAAAGCACATTGGAAAAAGACAGATAAAAACCAAAAACTGAGTTAAAACGCAACTGAAGGAACCCAGACAATACAAGAACCATGCAACATAAAATGAGACCATGAGGACCAATATAAAAACATAAAATAGTTAAGAAAAAAGGAGGTCAAAAGCGGAAACAGGATAGTAAAAATAAAAGCCAATATCAACAATGATAACAAAATAATAATTAATACTGATAATAATAGTGATGATAAAATAGAGCAACAGAAATGAGCAAGAGATAAAACAATAAAAGGCCTAAAAGACTAAGAAAAGAGTACAAGTAAAACAAAAGCTAACAAGACAGTAAAGCAGAAATGAGAGAAAAGATTAAAGAGAAAAGATAGCATCACATAAATCAAGTCTGTAAAAGTGAGTTTTTTAATTTGACTTAGAAGAAGTGACTGTCTCTGCTGTACGCCTTATCTCCTCTGAAAGGTCGTTCCAAAGTCAAGGAGCTCTGATGGAGAAAGATCGATCACCTTTAGTTTTGAGTCTCGACTTGATAATGGCAGCTCTGTTATAAACACAACCCTCTCTTTTTTCTTTGGCTCCGTTTTATTTTTGTAGTTTGTCAGAGCACCACTCGAGGGCGACAGTGTGTAAAAACCAGTCCTTGGACCCTCTGGATGTCCTCCAAACTCCTCCTGTGTAAAAATAAAATGTTCACTCAGTGTCTTTGTGAGTCTGAGCTCTTTATTTCTGTTACATGACACTTTTTTAAAAATTTGTTAAAACAGATGCTGGATGAACAGAGAGGCGCTTTATTTCATATTAAACTTTGACTTTATGAAGACAGAAATCTGAACTTTTCTTATAGTAGACTAAAAAAGGGAAGAGTCGACATGATTTTGGATGTTTTGAGTCCTGAGGATCTGTCCGACAGATGAGGAGCAGGCCATCAGGCTCACAGCCCCTCCTCATTAGAATAAATGTGGGTATAAAAGCTCTTTGTTTCAGAAGCTCAAACTGTGTCTCTGCACTCTGACAGGCCACATGGGGGCGCTGCAGGAGGTCATCAGTCTGAACACACACTGAGAGGTTACAGAAGTTACATCCAGACTGGAACTCTTTTAAAACCAGAATCAGGTCTTGGTATGTGAGATCTCAGAGAGTAAGAATAGGTGATCGCCTGTCTGATAAACTTGTACTGAGCTCTGGCTCTCCCCAAGGCTGTATCCTCAGTCCTCTGTTTTTTTCTCTCTCTATATATGACTGCACTGATTCTTACAAGAAGAACTTGATTGTAAAGTACGCTGATGACACAACTGTCATTGGGAGAATAAAGAGTAACAATGAGTCGCTTTATAGAGCTGAGGTACAGAACCTTGTTAAAGGTGGTGTAGTCAGGATCTGAGTTAGGTCCAGTTTTTGGGAGAAATCTTGAATGTAAACTCTACCCCTCCCAACCAGTTTTCCCCTCAGCTCCTCCTCTCCCCTCCCTCTCTGCTACAACAAGCCCCGCCCACAAACAGATGCTCCTGCTTGCTCGTATCGTTCCAATTAAATTTGGATATAATGCAGATAAATACTTCAGATAATTACAAATGGGGCCCAGTCAACGTGAAAGTAAACAGTATTGGTGCTACTGTAGATGCCAACAGACTACCAGCAAACACAATGTTTGCAGGACTTCTACAACTAGGATAAAGAGATATAGTCCAGGACTTGAGGTCAACAGTTTAGCGGCGCTACAACACGCTAGAGCAGATCCCGTTTGACAAGAAAGAATTGTGTTATAGACACCTGGCTTACTTTGTAAGTGGTTTACCTGTCCAGCAGAAAGGTTACAGGGTCACCAAGATCCCGAAGCATCCCACATCGTTTATGTTGACCCGGCTTTTTAGCTCTTGTCCGGTCTACCTCCGTTTTAAGCGTCGTTATTCAGCCAGAGTCTCCAGTATTTACTTAGTTTTCTTGCTTGTGTTGGCAGTCATGGCCAAAGGAGGATTCAGACAATTTTCCGAACTTTCTGGTTGGTTTCTACTGTCTGATATTGTAGCACGCTAACTTTGTTTGGGCTCCTGAATGACACGGGGAAGCAGCGTCTGCCTCACAACCAATCAGGTCAGGGAGGTGGAGAATGGCTCCGTTTACAGTCATAAAGAGTGGACCACTCAAAAATGTAAAATGTTGACTACACAGACATAAGAGAACACAGAGATATGATATAACCAAATGTCATCAATAACTAATGACTATTAATTGATATTAAATGCTTTTTTGTTTATACACCACAAAAAAAGATGCTTCTTTAACGGATTCCTGCCTACCCCACCTTTAAAACCAGTATCATTGTCAAGAAATCTATGCAACGACTTTTCTTCCTTTGTAAAATGAAAAATTTCTCCTCTAATTGTCAGATTTTAATTTACTTTTATTGGTGTATCATCGAAAGTATTTTTATCTCTTCGTCCACGGTTTAATTTAGTAACCTCACTGTAAAGGACTGAAAATCTCTGACCAGAAAAGTCAATCTGGCTCAGAAAATTAGTGGCACTGACCTGCCTAAACTTGATGCACATCAGTCACTCCGCCTCCAGCCTTTCTGATCTTCTCCACTCCAGTAGACGGTACCGCTCAATCAAATGTTGTACCTCCTGGTTTTCAGATAGTTTCTTCCCCTGTGCCATGCGCAGCCTAAATAACCTCCAGCCTCAGGGGTGTACTTAATTTTATGTGTGTCTGAGCACTTAGGGTCAAATAGAAGTTTTTAAATACTATTATCTTTATCATTATTATTATTATTATCACTATTATTACTTGCAGTGTCCTTCTGTACTTAACTTTAACTGTAATTTTAACTCATCTTATTCTGTTTCACTGTAACTTACTTTGTCTTTATTGTCCTCTCACAAATGCTTTCCAATGTGTTTTTTTTTTCTTCTGCAAATGTCAAATAAATGAATCTGACTCTCTCTGATCTCATCCTTTAGATATCATCCTAAAATACACTCTTTAAGGTCATTCAAACTCTTCATACTCATGTCCAGGTGTGAAGATACCTGAATTACCCGCCTGAAACAGACTTCTATTAAAGGTAAATATCATCAGCAGCACTCCTCAGTGTTTGTCCAGGCATGTTGGCTCAACAGTGGGGAGGGGGGGGGGGGGCTCTCACCGGACCATCTGTCACAAGAGCTAATAGCTGACCCATAATGGCTCCTCACCTCAGCGTTACGGCCCATTAGCCCCCATCAGGAGGGGTGAGAATCTCTCTTTACACCTTCCAGAGGAGTGTTTATCTGCAGCAGCAGCTCAGCAGGAGCTCTGAGAGAGAGACGCCTCTGCTGACGGCAGCTGTTAATAACCTCCATCTGCAGGAATCAGAACCGGGAAACACAAACATGTTTGTTCACTGAGGGTGTGAGAGAAACCAAGACACAGGACGACTTTATCTAGAGATATTTGGGTGACTGAAGGTTCAAACTGGGAAGTAAAGAGTGGACGGAAATTTTCCAAAGCTGCATTTCCACACGTCCCTGTTTACTCTGGTTTTCAGATTACAGATTTTTAATCTGATCTCAGATTTTCATACCTAGACCACAGAATTCCAGATCCAATTTTATAATCCTGATTTTAATCTCAGATTTCTCAGAATTTCAAACTTGGCTCTCCTCCCGTTCAGTCAACTCTCATTTTGAGGATTCTTAGAAACTTTCTGCTCTGAAAAGATGTTTGCAGGAACATCGTTGGATTGAGAAATTTTCCTCCTGAGAGATTTTTAAGAACTCCCGACATGAGCGAGGAGAAAAATGGATGTTGTTAGAGATCATAGAGGGACCAGGGAGACAGACACCGGGGAGCTAGAGACGGCGTGGACTGATTGGATTTAGTGTGAGCCAGAACTTCAGAACATCAGGTTTGCGTTTTGAAGGGAAAGGCATGATGGATGGAACTGCTGTGGTCTGGAACAGCAGGTTTCCTCCTCTCTGAGGGAGGAAACTGCTGCTGCAGGCTCTGAGGGGAGAACATGTTGGTGTGATAGACGGAGCTCAGGCCCTGAAACTGGTCTTCCTGTCATCCATCTGGTCCTGAAACTGGTCTTCCTGTCATCCATCTGGTCCTGAAACTGGTCTTCCTGTAATCCATCTGGTCCTCCTCAGACTGAACAAGGACTTCCTAGCAGCAACACGAAGAGACTTTTTTAAATGATTTCTGTCCTTGAGGTCGTTCTTCATCAGAGGGAAAGTGTTTATGAGTGTAAGAAATAATTAGGGGGCGGGGTGGGGTGTTAGAGAGGGGGACAAAGGGGGGAGAAAAAAGGGAGAGAGGAGAGGAGGGCAGAGGAAGAAGGCAGGGAGAGGGAGAGTAAAAGTGAGAGAAGGGGGAGAATAAAGAGGGGGAAAAAGAGAGAGAGGGAGAGAAAGGGGGTTAGGGAGGGAGAGAGAGAGAGAGAGAGAGAAGGGGGTAGAAAAGGGGGGAAAGAGAGAGAGAGAAACAAAAAAGGTAGGAGAAAAAGGGGAGAGAGAGGGAGAGAGGAAGAGAGAGAAAAAAAGAGGGGTTAGGAAGAAAAAGTGAAAAAGAGAGAGAGGGAAGGGAGAGAGGGAGGGAGACAAAGGAAGGAGGGGGAGAGAGAGATGGAGAGAGAAAGAAGGAAAGAAAAAGAGAAAAGAGAGAGAGAGAGAAAGGGGGAGAGAGAGAGGGAGAAAAAAAAGAAACAAAGAGAGAGAAAGAGAGGGAGGGAGAAAGAGAGAAAAGGGGGGGGAAAGGGGAGAGAGAGAGAAAAAAGGGGAGTTAGGGAGAAAAAGTGAAAAAGAGAGAGAGGGAAGGGAGAGAGGGAGGGAAAGAAAGGCGAGGGAAAGAGAGAGAGAAAGAGAGGAGGGGAGAGGGAAAGAGAGAGAGAGAGAGAGAGAGAGAGAGAGAAGGGGGAGAGAAGGACAGAAGGAGGAGAGAAAAAGGGAAGAGAGAGAAGGCAAGACAGAGAGAGAAAAAGAGAGCGCGAGAGAGAGAGAGAAAAGGGGGAGAGGGAGAGAGATAACGAGAAAGAGAGAGAGAGAGAGAGAGAGAGAGAGAGAGAGAGAGAGTTTTTTTCACTCTCAGTTTTGTCCTCATCTGTCATCTGTCAGCTTCATCATTTCTTGTGCATTCAGTGAAGTCAGGAAATTTGAACGTTGTTGTTCTCAGAGCTTCATTAAACAGACTCAGTTTAGATGTTCAGGACGATTTAATACTGTTAGACTCAGTTTGTTACACAGAGACGTTTCTGTAAATCAGCGGGAGGATAAGTGCAAAATTCAACCGTAACACTGAACCATGTCGCCATGGCAACACCAGAGACATAAATACAGTTGCAAAATAAGTTAAAGGAGTCAGAAACGAATCAATAAACTAGTGATTGATTATTGATGAGTAAAAGTCACTGTGTGTTCTGATGAGTCAGCTCTTTCTGTAGGGTTTATTCATCTTTTTTTTCTCCTTCTATAAAAAAAAATATTATTTACAATATTTACAACATTATTAACAACAACTGAAGGAAACGCAGCTCTACCAGAGTGTGTGTGTGTGTGTGTGTGTGAGAAAGAGAGAGAGAGAGAGAGAGAGAGAGAGAGAGAGAGAGAGCTGCTTCCTGAGGCCTCCATGAGGATCCAGCTCAGTCCAGCTGTTCTTCACATCAGGCTGCCGCTGATGGACCACAGAGAAGCAGGTCATCATCATCCGAGCGCCAAATCCTGTCCGGGACCGCCGCCCAGATCCAGGATCAGAGGAGATCCAGGAAGAAGAAATAGAGTTTTTTTAGAGAAACATCTTAGAGTGTCTACGTGGAGCTGCTGGAGGAGAGATCTGAGGAGAAGGTTTCCACCTGAGAATACTGGACCAGGGGAACGGACAGGTCCAGGTACTCCTGCAGCAGAGACGTTAAAGAGGTCTGTTAGAGATTCACATGGACCCTGAACGGTTCTGGACCTCAGATGAAGTCCGACTCTGAATGAAACATCACCTGGTTGGCCATGAGAGACAGCGTCCGGTCTAAATCCTCCACCAGCTGCTGGAAAGTTGGCCGACGAGACGGGACGGCGTGCCAGCAGTCTCTCATCATCAGGTACCTGAGAGGACATGAGGTAGAGGTCAGAGGTCAGAGGGGGGTGCCCGATAATAATAATAATAACTTTATTTTTAAAAACAGAAGTTTACAAAGGTCTTTGACAAACAGTTGCAAAGCACAGAACATCAGCACATGAAAATAAAAACAAATAAAAAACAAAAGCTCAGTTAAAAACAAAAGACCTGGAAAAACAAACATGAGCAGGAAAAAACAATAAAATCAATCAAAGGCCTAAAAGGTTCAATAGGAAAAGATTATAAGTAAAATAAAGGCTAAAAAGGACAGTAAGTCGAAATAAGATCAAGGTAAAAGAGAGAAAAAGATAAAAGATAAAAGACGGCATCACATAAAAGCAAGTCTAGAAAAGTAAGTTTTGAAATTTGACTTAACCCATTTCAACAGGGACAGCGTGTACGCATTTCAACCTTCCAAGCTGGTGGTGCCGCTGCGCATGTCTACTCTTCAAGCTTGGAGCGCAGAGAGGTCATTTTGTAACATTCTGTAGTTTTTCAATCATTTCTGGAGTCGTGGCGAATCAAATCATCATACCTGTATAGCCTATCAGAGACAGCTCTGATAGGCTAATAAAGGGATCAGATTCATTCTCGGATCTTGCTACATTCTTCGTGGGGAAAGTAAACAATGACGGAGGCAGAGAGCAGCTTTGGAGGAGAAGCATCCAGCAGTGTGAACAATCTCTTCATATTGAGGTCTTTGTCTAACACTATTGGCGATTTCTGTGAGTGTTGCATGACTTTGGGTGAGCACAGACATGAACACTGTCAGACACTTATTTATTTTTTAGTTTTTAGTTTCTGCTTTTGTACTGGCACGTCACTAGGGCAGCTGTATACCCTTTCAACACTTTATTTTTTATATTTACATTTGTATTGAATGAACACTTTATCATGACTGCCACTTGTTTTACACAAAGCAATCAGTTTGTTATTCTTCAGTGCAGAGCCTTTACTTTTATTTAAACAGCCGCTTTATTTCGTATGAGTTTGTTTGGTCAAGGTTTTCAAAAACGTGATGAAGGTTCGGAAAAATAAAATATAGTTATCTCGAAAGCCACATGTGTAAGCTCTCAAATACTTTTTGAATTTTGTTTTTATCGGCTACAGAGGCTGAGATATCAGCTTTTTTGTAAACCTAAACACTTCAGAAATCCTCAGGATCTGGGGGCCCTTCTCAAAACGGCCCTCAGGATTTCAGAGGTGTGTCTCAGACAGGGTTCAGGTCTTAATGGGTTAAAAGAAGTGACTGTCTCTGCTGTACGCCTTATCTCCTCTGGCAGGTCGTTCCAGAGTCGAGGAGCTCTGATGGCGAAAGATCTATCACCTTTTGTTTTGAGTCTCGACTTTGGAACGACCAGGAGGCCTTTGCCAGAGGATCTGAGGCTGCGAGTTGGCTCATGAGGTAGCAAAAGCGCCTTAAAAAGTAATCAATAAAATCTTAAAATCAATTCTAAAACTGACAGGAAGTCAGTGAAGGGAGGCTAACATTGGAGTGATGTGATGCCATCAACTAAAACCAGTTAAAAGCCGGGCTGCTGCGTTCTGAACTAGTTGGAGGAGGAAGAGTGATTTCTTGTTTAAACCAGAGGAGAGAGTTACAGTAGTCCAGTCTTGAGAAAATGAAAACATGGATTATTACTTCAAGATCTGGTGAAAGAAACAGGACTGGAAGATCTTGTTGGTATGGGTGGAGAAGGTGAGGTCTGAATCGAAGGTTACAGCAGCTAGGCCTCTGGGGTCCTCAGGTCTCAAAGGAAGGTAAACCTGTGTGTCGTCTGCATAGCCGTGAAAGCGCTGAATTAATTGGCCGAGGGGCAGCATGTAGATCGAAAATAAAATTGGACCTAAAACTGAACCTTGCGGTACACCACAGGAGATAGCAGAGGTAGAGGAGTTGCCGATGGTGACCGCAAAGGTTTGCTCTAAAAAAATTCAGGACAAGGTGAGATGATGGGACACTCACAGCTCCTGTGTGCACAGAGAGGGTTTCTCCATGCGGTGTCCCTCCTTCAGAAGCTTAAAGAGCTCCTCCACGGGGACGCCGGGGTATGGAGACCCACCGAGGGTGAAGATCTCCCACAGCAGGACTCCAAAAGACCACCTGCAGCACACACACACATTAGAAACCCCCTTAAAGATCTTTTATCTGGGTCGGCGCTCAAAGACAGGAACCTTTGAGGAGGAACTTACACGTCACTCTGGTGCGTGTAGACCCGGTCGAACAGAGCTTCAGGAGCCATCCACTTCACCGGCAGACGACCCTGAAGAACAAAGAGAAGATCAGTGAGAAAGGTCTCAGCAGAACCTCCTGACCTGGGTGGTTTTTAGGCCACTGGTCTTCTCACATTGGTGGTCTTCTTGTAGTAGTCGATGTGGTGGATGTCTCTGGCGAGTCCGAAGTCAGCGATCTTCATCACGTTGTCTTCGGTCACCAACACGTTTCTGGCGGCCAGGTCTCTGTGGATGCACTGCAGGAGAGAAAAACCAGGTTCAGACCAGATCCTGGGACAACCATGAAACCTCAAACTGACCAGGACCTGCTGTAGGAACCAACCTTCTTGGAGGCCAGGTAGGCCATCCCTCTGGCCACCTGATACGCAGCAGAAACAAGCTCTCTGAGCTCCAGACCGTCTAAAGACGCCTGCCTGGACCCGCTCCAGTACTCCAGCCCTGCAGGTCTGCGAGCTCTCAGGTACTCCCTGAGGTTCCCTTGGGAGGCGTACTCCACCACCACGTAGAGAGGACCTGCAGAGACAGAGGAGACCCGGTTTCACTCAACACCTCCTCCTCCTCCTCAGTAGAAGTCGTAGTCTGCGTGAACTCACCGTCCTGCGTACAGGCGCCCAGTAGGTTGATGATGTTCTTGTGTTTGCCGATCATCTTCATCATCTCCATCTCAGAGATCAGGTCGGACAGATCCTTCTCGGTGGCGTCAGCTGCAAACACAGAAACAGATCTGAGTTTATGAACTGTTGGTGGATCAGAGGAAACTTCATGTCTCTGTTTTGTTTAGAAGGCTATTGATCGATCGATCGCTGCTGAAGTCCACAGAGAATTTAAAGGATTTCAACATCTGATCATGACAATTCTCCAGGTTCCTTCACTTCTGTTTCAGTTTTATTTGTACATTTTCACTCTGCTGGTTGGAGATGCAACTTTAAACTCTAACCCCGAATTTCCACCACATCTGGAACAGCTCCGATCCGCAACGGCATCGATTTTCACCGTCCACCAATTCCTACCAGATCCATTTGTGAGGCCAATTTCATGGCGGATTACGGACAGCAGGAATCACGAGAACTCACAAGAACCTGCGGATTCACGTTCAATCGTGGGATAACAAGTTGTCTCTATAAAGACAGACACATAGACATATAAGCAGTTGATTGTGTCCTTCCAGAGGAGGAAATCTCCTCATCCATGGTGTCATCGGGGTGAAATGACGTCTAAAAACCTTTCACTTGTTCGTCTCTGCCCGTTTGCATGGTGTGGATGTTTTATTTTGTGTCTGTGCCCGACTTCCTTTCCAGCACGGGTTAATCTGTGCTGAATTCATCCGGCTTGCTCCGGCGTCCGGGAAAAACAGAACTCTTGCAATCAGCTGCGGAGTCCGGCGATCCACAGCAGAACGGAAAAAAGCCGGTGGAAATTGACACGTTAACTTGAATGGTTACGATCAGCTAGGATCGGCAGATATGGCCTTTTCGTAGCCATTCCAGATGCGGTGGAAGTTAGGAGTAACACTCTTTTGGAAAGGACAGCTGGACTTACTTGGGACCCAAGTAAGTCCAGCTGTCCTTTCAACGAAGAATTGGAAATCATAGATGCTGCATCATCAGTTTTTAACAATATCTCCAGGTTTAGGAGCAACATCTGCGTCCATCCAGACAAAGATTTTTCAGGGAAGACCTTCACATGATCCCAAACCACATTTTGACAACAGTTGAAATGTGGAATGTAGAACTCTTGCAATCAGCTTTGGAGTCCAGCGATCTGCAGCTGATCGGAAAGAAGCCGGTGGAAATTGACACATTAACTTGAATGTTTATGATCAGCTACGATCGGCGGATATGACCTTTTCATAGCTGTTGTGGATGCGGTGGGAATTGGGGGTGAGGAGCTGTTTTTGGAGAACGTCGGAAGCTTCACTGATGAATAATTTACTTTAAAGTCTTACTCACCTTTGAGCATCTTCACTGCCACCTTCGTTGTTCGTGTCGGTTTGTTTTTATCGATCCCGACAGCCTCGGCCAGAACCACCTGACCGAAACATCCCTCACCCAGAGGCTTCCCTAGAGTCAGTCTGCGGACACACAGCAGAGCAGATGTGTTAGCGGCTGTCTGAGACAGAGGAGGTCCAGACACAGACGGACTACAGGGATCTCGAACAGGTGCTAAAGGAAAGGACCTACCTGTCTCGAGACAGCTCCCAAACCGGGTCGTGGGGGAGCTCGTACTCGGACACTCCAGTCAGGGCGGTGGTGGCCGCGCTGGAGAGACGAGACTGACGCATCAAACACATCCCAGACTGCAGGGAGGACGAGGACTCCACTGAGACCTGAAGAGGAGAGAGAGGAGAAAGATTCATCACTGTGGAAGAACCAGAGGAGGACCAGAGATGGAGGTGTCATCAGAAGAGGGTTCAGATGAGGAGGAGTTACCTGTCTCCTCAGAGGGATGCTCTTGGCGAGCTTCTGCACGGCTAACTGGCTGTTGAAGTCACTCTTCTTGGGGGCGCAGCAGAGCCTGCAGATGACTCCTATAGCTGTGAGGACCATGATGATGAAGAAGCCCAGGCAGTAGATGAAGATCTCCAGGTAGGTCTGAGAGGGCAGCGGGGCGGGAGGAAGGTCTGAGGAGGATAGATGAGACCGGATCATGAGCTCAGAGTCGAACCTTCACTGACACGCCGATCAACATCAGATCATTTAAAAAAACAACCTTCGACCACCGTGAGCCACGCAGAGTGATGAGACACGCCGATGAAGTTCCCCGCTAAACAGGTGTACTCGCCGGCGTCGCCCAGAGACACGTTCCTCAGAGTCAGGACCTCCATCTCTTTGTCTGTGGTGTTCAAACCCACCGTCTGGAAACAACGAGGAGACACAGGAGGTGAAAAGACGGTCCAGTCCAGCCCAGTCTCAAAATGACCAATGATGAAGAAGAAAACACGTGTGATCCACAGATGAGTTGAAGGTGATGTTATCTGACCTCTGAACTTTTCCTCACAAACACAGCTGACCTTCATCTGTAAATAAACCCTCATTGTTGCTCTGTTTCCTGTATATACAATCACTCCTACATACATATATTACAGTTATGTAAGATCCTCTTTCTCTCCTTATTGGACTTTAAACGGTCCTGTTCTGATCACAGAGGAACCGGTCCCTGGTCTCTTCTATACAGGAGCGCTCGGACTCTGACCTTCATTGTGTTCAGCCTTTGTTCAGAGAGCGATGTAATAATCATACGTACAGAAGTTCCTGGACTCCAGCCAGGCTCAACAAACCAAACAGGCTGAGAGTCAGTCATCACAGAGTCCACATCATAAACACAGATGTGGTTTAGGTCTGCTCTGTCAGAAGAAAGGCTGGAGGACCAGGAAGACCCTCTTTATGTCAGTGAATCACAGCCGAGCTCTGACCGGAAACTCTCGGCTGGGTGATACGGACCAAAAGTCATATCCCGATATATTTGGGCCAGGGGTTCTCAACCTTTTGCGAGCTGGGCCCCCCCCCCAGGCAATGTTAATGAGAGACCTGAGCCTGTTTTGCCTTGCAAAGATCCTCAATTCTTGGTGCAATGTTTGATAAACACAGACACCATCCGGGAGAGAGGCTAAAACCTCTGGTAACATACTGAGGATCCTTACTCACACATGCAGGAGCAGCAGCGATCAGATGCAAACATTGGTATTAAGTGTAAGAAACCTGTCTGACTACAGCGGCTCATTACACCACTGTTTAACGGAGATCTGACATAAAAGAACGGAGGGAAAATGTCTTACCTTCACTCTGGTGTCTAAAACAGTCAGCATTATCAGTCATCCAGCTCCAACAGGTTAATAATCCATCGATATTATTCCCGTTTACATCCTGTTTGAATCCCATTTACAACCTTGCGGTTAGCGTCTCATCCATTTGCGTGAAAAATTAAAGTTTTTAGCGCTGTTTCTGGTCGGCCCGCTCAGTCGTTTATTTCCTGGTCTTCTTCCCCTGGGACACAGACCCTGTCTCGGTTCCGACGCGGTGAGTTAGTCACAGCCTGTCTGGACCTGTGGTCTGGACACCGCACCAGGTCCAGAGCTGCTCCTGCTGTCGGTCTCTATCAGGACACTTGAAGCTAAAGCGAGCTAAAACTTTTTTTCACACAATGCAAATGGATGAAACGTGCTGACCGCGAGAAACGGGATGTAAATAATATTGATGGATTATTAAACTGCTGGAGCTGGATGACTGATAATGCTGACTAGTTTAGACTCCAAAGTGAAGGTAAGAAATATTTCCTCAAGGTTTGATCAGTTATGTCTCCGCTCGGATGTGTGGTTGACAGAGATCAGGACGTTTCATATTTTTTTAAGGTCACGTTTGCTCCTTTATTTTATATCAGATCTCTGTTCAACAGTGGTGTGGTGTAATGAGCTGCTTTAAGAGCAGTAGTTTGGTGAACACAAGTAAGTCTGTGTGGATGAGAGGAGACAGGTGTGTGGATGAGGGACACTGGTGATGAAGTTTATACAGTTAATACCGATGCTTACTTCAGATCACTGCTCTGTGTGTGTGTGTGTGTGTGTGTGTGTGTGTGTGTGTGTGTGTGTGCGTGTGTGTGTGTGTGTGCGTGTGTGTGTGTGCGTGTGCGGGCTTTTATTGACACCATGCCATGCTGCAGCTTCTTGATGAGGTTTGGCTGTAAATTGTTCTATTTCCAACTGCTTGGGACTCTGCTACATCTCCTTTGTACTAATAGCCGGTGAGTGTCCTTCTTTGTTTAAAGATTTTGTGTGAACAACAGCATCTGATATCTGTATATCGATATATGCGATATGGTCAAATTCCATATCTAAAAATACATCAATATATTTCTTATATCGATATATCGCCCAGTCCTAGGTCAAACGTCTCTAACTCATGGACACCAACCTTGAGGACCAGAACGTACGGCTGTCCATCAGGTCCTTCTCTGCTGCCGTTGACAGTGATGTGTTTTAGCCACTGGATGTGAGGCTGAGGGTCGCTGAACACCCGACACACGAAGACCACATCACTGCCAACCACTGCGGTCTGGTTGGCCGGCAGACCGGCCTGCAGGATTGGTCTGTGAGGAGAGCGCTCTGGAAGACCAGGTTTACACTGTGTCAGTCGTGAAGGATCTTAACAGTCACTCTAGTTATATAGAAATATACAAGTATAGACAGACAATCTCTCAGACTCTGACTTTATACCATCAGACCTGGACAGACCTGTTTTTTCTCATTCTGGACACGTCGTAGTCTAACAGGTTTTATTTCTATTGAAGAAAAAAAAGCGGACTGCTCCTTTTTGTTTTCAAAACCAAACTAAACTCAGCTGAGAGATTTTTCCATCACTGCCTCCGTCCACTATTTCTGTGCAGAGTTTTCGGCTCGATTGTCTGACTTTATTGTTCAGTTTGGAAACGTCAAACGGGCCAACCCTGACCCTGGACTGGAGGGAGTTCACCCGAGACTCGGTTTAAAGTCCGGAGTCTGGGCCGGGTGGAGGGAAATCTAAGAAAGAAACTGTCTACGTGGGTGAATCTATGAAAAAAAACACCTAACCCTAAAAAAATTCTAACAAAGGTTTCTCAGCTGTTTTTTATAGTATTAGATGTCTTTAATAACAAACTTAGAGTTTACCAAAGTTTGACCACTAGAAAGGTGTAATTTTTAAGATGGTGTCCATGACGGTACGAAGCCCGGGGAGACACCCCAGGCGAATAGGGTAAAATTTTTAACTAACAGATATCACCATGAGACTTCCCAAGTTTATAACTTACATTAAGACAAATATTTTTTATATTACAAGTTTTGTCAAATGTTATGTTTGAATATGTAAATGAGGTAATATCTAATTAAATATGCACTAATTTTCATACATTTACAGAACCAAAAACTGAACAATGGATAAAGCCCCTTTCAAAATTCTGGTTTTATTTTGTTGACATACTAGAGTCGGGGGGGAGGGGGTCGTCGTCAGTGTCGTTTTCTTCCGCTTTTCCGGGTCCGGGTCACGGGGGCAGCAGCTTCAGGAGGAAAGCCCAGACGGCCCTCACCCCAGCCACTTCCACCAGCTCCTCCGGGGGGATTCCCAGGGGCTCCCAGGCCAGGCGAGAGACATAATCTCTCCACCTGGTCCTGGGCTGACCACGAGGTCTCTACCCAGTGAGACATGTCTGGAACACCTCTAACTGGGGGCGTCCAGAAGGCGTCCTTACCAGATCCCCGAGCCACCTCAGCTGACTTCTCTTGATGTGGAGGAGCAGTGGCTCTACTCTGAGCGCCTCCCGAGTGTCAGAGCTCCTTACCCTATCTCGAAGGCTGAGCCCGGCCACCCTGCCGAGGAAACCCATTTCAGCCGCTTGTATCCGCGATCTTGTTCTTTCGGTCATTAGCCAAAGTTCATGACCATAGGTGAGGGTCAGGTGAGAGTGTTTTATTTTGAAAAGAAGCCGGATGTTTCATCTTGTGTCTGTGCCCGACTTCCTTTCCAACACGGGTTAATCTGTGCTGAATTTATCTGGCATGCTCCAGTATCCGGAAAAAATAGAACTCTTGCGATCAGCTGTGGAGTCCAGTGATCCGCAGCAGAACGGAAAGAAGCCAGTGGAAATTGACAAGTTAACTTGAATGGTTATGATCAGCTAGGATCAGCGGATACGACCTTTTCGGAGACGTTCAGGATGTGGTGGAAATTGGGGGTTAGTTTGTTTTTAAGGACATTTAATCCTATAAAAAAACAGCTGAGAAACCTTTGGTTATAATTTTTCAGGGTTAAGTCATATTTGCACCTGACTAGTCAGACACGCACGGTGAAGCAGAACAATGACAGAACTTTAGTTTGAACATTAACCGCTCTACGATGATCAGGTGACGCTCAGAGATGTCCAATCATTAACATCCACTTCACTCACTGTCAGCAGGTCATTGGAGAACTTTCCTCCTGTCTCTCTTAACTTCACAAAACTCTCAAAAATAGTGAATAAAGCTCGACTGATCGCAGTCTTGATCATCTTACCAACGACGTCCAGCAGGTAGGTATGTTTGAGGCTCCCGTGTTCATTCTCCACCACACAGGTGTAGTTCCCTTCATCAGAGGGGACCACTGACTCCATGATAAGAGTCCACATGTGGTCTCTGATCTGAAACAGCGTGGAGAGGGAAAGTCAGCATTAAAACAGGAAGTTCCGTCTCTGTTTCCTGTTTGGGGGATCAGTCAGACACTCGCCTTAAACCCTCCGATTCTTTGGTCCTTCCTGAACTCTTTCCCGTCCTTGTACCAACGCAGGGTGGGGACAGGGTTTCCGGTCGCCTGGCACCGGAACTTCACCGTCCTGCTGGCGGGGACAGCGTGGAGTCGCTTCTCCATCTTCTCGGGCATCACCCACTGCGGCGCCAATGCTGACAAAGACAAACCCCGTGATCACCTGATTGAACAAACACAATAACAAAGACAGAGGAGAACGTGGCGAGGCTTACGCTGGATCTTCTCGTTGCTGGTCGACTGCTCATTGGACAGTTTGTTTTCCTCGGAGGACGACTCATCGTCTTCTTCGTCTTCGGAGGATTTCACGGCATCTGCAAAAGAAAAAAGGTTAAATGTTTATAGCTGAGTAAGGATTAACCTTTGACCTCTGACCCCCATCAGTGAAGAGTGTCTCTGAGAAGGAGGCTTTAAGACTTCCTGTTCGACCTCAGCGCAGACAGGAGCTGTCACCCGGGCACAGCGTTACACCCCGACACTTCCTCCTCTCTCTGCCCGACACTATTAACACACACACACACACACGCACACACATACGCAGATCCCCTTGTTGACTCAGTTGAAAAACTTCACACTGAAATTAAACCTCCACGTTTTTTCATGGTCACTGTGTCAGCTGGAGTTCGGTGTCGGGGTCAGCGGCGCGGCGTTGATGAAACTTCCTCTTTTATAAAGTGAAGCTGAAACTGTGTGAGACTGTCTCTAGAGGACACTTAAGGAACTGCAGTTTTTAGTGTTTCTTCAGCGCTAACTAAGGTTCTTCAGACATTCTCTAAATGTGACTCGACGCTTTGATTCAAACATTATATTATAAAATAATATATAATATAATATTGTAGGATAGTACAGTATTGTTTAGTATAGTAAAGTATATAATATTTTATTATGATATATATTATATAATATTATATTATGGTTTATTATATTATATCATATTATTGTATATTATATTATATTATATCATATTACAGTGTAGTATATCACGTTATATTACATTATAGTATAGTAAAGTATACTATAATATAGTAAAATTTATTATAAAATAGGATATTATATTACATAACATTTTAGTATATTTTATTATAGTATATTTTATTATGATTTATATTACATTACATTAAATTACATTACAGTACAGTAAATTATATTATATCATATTGTATTATTGTATATTAAGTTACATTACATTATAGTATATTAAAGTATACCATAATAAAGTTAAATTCATTATAAAATAGAATATTATTATACATTACGTTACATTACATTATATCATAGTACAGTAAAGTATATTTTATTATGATCAGTGGCGATTGCTCTAAGACTGCAAGGGAAGCTCAGCTTCCCTTAAAATGTCACCCCCCAAAAAAAAGAAAAAGTGGTGAAATACGTACTGCTGTGTGTTCATTTCATCAACTAAATACGCGCTAGAAAGCCTTCATCTTTTGTTCAGAATCAGCTTCTTATCACACCGTGATAAGGTAACCGGCATAACTTCGTTCTCATTCATCCTCGCAGCGCCTCAGCGCTTCACACAGCCGGACGCTCAGCGTCTGCTGACTTCAATGTGGAAGCTCAAAGTGGGTTGTTCCAGCAGCGAAACTAGACGCTCATTGGATAAATGCTGGGCTTTGTCCCGCCCATCGAACGCTCAGCGTCTCTGGAGTTCTATGACGAGAGGGCGGTCCCAACTTTCTCGCGGACGCTGAGCTTCTGCATCCATGATTGGATGTGCTGTCTGAGGCGAAATCCTTTTTTGATTGACAGCTAAATAAGCGAATAAGCGATCTTGAAGAATAAAACATCTACCAGAGCATTTTCCAAGTTATTCATTCAGTTGTTCTTAACTGCTCCGGAGACTTTACCGATCCTCAGCGACTTTTGTCTTTGTTAAAAACGACTGCCGTTGTGTTTGGCAACTCTGTTCTGTTACATACAAATAAACAAACACAATTATGATGTAGGCCAGAAAAATGAGCTTCCCCTCCTTGAAAGACCAGCAGCCACCACTGATTATGATATATATTATATTACATTACATTACAATACAGCACAGTACAGTTTATTGCATTACATTACATTATATTATATCATATTAGATCATATTACATTACTATATTACATTATATTATATTTCTCTACTATATGATATGATATGATATCATATATATTATATTATATTGTATTATAATTACATTGTATTGTAGCATAGTATCGTATAGTATAGTATATTTTATTATGATATATATTATATTACATTAAATTACATTACATTACAGTACATTATATTATATTACATTACATCATATTATATTATATACATATCATATATGATATGATATGTTTTTTTATATTTTTTTATCAAATTACATTATTTTGTATTGTAGTATATTATATTATATTATATTATATTATTATTATACAGTCCCTGTCTCCATTGAACCACCAAGTCAACCTTCTTCATGGAGGTTTTTTTTTTATCCCGGACATAAAGTTCTAGTGCAGACAAACAAAACAAGTCCAGAACCAAAACAGCCGAGAGACTGGGACACGTGTGAATGTGGGAACCTTTGTAAAAACTGAAAATAAGAGACTCTGTCAAACACATCAAACAGTTTCTATAAAGAGAGTAAAGTGTTTTGGTTAGACAGGGCTGGGTTTTTATAAGGAGGTCTCAGAGAGAGAGTCAGAACTGTTTTTGTTTCACAGCAGAGAGACCAACTGTGAAGTGAGAGAAAAACAAGAGTTTACAGGATCAGATTGTTCTCAGCTGGAGGTCAGATGTTTGGAGGAGCAATAAACCCTGACAGTTAATATTCATGGATATGAACATGAACGCCGACACATCCAGGAAACCGTCTGTTAACCGTCTGTGTGTGTGTGAGGTGGCTCAAACCCAGCAGACTGTGAGCAGCATCTGTTCCTGAGTCTGGACAGGATATACAAACCATAACCAGCAGCCCGAGAGCCAAGCCTCACTTAGACCAGAACAAGAACCATCACTCTGACCAGTTTCAGATGCCCAACCTGAAAAAAGTCACTTTCCTATTAAAGAAATTCTCTCACTGGAAACTTTTACGAGAGTTTGGAGTAAAAACACCAAGAAGACGTCCGCAGAAGACAGGAGAGAGTTCAGACAAAAGAGAGGAGGGAGAAACACACCAGTCAGACCAGTAAAAACAGGCTGAACACAACCGTACAGACCAGTGAAAACAGGCTGAAACACACCAGTGAAAACAGGCTGAAACACACCAGACAGACAAGCAAAAACAGGCTGAAACACACCAGTCAGACCAGTAAAAACAGGCCGAAACACACCAGATGGACCAGTGAAAACAGGCTGAAACACACCAGTGAAAACAGGCTGAAACACGCCCGACAAACCAGTGAAAACAGGCTGAAACACACCAGTAAAATTAGTCTGAAACACGCCAGACAAACCAGTGAAAAAACAGGCTGAAACACACCAGACAGACCAGGGAAAATAGGCTGAAACACGCCAGACAAACCAGTGAAAACAGGCTGAAAGACATCAGTCAGACCAGAAAAAATAAGGCCTAAACACACCAGACAAACCAGTGAAAAAAAACGGGCTGAAACACACCAGACAGACCAGTGAAAACAGGCTGAAAGACATCAGTCGGACCAGAAAAAACAGGCTGAAACAAACCATACAAACCAGTGAAAACAGGCGGAAACACACTAGCCTGGCTGAGCCATCCTGTTGCGTGAGTCACTTGACGTTCCTTCCCACCACAGTCTGGACTTCGGCCCATAGAGAGCGTGTATTCCCAATCAGAAAATAACCGGGCCAATCAGAGACCGTGTTTCCACTGTTACCCGGACAACAGGGAAAGGCAGCCCCTGATTGGTCCATGTGTAGTGGTGACGTCTAATAGATGCTGCGGGACTTTTCAAAGCGCCGTTCATTCAGAACGCCGTTAATTCAGAACGCCGTTAATTCTGCAGTTGACTTTGCAAAGTCGTCAGAAATCGTTTATATCCACAGAGGAAGACGTAAAAGACATTGTTTGCTCGCACACGTTGAAATATTACCAAACGTTTACTTGACGGTTGAGAGCCCAGCAGGGAACACAATTGCGCACTGTGATGACGTCAGATGTTTGGTTACGGTGATTGGTTACAGTAAACTACCCACTTTCAGGGCTCCCTATGGGCCGAAGTCCAGACTGTTGTGGGAAGGAACGTCAAGTGACTCACGCAACAGGTTGGCCCAGCCAGGCTAGAAACACACCAGATAGACCAGTGATAAAACAGGCTAAAACAGACCAGCAGCACATCTGTCTGTTTCCCATTTTAGAGACTAAACTGGAGCTCCTGCAGAGTCCACTTGCTGCTGCATTAACCTGGAACCACTAACCAGTAATACCAGTAAATTGTTGCCATTACATCAACATCTACAGTAGATATTTCTACGCTGTGGTTCAACAGAGACAAAGAGACATCTAAGAAGTGTCTTACCCGTGTCTGTGTCCTCTGTGGCTGGTCTGGACTGAGTCCCAGGAACCTGGACCAGCAGAACCAGCAGGAAGCAGGAGAGCAGCAGCAGCAGGACACAGCAGCGGGGGAGAGGAGGCATGCTGTCCTCTGACCTCAGATCAGACAGACTGGGGGATGACAGAAAGAGACCATACAGTCAAGTTTACAGGTAACCATGGTGACCAGGAGGTTTAATTTACAAAAAATACACAAACACACCAGTTATAACAGAACCAGGACCCCACAGTACCTAAACTAAGGACTCTTCACACCTGCACAGCTGTTTGTCAGAGGGGGGTGAGGATGTGCTGATTTGGACACATAAACCTTTGACACCCAGAGTGACCCCGACCCCCACCCTCTGCCCACCTGTGACCACTAAATCTGAGTCAGCAGTAAATCAGCTGATAGACATGCATGCAGCCCTTCACAAACACAGACAGCAGAACCATTTGCTGCATGAGTCTCTGTGAAGGTGTGAAGATCATCGTCTGCTGAATCCATTAACTCTGAACAAGGTCGAGGGGGGAGAGACGGCGGCCCAGACAACCATACATTTTAAAATAATCTTCTTCCAGATAAAAATCCAAGCAGTGAAACATGTGAACATGGTAGAGGAGAGATTAAGACATCCTGTCAAATCTCTGCATTGGTAACCTGTGTCTTTTAGAGTAGATTTTAAGGTTCTTTTTATTTGTTTTTAAACCCCTAATGGTCTTGGTCCTTCTTATTTGTCTGATTTACCATATGAGCCTAGTAGAGCCCTCAGGTCTTCAGGTCTTTTAATTGTTCCCAAAGTAAAAAACTAAAACATCATTGTGAATCATTGTTATATTACAGTCCCCATCTGTGGAACAGCCAACCTGCAGACCTGAGAGCGACACCTACTGGTCATACTTTTAAAAGTAAACTAAAGACCTACCGTTTTAGTCTGGCTTTTAGTTCAATTTTGTTTTAATCTTTTAATCTGCATTATATCATATATTTACATTATTTTACATTTACATTACATATATTTATATTATATATTTTACCCTATTTTACTCCTAGATTAACAATTTTGTGTTTTACTACCTCTTTTTAATTTACTTTCTGTTATTGTTTGATTTTCAGACAATTTCATTTAATTAACTTTTAATGCTTTATCATCTTTATTACATTTTATCATGGTTTTATCATTTTAGTCCTAGATCCAGTGTTTCCTCATCTTTTTTAAGTCAAGATAGTGTTTCCTCAGTCATCTGTGGAAAGTTAAAGAGTCCTCACCTGGTCTTTTGTGTGTGTATCTGTGTGTGTGAGTGCTGTATGTGTTGAATGGAGGTAAGGAGGGTGGGTGGGGTTTTGTATTTATATTTTTATTTATTTTATTTCATTGTTTTTTAATATCCTCTTTGAATGGACAGCACTTTGTGCCTCATTATATGTATGAAAACTGATTTAAAAATAAAGTTTGATTGATTGATACCTCACTCATTGTTCTGTTTTAAACTAACTTTAATCTAGAGCTTTAATTAGCAAACATGGTAGTTTGGGGCGACATGTCTCAGTCATTTTGGGGTTAGTTATCACATGTTTAAAGGGATTAAAATTAACATAGTTTACAGTTGTCATATTGAAACTTTGACTTTATTTTCACAGAGAACAGAGTGGTTTTAAGGAGAGGATAAAGAGAGAAGACATGGTCAGGAATTAGAAAGAAAAACAGAACATGTCAGTGCAGTTCCTGACGTGATGCTGAGGACTGTCAGACAGGTGACCCTCGCTAATAAATCAATCTGGAGGACAATAAAGGACTTTAATGTCAACTACAATACCTTGGTTCAGTACTGTAAAACATTCACCTCAGCTGAAATACGGAGTCAGACAGATCTCCAAACTCCAGAGCATCATGATAATATTTTATGTTAACATTTGTTTAATGACTTTTTCTTTAACTCAATGATAAACATTTGTTCAGCATTAAGTGTTCACTTTCAGGTAAAAAAAACGAGAACAATAATTTTGTTCTTGTTTTATTAGCTGTGAACTCCACTGTGACATCTTACCCCATGTAGTGAGACAACTTACCTGATGGTGGGGCAACATGTCACATGATCACACTCTCTATTTGATTGGTTATAACTCTGCACTGACACAAGATATGAAAATGACATGAATATGAAATATACCTGAGACTTTGGTATTTCTTCTGGTACACATTTTGTTTATATATGATGGATTGATTCGAAGAAATATATAAGAGTGTTAAAAGTGTGACAACAAGCCCTGGTCTCCCCTACTTTAAATCAAAAGATGCCTCCCGTTCCTGCTCCTTCTGTGTTTGACAAAAACAGGTCTGCCGACTCTTTTCACAACTGTCTGTTGTTACTTCTTTTGTTGCACAAACTCATGAAAACTTAAAGCGACCTTACGTCTTTTCAGCAGGTTTAAAAATCACATTTATGTTATTATGACCCTGTTTAATCAGACTGTGGAGCAGCAGCAGAGATCTGCCCAAACTTTGAAGCAGGACTAAAGGAGGAGAGTAAACACAGCAGGACTCTCATCATCTAATTGAGCCTCATAAACATGATGAACACCACCATGTCTGTGTGCCTCTCTGAACCAGGACATCACAGGACACCGTCCCGGTCAACACCATTACTCAGCCTGAGCGTGATGTGCATGAGGAGCAGAGGGAGGGAGCCGTCTTTATGGAGACAAATTTAATATCTTAGAGACAAGGACTTACAGACAGCTGCAGCCTCTTACAGTAATGAGACTTTCTGAGAGACTTACAGAGTCACCAGAACCATCAGGGTAACAAACCCCTCCTTCAAAGGATTCTGGGAAAAGCTGCGGCCTCTTTCCCTCCCACTCACATACACAATGACATTTTCAGCAAACACAGAGTCAGTGAATAGATCCAGATACTAGATCCTGCACTGACACAAATGCCGGAGTCTTTCAGAGTCAGATACGAAGCTGATGTCTCACCGGAAAGCGAGTTCAGACTTTCAGACTGACGACACAAAGTCTGAAAAAAAAAACATGTTTATGAAGATGATGTTTTACAAAATTAAACTGTTCAAGTTCATCAATTTAAGACCTAAACCTCCAAATTAGTCCTCAGGAATAATTTGACACACATGTTGCAGACAAATGCTTATCTGTATCTTGATATAAATGGCCAATCATGCGCCACATTTATCGATTCAGGAGTCATGGTGGACCGCTCTATCTTCAACACTTAACAGACTGTGCAATAAACTATCAAGAGAAAGGAGAGAAGGGAGCAGGTTTTACCTCTGTGTGAGCCTGAAAAGCCAAGGGACAGAGTGTGCATGATAAGAAGAGACGCTGTAGCATGAATGAGTGATATGCTGCAGGATTACAGGATCGCATTCTTACTTTGTCTGCAGAGAGTTTTATGCACGCAAATCACCAGGACCAGGAGTGAGAGGTTAACGCTGAACAAACATCATGTCTGAGAACAATCTCACATTTCTCTCTTCAAACATTTGTAACATTTAACCAAAAAGTCCAAATTTAATGCCTCACTCAGTACATTTACGTGCACTTAATCAGACTAAGCCTATAATTTGTTTTTTTTTCGCTGAATCGGACTTCTCTCCTTGTCCGCATATACATGCAGCTCAGAAAATTGAATTATGGACGTGCACATGTCCTCCTCCCCAAAACTAGGGGGCGATATGGGTCTTTTCAGTGATTTCAGATATTTCCGACCCCATACAACCGTCCACAACAACAGCAGGTCCGTGCCAGATGTCAGAAGTGTCTACAACTGCTGCTGGGCATTTTGGGGCAAGAAGATGGAGCATTGTACAGCATTGTTTTTGTCCTACATGATGGACACGCTACTTTTTCTGCAGATAAGACGCACGCTACTCCTCTTCTCTGGTGTTTTTGTTCTGGGGTTATGGGGGCGTGGCGCACGCACACATGTACTGTCCTATTATACTCCGACTACGCTGGTTACATGGTAGAGAAAATCAAATTCCAATCACATTATCTGGGTGTCTTAATCGGAGTTCTCCGACTCCGGTTTTAGTCCAACTAAGGTGTTTACATGCACTTCAGTTGTTCGGTCTTCATCTGACTAAGGCGATAATTCAGTTTTCTCAAGTGTCATGGAAATGTACTGAGAGTGTGATCTTTTTTACATATCCTGTTTAAAGTCGTCAACGCTTTCTTCCGCTTATCCAGGCCCGGGTCGCAGGGGCAGCAGCTTCAGGAGGGAAGCCCAGACGGCCCTCACCCCAGCCACTTCCACCAGCTCCTCCGGGAGGATTCCCAGGGGCTCCCAGGCCAGAGAGACATAATCCCTCCACTTGGTCCTGGGCTGACCACGAGGTCTCCACCCGGTGGGACATGTCTGGAACACCTCTAACAGGAGGCCTCCAGAAGGCATCCTAACCAGATGCCCAAGCCACCTCAGCTGACTCCTCTTGACGTGGAGGAGCAGCAGTTCTACTCTGAGCGCCTCCCAAGTGTCTGAGCTCCTTAGCCTATCTCTAAGGCTGAGCCTGGCCACCCTGCAAAGGAAACCCATTTCAGCCGCTTGTATCCGCGATCTTGTTCTTTCAGTCATTACCCAAGGTTCATGACCATAGGTGAGGATCGGCACGTAGATCGACTGGTAAATCAAGAGTATTGCCTTACGGCTCAGTTCTTTCTTCACCACAACTGATCGGTTAAGCGTCCGCATCAGTGCTGATGCCGCTACGATCTGCTTGTCGATCTCCCACTCTATCCTACCCTCACTCGTGAACAAGATCCCGAGATACTTGAACTCCTCCACTTGAGGCAGGACCTCTCCTCCGACCTGGAGAAGGCAATCTACCTTTTTCAGACTGAGGACCATGGCCTCGGATTGGAGGTGCCGATTCGCATCCCAGCCGCTTCGCACTCAGCTGCCAACCGCCCTAGCAAGAGCTGAAGGTCACTGCTCAATGAAGCTTGAGGAACCACATCATCCGCAAAAAGGAGTGACGTAATCCCCCCACCTCACCCCCAGCTGTGCCTAGAAATTCTGTCCAAATGAACAGATGAACAAATTCTGTCTTATGAACAGAACTGGTGACAAAGGGCAGCCCTAGCAGAGTCCTCTCACTGGAAACGAGTTTTACTTACAGCCGGCAACACGGACCAAGCTCATGCTCCTTTGGTAAAGGGATTGGACGGCCCTGTCTAAAGTGACACTTCACTTCAATAATCAATGACAGGCTGACTGTAACAACAGTCTGTTCCAGGTTTCACACCTCTGTTTATTGCCTGAGCTGACTTTGAATGTGTTTAACCATTGAGTGTTATTGTTGCTGCTTTAATAGGGTGAAAAACAATCATCTTATTTTAGCTGCTGTCATGATAATGTCAGTAAAGACAGAGGTGAATGTGTTAAAGAGAATCAGACAGGGAGAGGATGTTTTTCCACACCGTGGGAGGAGGAAGGATTACGTACCAGTCCTGGAAAGATGGATGCACTGACACCTTTTTAACGTCTGTCTGGTGTGAGCCTCAAATGTCGGTTTTTATTGCTGTACGAATTAATTTCTGCAGACAAATATCCAGACTAAAAACAGGACTCAGAAATGAGGATTTCCCTCCGATTTGAACAGCCGTCCTGCAGCCTCAGGGTTCAACTTCCCGTGCTAAAGGCCTCACTTACACATTAGATTCTGCAGCAGGCTGGCAGACTGAATACCTCTCATACTAACACACCAACCACACCACTCATCTGTCCATCCATCCCTCTATCTCTGGAAGCTGGAAAACAACACAAACAGGAAGAGACACCATGCTGATCTGGAACGAGAAGGCAGAGAAGCCCACAGAGAGTTCATTTAAAGGAGAAGCACAGACAGAAGGAGTCTGTGTTGGTCTGAGAGCAGCTGAGGGAGGCAAAAATCAGAAGAAAGCACATTTAGACGGCGTGTGTTTTTGGTCGGAGCTGCTGGGAACTCGCCGTGTGGAGGCTAAGAGTGGAAAAGTGAGTCACACTCCTCATGCACACTCCAAATATTCCCTCCTGACAACTTAAACTGAGATGATTTAACAGCTGGGCAGACGCACATCCCCGTCAGATCACAGTGACAGTAACCACGCACGGTAACAATCTCATTTACAATATGAAGTGACGAACAAGGACGTCACTGCAAGATACGCAGCTGTAAAACTGAGCCATAAAGGCCACCGTACACTCACCTGTATTTACAGTGAAGGGGAAGGAATCTGTTTACTTTGTCAGGATGAGTAAAGTCACATGTACGACATGAGATTATCTATAGAGACAGAGGTAACAGGACCAAAACCAATACAAGGTGGTCCTGAGAAGGCTCCATTAATGCTGAACAATATCTACAGGTTTAGGAGCATCAGGACTCTGTAGTTGGAGTCACCGCATCATGGACTTAAAGGGATATTTCTGCTTAAAATTAATTTAGGGTCAAACACACCAAGAGATAAAAGTTGCCAACCACTTACTTTTCTAAACACAACTCACCTACTCTCTTCCAGCAGCCGCTTGTTTGTAGCGAGACCTCAGGCCAGTCCATTACGGACTACAGTGGGGTATCGCAGCTCAAGGAAGAACATTTATGATCATTTCTTTATCATTTCTTTGAAGTAATAACCACCATATTAATCATTTTGTACTGCAGACGCAGTAGTTCTTCTGCCTTAGCGTCTCGGCCTGATTGTGAAGAAATTATCATAAATGTTCTTCCTTGCGCTGCGTCACCCCGCTGTAGTCTGTAATGGACTGGCCTGAGGTCTCGCTACAAACAAGCGGCTGCTGGAAGAGAGAAGGTGAGTTGTGTTTAGTCTCTTTGCTAGAGAAATTAGGCAAAGTTAAAAAGGTGTTTGGTGGCTAGTACTATGGCTGGGACCCTATATGTACTGTTGATGAAGTTAGGTGCTGTTCTGAGCATTATTTGTGGCTATAGTGACGTTTTGGTTGAGGTTTGTTTTAGGCCTGGACGATATAGAAAAAAAGCATATCGATAAAAAATAAATCATATTGATCGATATCGATAATTATCGATATAATTGTTATAATTATTTAACATATATTTTAATTGCAGCCCTGGATGTTTTATGCTATTGCTTAATGACCTACTTTTAATAAAGAACACACAAGCACTGAATTCAAATTCAAACCTTTATTACACCACCTTTTTTATTTTACCACAACTGAAAGTTTTTTAAAAAAGAACTAAAAAAAAAAAGAAATCAACTTAAGTGGCCTGAGTGACGTCAGTAAATACTGACAAACATAAAGACTAAAGTGACCAGAAAATCTGATAAATAAATATTTAAATATTCTTTTGATGAAAATAAACAAATATATAAATAAACAGAATAGCTTTAGGTGGGAATAGCATACTACCAGTTTTAAAATATGAGCTCATTTTCTTCCACTTTTAGAAGCTACACCGGAACGTATTTCCTCCGCACCCTTCTCACCTTTACAACCCCTGACCCATTTTAATGCCTGAAGCGCTGTGTTTGAGAAATACTTGCGGCCAGACACTTCATATCGCGGGTCGAGAGTGGCTAGAAGCTGGTCGAAGCCAGGCTTTTCAACGGTAGTTATTGGCAGTATGTCCCTCGCTATGGAGCATGTTACTGCATGGGTGATGTCCTTATGCCGCTCGGACGCTTTGTCGTATTTTGGCAAGAAACGAAGTCCAGTTTGGTCTGCTTCACATGCTTTGTGCTGGTGCTGGCAGCGGTTCCAGAGGATTCCTCCGACGATGACGTGGAGCCGCGGCGCGGCCGACACAGCTCGTACTCCTGCGGGTGCGATCGGTTTAGATGGTAAAACAGGTTGATTGTGTTACCAGACTTCGTTTTTACTAATTCTCTGCAAATTTTGCAAACGACCGCTGTTCGCTTTTTGTCAGACTTGTAAAAACCAAAATATTGCCATGCTGGTGAACTACTGAAACCTTTTTTCGGGACAATGTCCTCCGCTTCTCCTTGCTGTATCATTTTTTCTAATACACGTGCTGTCTGTTGTGGTTTGATAGGGGCTGGGCTTGGTGCCGTAGCGTACCTGGGTCTGCGTTTGTGATTGGTTGGGAGGAAGTAATGACTGTAGTAAAAGCTACATGATAGGCTATGATGAAAAAGGAAGGGAAACTGTGTTTTTCTATCGAACTTTTTATCGACCCGTTTTTTTTCTATCGCACCACACGTCTATCGATCGATATATATTGTTATCGAATTATCGTCCAGCACTAGTTTGTTTATGGCTCCTCAGACCACTGTATATTGCTATCCTGCGGTCATTACTAAAGTTGGTAGAACAAGAGAAGCAAGCGGTCAGCAACATTCATCTCTGGAGGGGGTGTCTAACTCAGTGTTACGGTGTGTTTGACCAAAACTTAAATTTACGCTGGAATATCCCTTTAATGCCGAACAATATCTCCAGGTTTAGGAGCATCAGGACTCTGTAGTTGGAGTCACTTCATGGGTTTAATATGACTTGCCTGTCTAACACTCTTTTGGAAAGGACAACTGGACTTACTTGAGATGTTTCGCCTTTCAACAAAAAATTGGAAATCATAGATGCTGTATCCTCAGTTTTATCATAATAATAATAATACATTTTATTTGTAAAGCGCTTTTCAAGGACACAAAGACTGGGGGGTGATGGAGGTGGAAGAGATGTACAATTGAATGTCGTCAGCGTCGCAGTGGAAGTGAAGATTGTGTTGACAGAGGATGTGTCCAAGAGGGAGGAGGTAGATGATGAAGAGGAGGGGACCAAGCACCGAGCCCTGGGGGACACCTTGGGACATGGGGGCAGTTGTGGAGGAGCAGTTGTTGATGTGGATGAGGTGATTCCGGTCTGTGAGATATGAGTTAATCCAGCTGAGAGCGGTGTTTGTGATATTGAGGAGGGAGTGTAGGCGGGACAGGAAGATGGTGTGGTCGATGGTGTCAAAAGCGGCGGAGAGGTCAAGGAGGATGCGAATGGAGAGTTGGCCGGAGCCAGCAGAAATGAGGAGGTCGTTGGTGACTTTGATGAGGGCAGTTTCAGTGCTGTGGTGGGTGCGGAATCCTGATTGAATCTGTTCGTAAAGATTGTTATTGTTGAGGTGGGCTTTGATTGAGTTGAGGTGAAGTTGTTGATGTCGTCAGGGTTGAGTCCAGGTTTTTTGAGGATGGAGGTGACAGCGGCCAGTTTGAGTGAAGGGGGCACAGTGGCGGAGTTGAGGGAGAAGTTGATGATATGTGTGATCTGTCTTAAACAATTACCCCAAGGATTTCAATCAACATCTAATGAAGGACTTTAAACCGGGTGTATGTATTCATCTAATATCTAATGCAGTTCAAGTTTTACTGCAAACTACCTTTGTTTACGATAAAATAACTCTACTTCAGCTGAACACAACAATAACACACTGCTTGTAGATGTAATTCATTGTACTACCAATGTGCTGTTACTGAAGAATATACTGTTATTATTAACTGTAAAAGTACCTGTACTTGTATAAAAATCTGTTTCAATGCCTGCTGTATTTTTAATAGTGCAGAGTTACTTTAATCAAGTGTCTCAATAGGATTAATTTTTGGTAGCTGAATTACAATTTACCGATAAACACATTTCAACTTTTAGGACTTTTAATGCCTTGTCAGTACCAATTTCAGAATTTTGGAGTATTTTACCTGAATATGAAGTACATTAACATAGAAATATAGTAAGATAATATCCACACTAGACAGGATTTATTCCACAGTTAATGCTACTTCTACTCACTATTTGTGATCAATATCAACTTAATAAAGAGATTAAATACCAAAATGACACATTTTGATGTGTGTCCCTTAGTTTATATATATTTTTTGTTGATATAGCTTCTGTAATTTAGTTAGTAGACAATCATAATTATTCAACAGTTTCACTGGTGTTAAAAATGCAGACTAAAAATTGAGAAAATCGTCAATATTGTAGAATCGCAATTTTTAATCAAATTGGCACCCAAAAAATCGTAGAAAAATCGAATTGGGGAAAAGACATATCGTCCCAGCCCTAAATAATACAATTTGTTATCAATATTAACTTAAATACCAGTATGACACATTTTTGATCTATGTCCCTTTAGATTAGATAGTTTTAGTTGATATGTTTCCACCTTTTGTCAAGTTTCCTAACTCCAGCTCCACTACATCTCAAATATTCTGACCCATACAAAGCTTTTCATGGTCATAATGGGATATTTTAAAGTTCTGAATTAAACCTATCCCGTAGAGGTGGGAGGAAAAATCGATTCCCATAAGTATCGTGATTTTTTGTTTGACAATTTTTACATTGGGTTTTTTTTTTTTCTTCTTTTTTTTCAAATTTAAAAAAAATCTTAAAAATGACTTGCATATGATGTGTATTTTGGGGGAAATATGGTTTCAGGAATAGTTAGTAGATAATCATAAATCATCCAACTGTTTCACTGGCGTTTAAAATGCAGACTGAACATCGAGAAAATCAACAATATCGTAAAATCGCAATTTAAATCGAATCGGCATCCCAAAAAATCGTATAAGAATCGAATAGGGGGGGAAAGCATATCTTCCCAGCCCTAACTTCTACCCAGTATTTGTTATCAATATAAACTCAATAAACAGGTTAAACACCACTATGCCACATTTTTGGTGTGTGTCCCTTTAGTTTAGATAGTTTTAGTTGATATGTTTCCATGTTTTGTTAAGTGTTTCGATGTTTTGTTAAGTTTCCTAACTTTAGCTCCAGTATATCTCAAATATTCTGACCCAAACAAAGCTTTTCATGGTCATAATGGGGTACTTTAAAGTTCTGTATTAAACCTATCCAGTTAAGTAGAGGTAAGCTCAGTTTGACCACACTGTAAGTCAGTGGTGTCGTGATTGAGTTTGACTGGAGTTTGTTCAAAGTTACCAAAAAGAGGACATTTTTCTGTATTTTTACAAAGTAATTCAACTGTCCCATAAACATTAAGACAACGCCAGTTGACAAAAACACTAAAACAAATGCAGTGTATCTTTAAAAGAGCAGACATTCTGCTTTTAAAAGCTTATTTTTATCAAACTGAGCCGTACCTGTTGTGGTTTTGTCGTTACAGCCGAGAGAGTCGATCCAACGGTCCAACGTTGATTCGACAAAGTCCGGGACTAAAAACACCGACCAAAGTCAACTTTCCTCCCCTGAAAATCATCGACTGTCGCGGGTGGAGCTTTGCGGTCGTGTTTGGAGCGATTTAAAAAGAGTTAAACTCGCTTAAAAAACACGTTTAAAAGCAGATTGAACGGTTAACGTCCACGCTCGCGCTCCACTCCTGCAGGGAAAAACGTGGGAAAAGTGAAGCCCAGATTCAGCGCATTGTCCCCGGGAACAGGGACCGGGAAGAAACGCCTTCAGTGGGAGTTCCCTCTACACACACCCCCCTCAACAACAACCGAGACCCCCGGAGAACATCGATTCATTGACTCCATGTTCCGATTGGAGCCAAAAAGCAGATCCGTGTGTGTGTGTGTGTGTGTGTGTGTGTGTGTGTGTGTGTGCTTTTACATCCCCCCCCTCTTTGTCTTGCAGGAGCAGGAAGAGAAAGGATTTCCTCTCCTTAAAATTCCTGCTGTGCTCTGGTGTCTTACCACAGATTAACCATTGATTTGTTTTCACTGGGTTTGGTTTGGGATTAGGAGGAGGTTAAGGAAGTGCTCAGATCCTTTTCTGAGGTACAAGTACTGCGATTACCTCACTGTATGCCTGTGGAAATACTACTTAAATCACACTGTTTAACTGTTACTGTTTTTATCCATCTGAAGAATTTTTATGGTGTAGTTTAGAGTAAACATTAACTTCAGTAGAGTACTAATACCACACGATAACAGACAGGGAGTGTACTTTGATTAACTCGTCCTCATGTGCACTTTACTTTTTAAATTTTATGACACTTTACAACTCAAGTCCTTTTTTTTATTTATTTAACTGCACCAGGGTCTTACAGCTGCAGTTATAAACAAGGTATTTACTATGTCTACTTAAAGCTCCTGTAAGGATATCTGTGTTTTTGCAGGGTTTGGCGCTCCCTGTGGACAAAAGGGAAAGTCCCGCCTCCTTCGCCACTGATTGGCTAGAAAAGCTGGAAACATGATCACACGCTCAAGCCAAACAAGGGCTGTCGGCTCTGTACATCGAACAGAACATTATTGCACTTTTGAAACTCCTAACCCTAACCCAAAAGACGATGACGTTTCACAGCCATTGGAATAACCAATGGTAGCCCAGCACTTCTAGCCAATCAGAGGCGAAGGAGGGCGAGACCTCACCCTACCATTCTACAAAAAAAAAAATTGGCGTCCTGCACAAAATGAGCAATGTCCTTTTTGAAAAGCAGATTAATGTCAGTTTGTTGGTTATTATCTTAAGTGCTTAAGTTATGATGACCAAGGTGTTATCTTGAGTTTAGTTAAATCACACTATTTAACTGTCACTGTTTTTATCCATCTGAAGAATTTTTATGGTGTAGTCTAGAGTAAACATTAACTTCAGTAGAGTACTAATACCACACTATAACAGAGAGAGTGTACTTTGATTAACTCGCCCTCATGTGCACTTTACCTTTACACTGTAGTTCTTTTATTTAATGACACTTTACAACTCAAGTCCTTTTTGTATTTATTTAACTGCACCAGGTTCTTACAGCTGCAGTTATAAACAAGGTATTTACTGTGTTTACTTAAAGCTCTTGTAAAGATATCTGTGTTTTTTTAGGGTTTGGCACCCCCTGTGGACAAAACAGTCACTGTTCTTTACCTGATTTTGTCCTGCACAAATTGAGCAAAATCTGTTTTGAAATGCAGATTATTGTCAGTTTGTTGGTTATCATCTTAAGTACTTAAGTTATGATCTTGTGAAACCAAGGTGTTATCTTGAGTAAACAGTTTAGCATAACTATCGTGGGGATAACTGAATTATCTTGTGAACCTTATATTTTTGGTTATTAAAAACAAGATATAATCTTGTGTGCCTTCTAAATCATTACTTTATCTTGTGGAAACCAGTAAGTGTAAGTATCTTGAGGGTGCAAGTGTATCATCTTTTTAACATTTATAATCATGAAGTGAAAACAAGATTTTATCTTGTGCACCAAAGTTACAATTTGAGTCAAAAAAAGAATGTATGTATGTCATAAAAACTAGATGATATCTTGTAGGAACAATTGACTGTACTTAAATTGTAGGAACAAATGATTATCTTTTAGGTACAACACAATTATCTTTTGAAAACAAGATACTATCCTGTGCGCCCAAGCTATTCTCTCAGGCTCTTCTGTGATTATCTTGTGGGACAAAGGTGTTATCCTGTGGTAACATTTTACAGTTAAAATCTTAGCGGCAGAAGTTAGTTATCTTGTGGGTACATCATCATGATATTGTATAATAAAGTTGTCTGAATCTGACGACAAGATATTATCTAGTGCCCCAAAGTCATTGCCTTAGGCACATTCGGTAATGTAAAATCTTGCACATATAAAAAATACTTTGTGCACACAAGTCAATATCTCGTTCCAACAAAAGATTTATAATGTGTGCACAAGATGTTATTACATCTGGTGCACAAGATACAAATGAGTTCCCACAAATTGGCTTGTTGCCAGTAGATATTAACTTGTGGGCACAATTTACTGTACTAACACTGTGGGAACAAGTGATTATCTTGTGGGTACAACACAATTAGCTTGTGAAAACAAGATACTATCCCGTGCGCCCAAGCTATTCTCTCAGGCTCTTCTGTGATTATCTTGTGAGACAAAGGTGTTATCCTGTGGTAACATTATACAGTTAAAATCTTAGCGGCGGAAGTTAGTTATCTTGTGGGTACATCATCATGATATTGTATAATAAAGTTGTCTGAATCTGAATCCGAAAACAAGATATTATCTTGTGTCCCAAAGTCATTGCCTTAGGCACATTTGGTAATGTATAATCTTGCACATATAGAATAGAATAGAATAGAATAGAATATTCCTTTATTGATCCCCCATGGGGGAAATTTTTTTGTCACAGTAGCATCACAGACAAAGAGTGCAAAAATGCAGTTATAAAAAGAAAGATTATTATATTAAGAACTTAAATAAATGTAATAATTAAGAAAAAAATTAGGAAAAGGAAAAAGGGAGAAGAAAAATAAAACTATATACAATAAACACAATTTAAGTGTCAGAAAAAAAAAAAAGTGGTGGTGTGAGTCCAGTTTTATTACAGTTCGTTGTAAAGTCTTATTGCAGAGGGGAGGAATGACCTGCGGTAGCGCTCCGTCTTGCAAGGTGGGAGTCTAAGTCTGCTGCTGAAGGAGCTGCTTAAGGCCCCCACAGTCTGGTGCAGTGGGTGGGAGGGATTGTCCATGATGGATACAAGCTTTGCTAACATCCTCCTCTCACCCACCTCCTCCAGGGAGTCCAAAGAACAGTCCAGGACAGAACTGGCCCTCCTGACCAGTATATTCTCTCGGGCTCTTCAGTGATTATCTTGTGAGACAAAGCTGGTATCCTGTGGGAACATTTTACAGTTATGATCTTAGCGGCAGAAGTAAGTTATCTTGTGGGCACATCATCATTATATTGTGAAAACAAGATATTATCTTGTGTCCCAAAGTTATTGCCTTAGGCATTTACGATAATCTATTACCCTGTGCACACAAGTCAATATCTTGTTGACTTGATCCTGAAAACAATAACTACTGCACTACTTGATCAACTTTTTCCTCCAAGACAACATGTCTGAACAAGATCATTTTCCATAGGTTAGTACCTTGTGTGCACAAGCTACAGATGGGTGGATATACGAGTTCCTGAACATATAAAATCAGCTATCTTCCCCTCCTGTAGTTAGATCACTGTCACTTACACACACACACACACACACACACACGGAGTCTATTGTGGATTCATGGTCAGCCTGCCGCTGCTGTAATGTGTGTTTGAGAGTGTCAGGCTGTGAACAATGACTGAGAGTGTGTGTGTGTGTGTGTGTGTGTGTGTGTGTGTGTGTGTGTGTGTGTGTGTGTGTGTGTGTGTGTGTGTGTGTGTGTGTGTGTGTGTGTGTGCAGAGCGGACACAGAGACATTATTGTGCATCATTTCTGCCGAACACACACTTCTGTACAGCTGATCTTTCACTCAGCTGTAATTTCCAGTTAAATTACTGCAAAGAATCCAAGACTGAATTCTTCTTCCCTCCTACAGAGATGAATCATTTGCCAAAGAAGGTCAAAGAGGAAATATTTGGGTCATTTGGTTGGTAGGAAATGTCCTGGAGGAAGACGTTAAATCTGACAAGTTATCTTAATGTTTAAGTTTGTCCTTAAATTGAGTTTGAATATATAACTGTTGGGTCTAAAACCTGCAACATTTACCTGATAACATATAAAGAAGAGAAAGACAATGGTATATACTCGAGGAGAATGGACAGAGATAGCATCAGGTACCATCTCGAAACCACTCTGAAAGGTATTTCCGCCCAGTCTCTTTATTTAGGGTTGTCCCTGGTTACACAATGTTTCTAAAGGGTGGGGGAAAAATATGTGCAGCAACGTAAGCACTCTCATAAAGCATAATAATGAACAACTGTGAATATGTGAAGGTCAAGGCGACATTGTTTCATCAAACGAGCTCCTTCTGATTAGAGCGGATCCTCCTCATTACTTCCCACGATTCACAGTGGAGGATACATCACCCACACACACACACACCTGCTGATAGGAGAAACAAGTTCACAGAGAAGTTAAGAAACATTCATGTGCTGTGTAATTAAGCTATTGGAGAGAGAAGTTAGAAAACACTCTTATATGGGTAACAAGAGGTCAAAACAGTTTATACTTGTAGTAAACTCTTACATAAGAATATGAGGAATAATGATAACTTCTATATACATTTATGCACATTATTCTAACAATAACTTTAACTCTCCTTACATCCTCTTCACTTTAAGTCTAGATGTGAATGATGTTGAGGCAGAAACCTTGAGCAGAACCAGACTGATATTAGACAATCATCTGCGTGTTTTGGTAAAAACAGCTGTAATGATTGTAATTGTTTAAGTATATTTCCTTTTTTAATGCTTTGCTAGCTACGGTGGCCGAGAACCGCCACTGCTGCAAATAAAAAAAGAATGCAAAAAAAAGGGTCACAACAGAAGTTGACAATGCAAAAAAAAAAAAAAGGAAAACGAAGTCTGCTGCAGATAAAAAAAAAGAAAAAAAATGCCACAACAGATGTTAACGATGCAAAAAAAAAAAAAAAGTGGCAATGGAAAAAAAAAAAAAAAGTAACTTACTGCGAAAATAAAAGGATGCAAAAACAAAAAAGGCACAACAGAAGTGAGCTCCCGGAACCGATAATGATGATGCACCAGTGTTTTACAATCTAGACACAGAAGACGACGGCGAGAAGATGAATAAAGAAGTAAGTGGAAAAGTTATTGTTTAATTTCACTTCGTAAACTTTTTAATATGTCATTTGGTTAGACCATGTAGCGCCTGAGTCCATATGAAGTTGAACTGAAGCTAACACTACACCAACATCCTCCAGTTCGACCCCTACAGACCAGGGGCCTATTCTACGAAGCAGGATTACTGCTTAGCGAGGTAACTTTGAGGGTAAGTTCGGGGTTTCCTGTTCTACGACGTGGGTCCACTTCTTAGTGAGGCCAGTGTCCAAGGCAACGTTCACTGAACGGCTAACCTGCTCCGGGGCAGGTTAGGTTCCAGATTGAACTCACTGAGTATAAAAACCCCGCCCACTGACCAATGAGCTCTCTCGAAGAATGGCTTGTCCGTTCTTGGTGGATCCTATAGACCTCGGTGCTTGCATTGTCCGAGGAGCAAAAGTTTTTTTGCGCACTATACTTACGCATTGAGACTGTCTGCAATTTTCTGCCAGCATTCCTTCCGCACTTTTGCAGCGGCAACGGTGTTGCTTTTGAGGTTTATGATAGATTTGAATTCTCCATACTTTCTCATGCTCGTCTCCTGCTCCTCGTTTGTAAAGTACGCGGGCCTTCACTCTCCGGTCTGCTCTGACGCTCAGCGTCGTAAGACCATTTAGCGAGACCGCTGGCTACCGCGCTAAGTTGGACTTGCTTGGTTGAACTTGCTTCGTAGAATAGGCCCCAGTAAGACCTCAGCTCTCTTGAATAATCCACAATCAGCCGTACATGATCACATCCTTCATACCAACAAGTTCACAGTGAACTCTGGCTGATTCCCACAGCTCTGTCTGCAGAAGTGCAGACTCATGGTAATTTAGTGTTCAGCTTCAGAGAGGTGACAGTCAGTCTGTGCTAAAAAAAACAGATTTTTCAGATTTCACTCGGACTTTAATCTGTAATTTAAACTAGAATCTGTCATTTTAGTCTGGGTTATATTGTGTGCACTGTTATTCTGACTCCGATTGCTGATTTCTTCTTTTGGATGGTATAAATACTTGTCTTCACTAAGTCTGTATATTGAGAGACAGCGAACACTGACAGCTCTAAAACTCCTGTGGCTTCCCTTCAGTTTGTTCTTTTGTTTTTGTAGGTTGTAAACATATTTGTCGTCCTCTCTGCAGAGCACAGAGGACGTTCTGTCTCTAAATGTTCATAAATCCTCGTCTGTTCTCCTCTGGTGGGAGGAACCTGATGAGAAGAGCACCTGTGTTTGCTGCTGGCTCACTTGAAGAAGTCTTGAGGCTGGCTTTGGTGACTGGGAATGTGTTTTTTACTGCCCTGCTCTGTCCAGAGTCTGGGGTTTGGCTCTGGCTCCAGGTCTGGGTGGGTCCAGACTGGTCTGGCTGTGTGGTTAAACAGGGTCAGTAGTTAGCTCTGGGCTGGGGCTGGGGCTGCTGCTGTGGCTTTGGCTCAGCGGCTCATAGAGACAGCTGCAGCATGCTGTCAGTGGGAATGTCCAAAATAATGACTGAGTGCAGATCTGCTCTGCTGCACCGAGACTGGGAGACTGATCAATGCTTCAGAGGCAGGAAAACGGAGAGTTAAGGTGAGAAGGATTATTACTTATTCTCATACATGGATGTGGAAATGAGGTCAGAAATAAAGAGACTCTGCAGCAGGACATGGTGGAGAAAACCTGTGCAAAAAACCTGCAGTTCCTCACTCTAAGGAAGAACATTTAGGAGAACATTTAACACTAAGGCAGAAGAACTACTGCGTCTGCAGTATAAAATGATTAATATGTTGATTATTACTTCAAGGAAATGATAAAGAAATGATCACAAATGTTCTTCCTTGAGCTGCGTTACCCTGCTGTAGTCTGTAATGGACTGGCCCGAGGTCTCGCTACAAACAAGCGTCTGCTGGAAGAGAGTAGGTGAGTTGTGTTTAGTCTCTTTGCTAAAGAAATGAATTAAAGTTAAAAAGATGTTTGGTGGCTAGTACAATGGCTGGGACTCTATATGTACTGTTGATGAAGTTAGGTGCTGCTCTGAGCATTATTTGTGGCTATAGAGTGGTGTTTTGGTTGAGCGCGTGGCTCTCTGTATTGCTATCCTGCGGTCATTACTAAAGTTGGTATAACTAGAGAAGCAAGTGGTCGGCAACATTCATCTCTTGAGGGGGTGCCTAACTCGGTGTTACGGTGTGTTTGACTCTAAATTAATTTTCACCGGAATATCCCTTTAACTGTGACTTCTCCATGAATTGTCCTGAGGTCTGATGAATCAAAATCTATCTCTCTTTTGGAAAGGACCTTTCAACAAAGAATTGGAAATCATAGATGCTGCAACTCGGTGTTACGGTGTGTTTGACCCTAAATTAATTTTACGTCAGAATATCCCTTAAACTGTGTTTGCATGGACGACTATCACTGCCTGGTTAGTGTTACTAATGAAAGTAACTCAATGAATTAAAATATTTAACAGTAACATTTTTTTTTTCCAGAAAAATCTGGACATCTGCACCGACACAGCTGCAGGTTAAAAGGTTAATCTGAAATGTGCAGAAGCATGCAGACACCTCAGACCGGTCTGATCCGGCTCATTCAGAAGGAAGTTCTCCCGTCAGGCCGGCGTGATGACTCAGTGCATGTGAGAGTGGTTTCATTCTGATTAAAGGTTTTTTACAAAAAAGTCCATCTGAATCAGACGAACACATTAAACTGTGAAGTTAGGATCTAATCTAATCAGACTGATTTGAATCTTCAGCATCACAAAAAGAAACAGTCTGAGCTGATGTCGGATCTCTGTGTCGTGCAGAAAGCGTGCAGTGTGTTGTGGTGAAGGGTTTTGGCGTTTCTTCCATGTCCTCTGTGGAAACCCCAGAAACCATGTATGTAAATGAGAGTTGCAGCGACCTCGAAGGCTGAGCCACACGTGTCCTCTGTATCTGTGTGGAGCTGCTCTGAAGGTTTCTTGAGACTCTGCAGAGGACAGCGTGTAATTAAGATGAGAGGACAGACCTCTGTGAGCAGCTCTCTAATGACAGAGTTCTGGTTCAGAACCAGCCCAGCTGACTGATAAAGCTCAGAGAGAGGATATGTACTTAGAGAGGAGGTCTAAATCAAGCAGAGAGAGTTTCACACCCTGCAGTCTGATCACGTCCTGTGTGGTCGCCTGTCTTTGAGCTGTCAGTGCGTGTGCACAAGTGTTGGCATGTGCGGTTCTTCCAGGATCATCAGCACATCTCCTCCTGAGGTCACAGAGGCTGCAGCCGCCGGCGGATTGTTGTGGAGCTGGTCGGAGGTTTCAGTGGTTTCTGGGTGGGACAGAGAGTCTGTCTGGATGCTTCTGTCTCACACACTGATCCATTTGACTCTGTGAGCCGAGAGAGAAGAGATAACCCGGAGTATTTTCACATGAACGTCACAGTCTGTCTGCTGATCGATCAGTGTCTGACCCTCTGATTCCAGCCTGCAGCGTCATTGGTGCTCTTTGGATCAGGAGCAGACATATTTGTGGGTTGGTCAGAGCAGTCGAGTGGGTGGAGGCAGCTTCTCTTCTCTCTGTTTTGTTTTGGTCATTTTGTTGTTTGGGTCCTTTGTGTTTTTTTGTATTCTTGCTCTGTTCTTGTGTTTAGGCCTCTGCTTTTTTGTAAATGCCAGTTTTGAAAGATTCCAAATGAATTAACTTTTTATAACGAGCGAGAACGAATGACCTCTGCAAACTGATCCAAGAATGACCATCAAAACTAGTGCAAACACGTCTAGGTGCTAAGTAAGGGGCAGGAAAGATCTGTTTTTTTTCAAGGGTGGGTTTTTGGACCAAACTAACCCCCAATATCCACTGCACCCGGAACAGCTACGAGAAGGCCGTATCCACTGATCGTAGCTGATCATAACCATTCAAATTAACATGTCAATTTCCACCAGCTTTTTTCTGTTCCTCTGCGGATCGCCAGACTCCACAGCTGATCGCAGGAGTTCTACATTCCACATTTCAACTGTTGACAAAATGTGGTTTGGGATCATGTAAAGGTCTTCCCTGAAAAAATCTTTGTCTGGATGGACGCAGATGTTGCTCCTAAACCTGGAGATACTGTCTAAAACTGAGGATGCAGCATCTTTGGTTTCCAATTCTTCGTTGAAAGGACAGCTGGACTTGGGCAAAACGTCCCAAGTAAGTCCAGCTGTCCATTCCAAAAGAGTGTTACCCCCAATTTCCACCGCTTCTGGAACGGCAACGAAAAGGCCGTATCCACCAATACGCTGATTATAACCATTTGAGTTAACGTGAATTTCCACCGGCTTCTTTCCATTCCGCTGCCGATCGCTGGACTCCACAGCTGATGGCAAGAGTTCTATTTTTTCTGGACGCCGGAGCATGCTGGATAAATTCAGCACAGATTAACCCGTGCTGGAAAGAAAGTTGGGCGCAGACACAAAATAAAACATCCAGCTTCTTTTCAAAATAAAACACTCTGTGTATCAGGAGGATCATATTTCACACCATGCAAACGAGGGGAGACAAACAAGTGAAAGGTTTTTAGACGTCATTTCACCCTGATGACACCATGGATGAGGAGATGCTGATTCTCGAAGTCTAGAATAGGCCTGGACGATATAGAAAAAAAGCATATCGATAAAAAAGAAGTCATATTGATCGATATCGATAATTATCAAAAAAATTTTAACATATATTTTAATTGCAGCCCTGGATGTTTTATGCTATTGCTTAATGACCTACTTTTAATAAAGAACACACAAGCACTGAATTCAAATTTAAACCTTTATTCAACCACCTTTTTTTTTACCACAACTGAAAGTTTTTTTTAAAAAGAACTTAAGTTGATTTCTTTTACTTTTTTAAGTGGCCTGAGTGACGTCAGTAAATACTGACAAACATAAAGACTAAAGTGACCAGAAAATCTGATAAATAAATATATAATAAATATAGTCTTTTGATGAAAATAAACAAAACAAACAAATATATAAATAAACAGAATAGCTTTAGGTGGGAATAGCATACTACCAGTTTTAACTGTGTGGGAAACTGCCCACAGCCTGGTGTCTGAACACTGAAATATTTCTCCCGGGGTCGGGAGATTTATTTATTTTTAATTATCATGTGATTGACTTAATACGCAAACTGAGCACGAGAAGCAGGACTTATCCACGCCGGTGTTGTGTCGTAGAATGCACCCCTGCCGAATGCACCCCCCCCCGACGAGAGCGCGGTTGAACGTATTTGCTGTCCCGAAAGTGTAATGTTCTCTACCTTGACGTCTTACTGTACAGTTTATATACCCAAGTACACCTGTGTGCATTTTTGAGACACATTAAAACAGAACGAAAGTTTGCTAGTAGTCATGATCCAAATACTCGCGTCTTTGTAAAATATGAGGTCATTTTCTTCCACTTTAAGAAGCTAATGAGTGGACGGGATGCAGGGGTGCATTCTACGGCACAACACCGGAACGTATTTCCTCCGCACCCTTCTCACCTTTTCAACCCCTGACCCATTTTCATGCCTGAAGCGCTGTGTTTGAGAAATACTTGCGGCCGGGCACTTCATATCGCGGGTCGAGAGTGGCTAGAAGCTGGTCGAAGCCAGGCTTTTCAACGGTAGTTATTGGCAGTATGTCCCTCGCTATGGAGCATGTTACTGCATGGGTGATGTCCTTATGCCGCTTGGACGCTTTGTCGTATTTTTGGCAAGAAACGAAGTCCAGTTTGATCTGCTTCACTTGCTTTGTGCTGGGGCTGGCAGCGGTTCCAGAGGATTCCGACGACGTGGAGCCGCTGCGCGGCCGACACAGCTCGTACTCCTGCGGGTGCGACCGGTTTAGATGGTAAAACAAGTTGGTTGTGTTACCAGGCTTGGTTTTTACTAATTCTCTGCAAATTTTGCAAACGACCGCTGTTTGCTTTTTGTCAGACTTGTAAAAACCAAAATATTGCCATGCTGGTGAACTACTGAAACCTTTTTTCGGGACAATGTCCTCCGCTTCTCCTTGCTGCCGCTTCCCCTTGCTGTAACATCTTTTCTAATAGACGTGCTGTCTGTTGTGGTTTGAGAGGGGCTGGGCTTGGTGCTGTAGCGTTCCCGGGTCTGCGTTTGTGATTGGTTGGGAGGAAGTAATGACTGTAGTAAAAGCTACATGATAGGCTATGATGAAAAAGAAAGGGAAACTGTGTTTTTCTATCGAACTTTTTATCAACCCGTTTTTTTTCTATCGCACCACACGTCTATCGATCGATATATATTGTTATCGAATTATCGTCCAGCACTAGTCTAGAAGTAGATTTCCTCCTCTGGAGGGACACAATCTACTGCTTATATGGCTACGTTCACACTGCAGGTTATGATGCACAATTCAGATTTTTTGTTAAATCCGATCTTTTTGTGTGGTTGTTCACATTACGACAACGAATGCGGCATTTAATCTGAACAGAATGCATCTGTGAAGTGATCCACATGCGCACAAAGCACAAATTGCTTTCCGCGCCTGTTTGTGTTGTCGAACAATGGTGATGTTTGTCGTATATTGGTGACATATAGGTTGGATGAAAGCGACCTGAGCGTCCACACTGCAGTCACATCGGATTGAAAAAATCAGAATTGCACTGTTCACACTTTGAAGAAAAAATCAGATATATGTCACATATGGTTAAAAAATCGGAATTGACCTGCATTGTGAACATAGCCTATGTCTATGTGGCTGTCTTTGTAGACATCTCGTTATTGCACGATTGAACGTGAATCAGTGGGTTCTTGTGAGTTCTCGGCATTACCGCTGTCTGTAATCTGCCATGAAGTTCACCTCACAAAAGGATCCAGTAGGAATTGGTGGACGATGAAAATCACTGCCGTTCCGGATCGGAGCAGTTCTGAGGCCTGTATTACATAGCTGGATTTGGTCTTAGCGAGATAACTTCTGGATAACTTCTGGGTTTTCTGTACTACGAAGGTGGATCTCTTTTTATCCGGGTCCGTTGCCCCGGTAACTTACGCGGAACGCCAAACCTGGTCCCGAGCAGGTTATGTTTCAGGATAAGATCTCAGCAAGTATAAAAGACCGCCCAATGACCAATCAGATCTCTTGGAAAATGGCTTGCCATTTTGCTGGATCCCGGGGACATCGTTGCACGGATAGTGAGAGGAGCGCTTCGCCGAGAACGTTATATTCATGATCGTTCAAATCTGTTTGATTTACCTGATGAAATCTTCCAATAAACTTACAAACTACTTTAAAGGATGTTTTTAGATTTATTTTTATTTGCTCCCCACTGCTGTTGTATCTGAAATAATGAGGTCAATGATGGTGGTGATCACACACGTTGCATAACAACATATTAGGGGGCCATAAATTTATGAACACACAAATGTAATTCACACAACCCGTGATTTTTTTTGCCAGCAGTCCCTCCGATTTTTAGTGGCTGTGGCTGTCCTGCTCCTCACTGTTTTAATGTTGCGGTACTCCTCGCATTTGCGTAAAATAAAGCTCTGTTCTTCAGCTGTGAAAAATGACGTGCAGCCTTCTCCATTGTGGAGATTGGTCCGGTGGAACTGACCCCACCCCCTTTATGTGTGCGCGCACAGATCTGAAGTGGCCACACCTGGATTCAGTTATCGAGTTGATAACCGGCTTCGTAGTACAGCTGATCGGGATCGCAGAGATCCGGTGAAGTTGAGCGAGTTGTCGCAGAGTTACCCTGGATGTGTTAATCCAGCTTCGTAGTACAGGCCTCTGGATGCAGTGGAAATTGGGGGTAATAAGTCACAGCTCTATTCAGCAGATTTCAGCAGATCAGACTCAGGCCGGAGCATTTCTCCCTCCTTCGACTGTGTCGGATTTCAAACCACTTCAGTGTCATTTGGTCTCATTCATGAAACGTCAATAACTCTATCTGTAGATTTGCACAGAAAAGTCCTTCATACCAAAAACTTGCCCTGTTCTTTACATCGACAGAGCACCGCAAACCAGTTAGTCAATGAGATTAAAAGCCTGCACATTGAAGCGGGTCTGGAAAATAGCCACATGCAGATCCATGCACATACATTCCCAATCTGTGCACACAAATCTACACAATGCCATCTGTTTATGTCATACTCATAGACTGTACAGTCGTGGCCAAAAATATTGGCACCCCTGCATTTCTGTCAGATAATGCACCAGTTTTCCCAGAAAAATTGTTAAAATTACAAATGCTTTGGTATTCACATGTTTATTTCTTTTGTTTGCACTGAAACAACAACAAATAAAAAAACAACAGAAAAAGTCAAATCTGATATTAATTTAAACAGAACTCCAAAAGTGGACAGGACAAAATTATTGGCACCCTTAACTTAATATTTGGTAGCACATCCTTTGGAACAAATAACTGAAGTCCGTCTCTTCCTGTAACCATCAATGAGTTTCTTACACCTTTCTACTGGAATTTTGGACCACTCTTCTTTTGCAAACTGCTTCAGGTCTCTCAGATTTGAAGGCTGCCTTCTCCCAACTGCTGTTTTTAGATCTCTCCACAAGTGTTCTATGGGGTTTAGATCTGGATTCATTGATGGCCACTTCAGAACTCTCCAGCGCTTTATCTTAAGCCATTTTTGTGTGCTTTTTGAAGTATGCTTTGGGTCGTTGTCCTGCTGGAACACCCATGACCTCTGAAGGAGACCCAGCTTCCTGACACTGGGCCCTACATTATGCCCTAAAATTCTTTGGTAGTCTTCAGATTTCATGATGCCATCAACACAGTCAAGGCATTCAGTACCAGAAGCAGCAAAGCAACCCCAAAACATCAGAGAACCACCACCATGTCTGATTGTCGGAATGGTGTTCTTTTCTTTGAATGTCTCATTTCGTTTTCTGTAAACCGTGTGATGATGTGCTTTACCAAAAAGCTCCACTTTAGTCTCATTTGTCCACAGGACGTTCTCCTAGAATGATTGTGGCTTCCTCAGGTAAGTTTTTGCAAACTCCAGTCTGCTTTTTTTATGTCTCTGTGTCAGCAATGGGGTCCTCCTGGGTCTCCTACAATGGCGTCCCTTTTCATTGATGAGGCGACGGATAGTGCGAGCTGACACTGTTGTACCCTGTGTCTGCAGGTAAGCTTGAATTTGTAAGTGGATCGAGGTTATTTATTCACAATTTGAACAATCCTTCGTTGCATTCTTTCATCAATTTTTCTCCTCCTTCCACGTCCAGGGAGGTTAGCTACAGTGCCATGCACTTTAAATTTCTTGATGACATTGCGCACGGTGGACACAGGAACATTCAGATCTCTGGAGATGGACTTTTAGCCTAGAGATTGTCCATGCTTTTCCAAAATCTTGGTTCTCAAATCTTCTGAGAGTTCTTTGCTCTTCTTTCTTTTCTTCATGCTCAGTGTGGTACACACAACACAAAGGTTGAGTCAACTTTTCTCTTTTAACTGGCTGCAAGTGTGATTTCTATATTGCCAGCACCTGTTACTTGCTAAAGGTGAGTTTAATTACAAATTAAAGAAGCCTCACATGCTTAGAATACAACTACTCCTTACAATTTTAAAGGGGTGCCAATAATTTTGTCCAGTCCATTTTTGGAGTTCTGTTTAAAATAATATCAGATTTGAAATTTTCTCAGCTTCTTTTTTGTTGTTTCGATGCAAACAAAAGAAATAAACATGTGAATACCAAAGCATTTGTTATTTCAACAATTTTATGGGAGAAGTGGTGCATTATCTGACAGAAATGCAGGGGTGCCAATATTTTCGGCTATGACTGTATATAGAATTGACGCCGTCTGCCCTCTCGCTGGGTGGAGTCACCGCGAGAATAGCACCCTCTGGTGACGGGCTGCAGTATAGGTCATAAATCCCGCCTCCTTATGGAGCTGTGGACAAACTTTATGAATTAATGACAGAAAATAAATGTTTCTCCCCTGGTTGTGATGTTGACATGTAGTTACTGTCAGACTGGTTTGTGCTCAAGTCCTCTTTTTTCTGTACAGCTCCATTTCTAAAAGTTATTAGGGGGTTCATGTTTTCTATGATTGACACTTGATACAGCCTATGGGCATACAAGGATTGCATAGCTCATCTGGGGTACACGCGGTTTGAGCCGAGTGTCATCACAGCAACTCTCGGCAACTCTCCCGCTGAATGAGTACACTGCTACTGCGCAATGTTGGTTTCAGGAAATGAAGAAAAATCGCAGAAATTTCCGAGAGCTTTTCGGCTTCAAATGGAGATTCCTTCAGTTTTGCCGTAAACCCCAAGTGGACACTTGAAGAATTGCACTTTTGCATACACTGCTCGGTTTTTTCATCAGTTTTTGCTATCACTCACGTCCAAAAGCCTTTCTTGTGACATCTGTAAGACAAACTTCTAAACGTATACATTTCCCTGTGAAACGATGGTGTAGAATCCTGAAAAACAGCCCCTGAAGCTCTCATATGAAACCATCCTGCTGCTCTTTAACATCTCACTCATTTTGCCGTGGTCAGCAGAAATCCTGTGAAGCTCTTGTGGTCTGAGTGAGTCTGTTGCAGATCTTCAGAAGTGAAACAAATACATGCAGCAGCAGCAGCAGCAGCCTCCTCCCTCCATAAAAGAAAGAGTTTGAGACAGAAACACCGCAAGCTCAGGAATGTGGACTTCACATGGGCAGCTTTATTTGGCCTGGAGAAAATGTTCCCTCATTGCACTCAGAAAGCCTCATCCCACACACACTCACACACACACCCACATATAAAGAATATAGTGTGTAAACACCCACACAGAAAGTCAAATGTCCAAAATAAAGACTTTAACATCTGTCATCAGGGCTCTTAAAACCCTGACACTCTGCACATGGAGACGTAAGCTCCGACCAAATCCAGCAGGGGGGATCCTGAAGGGGTTTACGAGACTTGAGCACTTTACAGGGAAAAAGACGGGACAAGTGGACTGGAAGACAGGTAAGGAGGGAAAGAAAGAAGTAAAGAAAAGGACTGATGCAAAACTCAGGAAATACAAGTACAAGAGTACAGATGAGGGTTTCTTAATCTAAAGATAAGCAGCATATTTTAAAGGGACCCTGACCCTCCACCTCCATATTTTGATAGCCACCATCTGTCCTGGTCAAACCTACAGATGAAGTCTTCTCCAATAATTCACTAACTTGACAGGTCATGTGTCAGGGATGATGATGCTGCTCTCGGTGACGTTAGTGGAATAAATGTGACCGTGACTCAGACGTTTATTCATCTGAGCTCATAAAGGAGTGGGCATGTGGACGGATGGAGAGCTGACGTCTCTTTTCTGTCCCACTCTCTAAATAATAAAATGGTCCGTGGGGTCAAATCGATCACTCTGTGGGAAAACATTTTTAAATCGCCTGTAACCCGATGTAAGGTCGACTCCAACAATGAGGGGACAGGGACTGGAAAAGGTTTAAAACCACTTCTCTAATGTTGTTTTCTTATGGAGTCTGGTGCAGAACCAGGACAGCTCTTCTTTATGCTTGACTTCACAAAAACCTGCAAATTTACTGAGACTAAAGCGCTTAAAGTGACAGAACTGAATTTGGATTTCCTAGGTAACACGTGGTGTTCCTCAGGGATCGATGCTCAGGCCACTTAGTCTTCTTTTTCTTGTTTATATTTATGAAAAATACAAATGAAAATACAACAAAAACCCCGCTACAGACTTTCATTGTAATCAGAACAACGGAGAGTCTTCATTAAGTTTTCTGAAAAGATCTGAACTCAGACCTGACTCAAGTTTTACCTTTAATCTACATCTACATCATGATGATGTTTTCCAGTTAAAGGTGGGGTGGGCAGGAATCCGTTAAAGAAACATCTTTTTTTATGGTGTATTTACAAAAAAAGCTTTTAATATCAGTCAATAGTTATTAGTTATTGAGGACATTTGGGAATGTAACGATATCACTGTGTTCTCTTATGTCTGTGCAGAGCGCTGGATTAAACAGAGTGACAACAACTTCAGATCTTGCCGCCGGAGCGGCTACGTGGTTCATGTACCCCTCCATAGTTCCAAGCACAGCCTGCACTGTCCATGCTCTTCAACGGGACAGACTGCAGTGAGCGCGCATTTAAGAGGTAAATATTAAAATTAACCGTAAAAAGTCAACATTTGCAAAGTCACTTACGTATATTTAGTGGCTGGATGAAAAATAAAAGTGAAATAAGACAAGTTTGGTAACAGGTGTTACTTTTTAATAAGAGAAAATAATACAATAAAGTGGTAAGTAACACGTGTTACAAGCTGTTTAAACAATTGTGCAATGTTTTGGTCTTGCAGCATGGCCTGAATAACATTTTTCCATGTTAAACATACGCCTTAAATGCTGACAGTATTTAAAAAGTAGCGGTCCCTTTACTCTATCATCCCATGGTATACAGAAGCAGAAATCAAATTACATAGCCCTTATGTTAGTCTAAAAAGAATAAATTGCACATAACACTGGGTACTGATAAAGGCTGAAATCTAAAATAAAGCCCGTAAGTAACCATCTCAACATATGATTGATGATGATGATTTATCAGTGATTCATAACTCAGTCACACAATAAATTTTGCCAGGCCTCTACAGCTGACGACGTCCAACTAGCAGGCCGTGGCTAAAAAAAATCGATCCCAATTCCTGACTAAAAAAACGTAATTACATTTGGGACATACATTTTTACATATAAAGGGGGCCCCTCGATATCAATAACACATGTATTGGCATTAAACTTGTTGATGTTTTATAATTTAACCTCGGTGAGTGCTTTCCTTGTGGCCATAGAAGCGAATGGCGTCCAACGTGACAGGCGGTCATGTTGGAACTATTAAGAGTTCCATAACCCAGAAGTAGGGTCTGCCGGGCTGTACAGTGTATGCCTATGGGAGTGTCGCCACTCTGTTTAATCCACTGCTCTGTGTCTGTGTAGTCAACATTTTAACATTTTTGAGCTGTCCGCTCTTTCTGACCGTAAACAAAACTGTTTTCTGCCTCCCCAACCTGATTGGTTGTGGACGCTGCTGCCCCGTGTCGTTCATGAGCCCAAACAAAGTTAGCGTGCTACAATATCGGACAGTAGAAACCAACCAGAAAGTTCGGAAAATTGTCTGAATCCTCCTTTGGCCACGACTGCCAACACAAGCAAGAAAACATCGACACCCCCCTCATGTTGCCGAGTGTTTTTTTTTTTTGTCACTGCACTCATATTAATGAGAGCAGTCTCTTTTTTTTTTTTTTACCTCCTCCTCTCCCTCCCTCTTGTGTGTACTTTCCCCATCTGTGAATTCAATTTCGTTGTGCACAAGTTGCAATGACAATAAAGACCATACCAATACCAATACCAACTAGAAAAGCACTCGGAGAGTGCAGACCTCCGCCAAGCAGCTCATGTCCCCCCTTATTGTGATTCACACCAAAACTTTTACTATTACATGTCTTTTATTAACTTTTATTTGTGTTTAAACTGGTATGTTCACTGTTCATAATGTTCCTAAAACAAGAAATGCCCTGACCCGGATTCGCAACCCAGGATCTTCTTGCTGTGAGGCGACAGTGCTAACCACTACACCACTGTGCCGCCCATCTACACCATTGTGCCGCCAATTAGTTATCTTTCAGCATTGAAAATTCCAACGACACCCTTTTTTTGTGTGTTCTGGATCACAGTATCCGGAATTCTGTCTGGATCAGGATCAACCTTTGACATCTCATAAAACTCATTGAGATCCTTTTGTGTGATTTTTTACTTAAGACTCTGGCCATTTTTATAGAGTTAAATGCAATAATTCCAAAATTTGCCCTATCTCACAATGATAAAGAATCCTTCAAAAAATTCCTGGACCCAGAAGGCGATCCGGATCACCACCAAAATTTAATGGGATCCTCCTGGGGCTGAGACGCACCTCTGGTGAAAATTTCAGGTCAAGCCGTCAGTTACTTTCTCCGTCAAGTTGCTAACAGACAAACAAACAAACAAACAAACAAACCAACAAACCAACAAACCAACGCTACCGAAAACATAACCTCCTCCTCCTCCACCTAATAAATACCAGAGACTCTAACAGAATAACGGATGCTTAAAAAGGAGGTAGACTGGACAAGAGCTAAAAGCTGGGTCAACATAAACGATGGGGGACGCTTCGGGATCTTGGTGACCCTGTAACCTTTCTGTTGGACAGGTAAACCACTTTAACAAAGTAAGCCAAACTGGTTGGGAGGGGTAGAGTTTACATTGAAGATTTCTCTTAAAAACTGGAACTTCCTCAGATCCTGACTACACCACCTTTAACGTTACACAAGTTTATTACGGGTATGTTTCTTCTTTATCTTCATCCCGCAGAATTAAGCTATAGAGTAAAGTTAATTATTTACAGTGAAACTGGGACTCATCAGAGACAGATCAACAGGAGCTCCTCTGTGGTAAATAATCCACAAATGATGCTGTTTACTCTGCAGACATATCTTTGTCTCTTCCTGGGTTGTGGACAGTTGCACTCACGGTTCAGTCTGAGCTGGAGGTTGTTTAATACCTCGTCTTTGTGTGACAGTAGTCGAGGAGCAGCAGAATTAAACCCGCCTCATATTTTTAGCCCGATTTGATGGATCCTGAAGCAGAGAGCTACCAGCACATCTGTGACAGCAAATAAAACCGAGCTCTCAGACTCCTCTGGTCTCTCAGTCCCAACTTTAGCCGAGTATTTGTTGTCGTTTTTAACCCCGGTTGTGTATTTTCTTGGTTTGAAGCATCCTATAGAAGACCCTCAATCCCCGCAGAACAAACATCCCTCTGCACACACCACATCCTCTGAAACCGAGAGGGTCACCAACCAAACTTTAACGAGCACACTCAGCCCAATAAGGTGCGCAGAGAGCTGCCTCTTCCACATAAACACTTCAGGCCCACAAACACGCGTTTTATTCCCTCTGCCGTGCCAAGAACCCCTGCACAGGCCGACCAAACACCGAGTGAAGCAACAGGGACTCAGGAAATACACCCACCAGTTTCCTTCAACACACAGTGAGTTAAACACGTGGGAGGGCCGAGTTTGGCAGCTGTCAGGATGTTTAATACCAGCCAGACCAGAACACAGCTGATACTGGTTAGAGGACAAATCCAACACACAGTGTGATGAAGATCAGGACTGTGAAAATATGATAAAGGAGGAAGGAGGGAGAGGAGAGAGAGAGAGACGGAAACAAATTATTATAAAAGAATTACAATTAAAAGAATTCTTATAAAACAACAGGCAAGACTTGGAGAGAGGAGAGGAAACAAGGGCAAGAGGAGAGGAGAGAGGAGAGGAAAGGAGGAGAAATGAGGAGAGGAGAGAGGAGGAGAATGGAGGGCAAGAGGAGAAGAGAGAGGAGAGAGGTGAGGTCAGTCTGTGTCTGAGTTTGTCTGAAAAGCTCAGGGACAGGATGATCACATGGACAAAGAGGCTGTTGTGATCAGGAGTTCTTCTAAAATCCTCCATCCTGGTCTGTTGATTTCAGATTTAAAACACCTCTCTCTCCTTTGAAAGAGTGAATTTTTCTGTGTTTGCTGTTTCCTAAAGTTTCCACAAATAACGTCTTTCATTGAGAAGTAGAAGACTGTTGTTGGAGCTTTAAATGACAAACACTGCTGCTGTGATTTAAGACGGTGGTTTACAGATGTGTATTAAAGTCTGATTGGACCAGGTTTTCGTCCCCTAAACCACAAACCACCAATCAGGCCCCTCCACCCACAACAGTAAATACATCACCCCAGGACGATGTTGTGATTGGACAGAGGAGACTGGAATCCATCAGATGGACTGTTAATCAGCAGGTCTGTTTTACTTGTTTACATGTCCCTGCAGTTACACTCAAACAGAATAAAAAAAACACACACAGACGTAAACCAGAGCCGAGGACAGATCTACATCTGAAGCTGCTGGAGGGTTCAGCAGGTCCAGATTTGGAGGTTTCCTCTGAGGCTGGTTCTGGTGTTTCTATCAACACCACAGAACCAGAGAGTTTATTTAGACCTGACCCTGCAAACACCAGCCTGCTGCTTTAAATACTCACTGAAACACCACAGTTTGATCAATCCGCCGCTGAAAACAGTCCCAAATACACTTTAACCCAATAATTCTGTTAAATTTTAGTCAAAACATAACGTTTCCTGCGGCAGAGGGCTTTCACTTCATCAAACGGCCTCTTTAGATTTGTAAAAAAAAAAAAAGTAAATCTGAAGTAAACATGTCCGTGAAGGCTCAAGTGAAAGGATACGCTGACAACACTGCCCTCTGCTGGATGATGACACACTTTGCTCCAGCCCTGGTGTTAATGTTTCAGATAAATTGGGTTTATTTTGATAAATACAACTGAGTCAACACTTAATAAAAGTCTATGGAGTCTTAATAATTTCTTATATATTAATTCCACTGCATATAATCTCCTTGTGCATCAAAATAGTGACATATTCATCAACAATTTTTCCTTTAAATGTTGATGTAAAATTTCTTCAGGTCAGTATGTTTGGCTCTGGATTGAGTTTTCTCTACATTTAAGACTCACTTGTGTTTGGCAAGTGCAATTTTTAATCCAGATAAGCAGCATTTTAAAACTATGTACAATAGACTGCACATCAGCAGAAGCAGCAGCAGCAGCACAGCACTACATTATATCATCAGCATAGAGATGAACTTAATGAACACAGCTGACACAAAATCATTTATGTGAACAGTTTAAAAAAAAAAAAAAAAAAAAAAGGACCTAGATCAGAACCTCATTACTTTTGTGATTTAAACTAATTCTGATCATTTATTTAAAAAAAATGAAAGAAACAAGGACCTAGATCAGAACCTTGTGGAACTCCGTTTGCAATTAACTTAAAAAAGGACAGAGATCAGAACCTCATGACTTTTGTGATTTAAACTAATTCTGATCACTTATTTGAAAAAAATGAAAGAAACAAGGACCTAGATAGGGACCTTGTGGAACTTTGTTTGCAATTAAGACTTAAAAAGAACCTAGATCAGAACCTTGTGGAACTCCGTTTGCGATGAAAACGTAAAAAGGACCTAGATCAGAACCTCATGACTTTTGTGATTTAAACTAATTCTGATCATTTATTTAAAAAAATGAAAGAAACAAGGACCTAGATAGGGAACATGTGGAACTCCGTTTGCAATAAAGGCTTAAAAAGGACCTGGATCAGAACCTTGTGGAACTCTGTTTGCAACTAAGATGTAAAAAGGAGCTAGATCAGAACCTTGTGGAACACCATTTGCAAAAAAAGACATAAAAAGCACCTAGATCATCACCTTGTAAAATTCCGTTTGCAATAAAGGCTTAAAAAGGACCAAGATCAGAACCTTGTGGAACTCTGTTTATATCAAAGACTTTAAAAGCACCCAGATCAGAACCCTGTGAAACACCATTTGAAATTTCACCAAATTCTGATTACTTATATCAGGACTTAAAAAATCAGCAAGATCTTCTTTTGAACCACGCAACACACACTGCGCAATTTCGGCAAAAAATTCTTGTCTTTTTTATTAATAGTCAAAACAGAAAAAAGGACCTAGATCAGAACCTTGTGGAACTCTGTTTGCAAACTAAATAAATTTTTGTCATTTATTTTGAGTATTTTAGGCGATTTGTGTTTTAGGTTAGGAAGAAAAAAAAAAGTAAAGAGACATTTTTTAGAAAAAAAAATACCAAACATTTATTGAACGTGATCAAATAAAGAGAACAGCAGAACAGACTGAGAGCTCAGGTTCAGGTTTAGCACCTCGGTGGGTTAATTTCTCACATATGTTTACAGGTACAGCGTGATGAAAAGAGAAAAAAAACAGGCAGTTAAACCACCAATCAGCAGGATCTGACACGAATTACATAAATGTTCACGGTGGTCGTTAATAAACACCAAACATCATGTAGAAAAACAGCAGGAGTAACAGCAGTGAGTCAATGTTTCACATCTCAACACATCAAATTTAACATGTGTCTTCTATACTGGAGATAAAAATGTGCACAGTCTTTGATTTCTGCATTTTAACGGTTTATAAAGGCAACTATACCTTTACCACAAAATATGAAACACAACAGATACAGTAAAGGTGAGTGAGCACCTGTCAGACTGAGGTGGACTTTGTTCAGGTTTACATGTTATCACACAAACACTGGTTCTGTTTCAATATGTGGTCTCTATAAAGACAAAAACACCGACCAAAACTAAAAAAATAAAGATCATTTCACCAGTTCATGGTTTTCAAAGATACAATAAATCATCTTCACCTTTTTTTCACTTTGATCATAAAAGTTTGAGTCGTATATTTTTGGGGGATTTTGAGGAAATTAGGTTTAATTAAAGGCTCCTTTGTAACCAAACCTCATTATGTTTTTGGCACATTTAAGCTTCAGTATTTACTCCTCTTTAAGACTGAATATTTTAACCTTTAGCTAAAATAAGACTTTATATTCCACTGGTCATCACTGTAACACTTCCACTAAATCAAACTGTAATCTCTGACCACTTTTTAAGGCTAATAAATATCAAGACTTTGTCTCCTAAACAAAGCAGATCTACATTCAGAAACCTGTTAACATTCAACGTTACCTACAAAAACAGAAGGATGCTTCCCCTAATAAGACACACAAATTTGTTTTTAAAAAAACAAATAAAACCATTTTTTGTCCTCTAATGGCAGCAAAGAAAGGAGTAAAAAAAAAAAAAAAAAACTAATGGACACTTGTTGGTGTTTGGTTCAGAGCAGAGGATGAAGTTTGGCATTCATCAGTCGAGTGAAATCAGGAGAGAAAACTGTGTCGGTGCTCGAAACAAACACGTGGGATCCGTGATTAAAACGGGACTTTTCCAGGAGATACAGCCAAAGAAAAACCCCAGAGTTTTGTTTTCTTTTAGCTGATTTTTTTTTTTGTTTTAATGACATCTGATTAGAAGATAAAAATCAGCTTTTATGACTGTCTGCATCTCCACTCTCTGCTGCTCAGAGCTGCACCACACACTCTCATCCTGACAGAGCTAAACTCATCCCACATACAGAATATGAGGAGCTAGGAGGAGGAAGGTCCTCACCATGTTACTGTTGAGCTGATTCATGGAAAATACAACAAACTTCACAGTTAATAACCAGATTAGTTCTTAGAGTGAGTGAGCAAAGAGCAGCTTGTTAGAGAGGAAACACGAGAGTAGGAATTGTCCTTTAAGTGCCGGTGCTTGAGGCTTATTCGCCTCCAAATAATTGCGTGATTATTGATTTTTGTGGTTTGTTCACACGACTTAAGTGGACACAAAGGCTGCACAACCCTTTTGTGAATCAGGTAATCATTATCAGTTCTCGCTCAGAGAGAGTTTCAGATAAAAGTCTGCCTCTAATACAAAGCTGTGACTTTGAGCGGTGTTATCATGTGGTTGTTTTGGTTTGGCGTCATTTCACTGGTTTATAATCCTCCATCATGGAACCCACATGTGTGTAACATTCACTGACACTCCTCCCGCGGTTTAAAGCACTGTGATAACAAAGGTTTTTCATCGTTTTAGCGAACGCTCTGAGACATGTGCAGAGGAGTCAGCATCTCCTCAAAGATCGCCCCTTTCACGTTTGAGCCCCTCAGGTTCGCCTCCTGCAGGTCGCACCCCGACAAGTCGCAGTTCTGAGAAAAATAGATGACACCTGAATGTATCGCAGGCTTACTCCAGCAGCACATAAGTGTGTGTGTGTGTGTGTGTGTGTGTGTGTGTGTGTGTGTGTGTGTCACCTCCAGGTCCGTCCCAGCCAGCGTGGCTCCTCTCAGGTTGCAGTTCTTCAGTTTGGCGTTCTTCAGCGTGGCGACTCGCAAGTTGATCCCTGTCATCTGACTGCCCTCCATGTCCACGCCCTTCAGGTTGGCTCCTGAACACACACACACACACACACACACACACACACACACACACACTTTTCACACCTGAAAGGTATAGCTCACCTGGTACAGGTGTGTCTGTCTTGTGATTGGCTGCCTCACCCTCCAGGTTGGCTTTGATTCCTGCAGGATCCTCAAAGTTGCAGCCTCTCAGTGACGCTCCTTCAGCGTTTGTGCACAACATCTTCACACCCTGCAGGTTTGCTGCCTGGAAACAAACACACACAAACATACAAACAAACAAGAAACAAACACACACACAAACAAACATCGATCACAATTTTCTGGCCGATCACCGATCTTTAAAAAGATTAACCTGCTGATACTGACTTTTTTTTTATTACTGAAAACATAAATCTTCAATCTTTTTTTAACATTGAAAAATACTTGTGGAAAAATTCAAACTTTTTGTGTTTAACTGCACGAGTTAGTTCTCGCAAACATAAATGAAAAGTTTAGAATATTTCTGTCCAAACTACTAAATTATATCTTTTCCTTTAATCTTTTATTTTCCACATTTTAAAAATTAACAATACTTACCCAACAGGTCAGACTGCAGGTCTGTTTGGAGCCTCTTACCAAAATAAAGTGCACAGCAGTATTCTACTTTTACAAATAAAGGGAATCACAAAGTTTGAGAAAAATGTAGTAAAATGATAATCTATAGGACAAACTAACAACACAACTTAAACCACCAATAAACTGTCCTGAGTTTTAGGTTTCCTTGTAGTTGGTTCAACATGCTTGGCTGATCATGCTCCGGATGACTGTTGTGTGTGTCGCTGACGCACACGTGACCTGGTGGGCGGACCTGTCATTCTGGCAAAGCAAAAAGCTACAACAGCTGACTTACAGACCTTTGCTGAGGTCGATAAGATCGGAGGATAAAATCAGTTTCATATGTAAGGATCAGCTGATCACCAATCACCCATAATTGAGGAAATTGGCGCCAATCGATCGGCTGGCCGATTTATCGGTGCATGTTTACATTTTAGTGTTTCAGAGTGCATCCAATAATGCCGCAGTTTTCTGACCCTGTCTGGGTCGCGGGGCAGCAGCTTCAGGAGAGAAGCCCAGACAGCCCTCACCCCAGCCACTTCCACCAGCTCCTCCGGGGGGATTCCCAGGCACTCCCAGGCCAGGCGAGAGATATAATCCCTCCACCTGGTCCTGGGCTGGCCACGAGGTTTCCTCCCGGTGGGACATGTCTGTACACCTCTAACGGGAGGCGTCCAGAAGGCATCCTAACCAGATGCCCGAGCCACCTCAGCTGACTCCCTTCGACATGGAGGAGCAGCAGTTCTACTCTGAGTGCCTCCGGAGCGTCTGAGCTCCTTACCCTATTGCTAAGGCTGAGCCCGGCCACCCTGCGAAGGAAACCCATTTTGGCCGCTTGTATCCACGATCTTGTTCTTTCAGTCATTACCCAAAGTTCATGGCCATAGGTGAGGATCGGCATGTAGATCGAGAGTCTCGCCTTACAGCTCAGCTCTTTCTTCACCACGACTGATCAGAGCAGCGTCCACATCACTGCTGACGCTGCTCCGATTCGCCTGATCGTTCTGATGTGTTTGTTTTTGAAATTCTGACTGAAAAAAGAAAAAGAAATGCCTCCTGGGATCTGAATCTGTTTCTTTCACCACACAAACACATTTCATTCTTGTAAACAAATCTGCTCTCAACAAATGCTGCACCTTTTTCCTAAACTGGCAAAACCTAACCCTAATCTCCTGACTTTATACTCTTTAAGTCTGTGGTCAGAGCGTCTTCAGGTCCGACCCGTTACCAAAGCTGATTCTACTCTCTGTGGGCCGGTCCGCTCGGTTCAGACTGTGTTTTAACTAAACTTGGACTCACATCCAGACAGGCCATGGACAGATCGGCTCTCTCCAGGTTGGCTCCGCTCAGGTTAGCGTGGGTCAGGTTGGTTCCTCTCAGGTTGGCCATTTTAAAGTTGATGTAGCGCAGATCCAGACGAGATAGATCCGCTCCGGTGAAGTTCAGACCCTGATCCATCACAGACACAGAAAACCGCTTCATAACTCAAGAGACATTCTTCTCATGTACGGGAGTTTATAAACCTGTTTGTGTTTTTTCAGTGTTTGCTCAGTTTACCTGACAGCGCAGCTCGGACTTGGTGGTCGTGGCGAGCAGGAACCTGATGAACTCTTTACGGCTGAGAGGAGAGTGATCGTCGGGAGGCTGAGAGGACTTAACCAGACATATTCACTAAAGTTAAACCAACCACACTTTTAAGTTTGACTTTGAATTCCTTTTAGTGAGTTTCAAACACTGACACTGACTTTACTGAAACCCACTTCTTTAACATCCTTTATCAGGGAGACTGGATCAGACTTCACAAGATTACCAAATCCAGATTACCAGTGCTCTAAATAAGAGTGCAGACTTCATACTTAAGTTTGACCGACCTCTTCTTTAAGATTTGATCCAATCCAGTTAGACTGGTACTCAAACCGAACCAACACCAGACCAAAGGGTTCGACTGTAATCTACTCAGTGTTGATTTCTTTTTATGGATGTTCAAACTTTCTCTCTCTCACTGAATCTGATCCACGGTCAACTTTCCTCTCTGTGTTGTTTTAATCTTTGACTTCAGGACTGCTCACACCTTTATGAGGGTCTCCAGCTGCTCTGCGAGCTGCTCGATACCGAAGAACCGAGCCTCCTCCAGCACACCTGCAGACCAGAGAGTGAGCATTAAAGAGAGCTCTGACCTTTGACCTTCGGTACATGCTTTAAAAAGAGCGTCTGTGTTACCCAGAGGGTTGATGCCCTCGTTGATGATGAGCTGTCCGTGTCTCAGGTAGTTCAGGATGGGCTCAAAGTAGTCTGGACTGCGGTCGATCAGGTACGCCCCCTGAGAGTCCCGCTTGTTCCCCCAAACATCTTAAAGAAAAACAAAGATGAGAAGATGATTAAAGAATAAACACAGTAAAAAGATCGATTATTTTCTTTAATCAAAGTTTAATTCATCAGTCACCTTTCTCTCTGAACATGTGAGCCAACATGCTCTCAGGCTCTTTACTGACCAGCGTACTCCTGAGGAAAAACACACAGACTTTGGTTTGTGATTAAGACCAGTTTTTGTTTGTAAAATGGTTTTCAGACTGATCTAAAATACAAACAACACTGACTGATGCATGATGACTAACATGACCTTCAGGATGTTTGAAAGAGCTGGAACATGTGCTGCGAAATTACAAAGTACAAATTAACTACAAAAACTAAAAGTCAACACAAAACTGGTTTCCTTTAGACAAAGAGAATACTTTAAAGAAATGAAAACATGCAAAACAACAAAGTTCTAGAGCTCAAGGAAGTACCGTGATCATGTTTCTACTTACAGGTTTGTTTTGGACTGACATGTTTGTGTGAGTTTGGAAAGTTTTACAAAAATTGTGTCAAATTCTATCAGTATAATCATTTATTTTTAATTATTAACCAACTTTTACTCAAAGTTGAACAAACCAGAGCAGCTCAAACAGGATAGTGAGTTTATAAACTGAAGAAATGAGGTCCAATTTAGTAACATTACCTTGTTGTTGTGAAGCAGCGTCCGCCAACATTCAGCGTCAGCCAATCAGTGTGAGTCTGACACTTTTCAGGACTGCTCAAGTCGTCCTGAGGATCTTGACACAGAGAAGAGGAGTCACATGAAGTTTTACTTTTATTTAATAAAAGACTGTGCAAAGACAACATATGAGATACTCAACCAAACAGGTAAAGAGTTGTGTAATTGCAACAAAAACTAAACTTTTGCAAAAGAAGAAATATCAATTAATGGTACTAAAATCTCTCAAGTACCTCACACCACCTTTTTGGGTGTTGTTCTTGATGAGGGTCTAAAGTGGAACATTCATGTCAGTCAAGTATGCAAAAGGTCAATGAAGAGCCTCGGTAAAATCAATAAGGTGTGTCCACTGATCAATCCCTCTGCTCACTTGTCTTTGTATTATAGCTTCCTATTTTCTTATATGAACTATTGTAATATTGTATGGTGTGCAACGTATCCAACTCACCTCAAGAAAATATTATTAATCCAGGAAAGATTCTTAAGAATGATATCTCGATCCAGCAAACACGAACCTTCTGCACCTCTCTTTTCTAAATACTCAACCTTACCGATCAACAAACTCAATGTCTTTCACTCTTGTTTGTCCTAAGTTCATCAATAGGAGACCAGACCTTCCTGAAACTTTCAGAAACTTTTTTACCTTTTCTTCCGAGCTTCACCCGTACTCAACAAGACAAAATGACCATTTTCAGTTACCTTCATGTCGAACTTCTAGTCATCAGTCTAACATCACTTTCAGAGGTCCGAAACCATGGAATGATCTGGATGGATCTCTAAAATTAATATTATCCTTCAAATGCTTTAAAATATCATTAAAATCTCATCTAATCATGTCTTAAGCACATTATTTGTAATGATCATGTTTCTTTTCTTTTTATGTATACTTATATTGTCTTTATCACTGTTTGATGATGAGTCTGTATTCTATTTAGGACAATTTGTATATGTTTTGTATTTGTATTTGTTTATTTAGCACAGATTAAAAACAGTGCAGGGAGGGAACAAAGCCGATAGGCTTATACAAAAGTTCCACTCCCTATGTCTATGTCCTAGTTACTTTGTTATTTGAACCCTACACCTTCACTGCTCTGACGGGAGTGGAACACGGTATAAGCCTATCGGCTTCGTTCCCTCCTTGCACTGTTTTTAATCTGTGATAAATAAATAAATACAAATAAATAAAAAACACGAATGCTTAAAAACAGCTGGAGGATCATCTCCAACTAATGAAGTGAATTTCCAACAGGTTAGTTACATGACTTAACTGTTGGATATAAAAGGTCATTCATAAAAACCACATTCTGACTACAGGGATTACAACAGTGAGTCCTGCTTTGAAACTGACTTCATTCACAACTGGTCTAACTTACCTTCAGATGACTCTCCCTCTGATATGTAAAGCACATCATCGTCTCTGAAAGTAAAGACACCAGAGTGTAAATAAAGGAAAAACTAATCCAGCAGTTTAACTTTAAGTACTTTTACTGGTTTGTCAGTGCAGTCTGAGTACGTTCCTCTCTGTGCATTAATGCTCAGTGTTTACCTGTATTTTCTTGTCTCACCTGATTAACGTGATGTCGTCTATCAGTCCTCCGTTCCCGTTATAAACACTAGAGGCTCTTATTCCCAGTTTGGAACTGGCCACAGACAGTAAATCCTCCAGAGACCCGTACACAGCCACCACCTGTAAGATAACCCCCATAAAAACCCCCTTAGAGAGCGGAATAACATCAAAACTACCTGAAACGAGCTTCAGGTGTGAGCTAACTTCAGGTGAGCTAATAACGATGCTAACAATAACACACCTATTTCCCTCTTTTTTTATCTCCGCATCTTACCTTTCCGTTAGTGGAGGTTCCGTTAACAAACAGCGTGACTCTCCTCATGATAAAAAACCTTCACACATAAAAACTGTCGGTTTATTTCACTCAGAGGTTTTTTATTCATTGAATAATTTACATTCTTTAACAGCAACAAGCTTTTCTTCCCTTTATCTTCTTCCCTCTTCGACTAAACGCCCAGGGAAGCGAAATCGGCCAATCAGCAAGCACGTTTCGAGCTAGTCAACCAATCAGAGGAAAGAGTAGGCGGGACTTCGACAAGCCACAGAGAATGTACCGAATTTTGGTTTAGATTAAAAAAAAAAAAATCAGTTTTAACGCAAATTTACACAAATAAGAAAATTATTAATCCGCAAAAGAAAAATACACGGAGGCCTAATATCAGCGTGTTCACCAAATACATGTATATGTGACCTCTCTTCTCATTAGTTTGTTTTTAAATCAGAATCAGAAATACTTTAATAATCCACAACGGGAAATTACTTTTTGTTCCAGTAACTCCAGTGCAAATAAAGTAGAAAGAGGAGATAAAATAAAGAGATAAATAGATAAAACGAGACAAAAAAAGTAAAAATAAAGAGATAAATGAATAAAATAAGTAAAAATGAAGAGATAAATTGATAAAAATATTTTAAACCAGTACAAATAAAGAGATAAATAGATAAAATAAGTTTAAAAAAAAGAGATAAAAAGATGAAATAAGTAAAAATAAAGAGATAAATAGATAAAATAGTTAAAAATAAAAGAGATAAAAAGATGAAATAAGTAAAAATAAAGAGTTAAAAAGATTAAATAAGTAAAAATAAAGACATAAGATGAAATAAGTAGAAATAAAGAGATAAATAGATAAAATAAGTAAAAATAAAGAGATAGATAAAATTAGTAAAAATAAAGAGATAGATAAAATTAGTAAAAATAAAGAGATAGATAAAATTAGTAAAAATAAAGAGATAAAAATGGAGATAAATAGATAGAATTATTACTGTTTAACTGCCAGGTTTTTGTCATGTAAAAAAATTAAATTAAGATAAATAATTTCACAACTTTTTCCACCTTTAATGTGACCTATAACCTGTACAACGCGAATGAAAAACAAACTGAAACCTTTAAAGGGGAAAAATATAAAATATAAAAGTTAAAATAACCTGGTTGCATAAATATGCACACCCCTAAACTAATACTTTGTTGCGGCACCTTTGGCTTTTATTCCAGCACTCAGTCTATTGGGTAGGAGTCTATCAGCATGGCACATCTTGATATGGCAATATTTGCCCACTTTTCTTTGAAAAACTGCTCCAAATCTGACAGATTAGGAGGGCATCTTCTATGCACAGCCCTCTTCAGATCACCCCACAAATGTTCGATGGGATTCAGGTCTGGGCTCTGGCTGGGCCATTCCAAAGTCTCAATCTTATTCCGGTGACGCCATTTTTTTGTTGATTTAGATGTGTGCTTTGGGTCATTGTCATACTGGGAGATGAAGTTCGTCTTCATCTTCAGCTTTCTAGCAGAAGGCCGCAGGTTTTGTGCCAACACTGACTGGTATTTGGAACTGTTCATCATTCCCTCCACCCTGACTAAGGCACCAGTTCCAGCTGAAGAAAAACAGCCCCAAAGCATGATACTGCCACAACCTTGCTTCACTGTGGGTATGGTGTTCTTTTGGTGATGAGCAGTGTTGTTTTTACGCCAAATATACCTTTTGCAATTATGCCCAAAAAGTTCAACTTTGGTTTCATCAGACCATAACACATTTTCCCACATGGGTTTGGGAGATTTCAGATGTCTTTTTGCAAAATTAAGCCGGGCTTTGATGTTTTTCTTTGTAAGATAAGCTTCCATCTTGCCACCCTACCCCATAGCCCACACATATGAAGACAGCGGGAGATTGTTGTCACATGTACTACACAGCCAGTACTTGCCAGAAATTCCTGCAGCTCCTTCAGTGTTGCTGTCAGCCTCTTGGTAGCCTCCCTGACCAGTTTTCTTCTCGTCTAATCATCAATTTTGGACGGACGTCCTGTTCTTGGTAATGTTACTGTTGTGCCATATTTTCTCCGCTTGATGATGACGGTCTTTACTGTGTTCCATGGTACATTTACTTCCTTGGAAATTCTTTTGTAGCCCTCACCTGACTGATATCTTTGAATAATGAGATCCCTCTGATGCTTTGGAAGCTCTCTGCAGACCATGGCTTGTGCTGTAAGATGTGGCTACAAAAATGTCGGGAAAAGAACAGCTACTAGAACAGCTGAACTTTATTTGGGGTTGATCAGAGGCACTTAAATTGGTAACAGATGTGTGTTGACTCTGTTAGCAGAGTGGGTTTTTCCTGCACAACGTTTAGCGAAAAAACACACATAACACACAAGTGTTTCTTTCTGAGTGAGCCAACGCGCACGCACGGGCTCAGCTGTTTTAATTAGAGACAGCATACCTGTGACCAATTCACTGATTAGGATCACGTGACATGACGTCTAGATTGACAAGGTAGTTACAAAAAGAATGACGTCTAGAAACAAAAATGAAATGAGAGCACATCTCAACACCCCCGCTTGCTCACATTTTCTCACATTATACAGAACTCATGTCAACAGAAATTCCACAGGTTTTTTTTTTTTCTCTTTACATTAGTCAAAAAAAAATCATACAGTTCAGAGTCCATTAATAGTACATAGTTCAATCACCAAACATAAAGGTTTCAAAGTCCATTAACTTCAGCTTACTGGCTGGTTTCGTCAGGATGTCTGCAACCATCTCATTGGTTGGGCAGTACTCCAATATCATATCATCCTTCTGTAAAGTAGATCTTATAAAGTGGTATTTAATGTCCACATGTTTACATCTTTGTTTTTGTACGGGGTTTTTGGCTAGAGCTATAGTGCCCTGGTTGTCTTCATAGATTGAACACTTGTACACCCGTCCATCAAAATATTTCAAAAGCTGTTTTAAGTATAGGCACTCCTGCATAGTTGCAGCTAGAGCCATGTACTCAGCCTCGCAAGTAGATAGTGCAACTGTAGGCTGTCTTTTAGTTTTCCATGACACAAATGGTCCATTTCTGTTCAGGCTAATACAGTAACCTGTCCTGCTTTTTCGATCAATATCAGCGGCCCAATTAGCGTCACTATAAGCATGGATTATGTTTTCATCTTTGTGCTTTCTGAAGCTTAGTTCTTTATTCTGAGTACCTTTTAAGTATCTCAGCACATGCTTTACTGTTGTCCATTGATCAGTGGTTGGTCTAGTGAAATACTGGGACAGTTTACTCACTATAAAACTCAGATCAGGCCTTGTACAAGTTGCTAAGTATATCAAGCTCCCAACTGCTTCTCTGTATTTTTTCACATCATCCATTACTTCAGCATCATCATTGTAATCAAGTTTTTGTTCACAAGGGGTAGCTCTGGACTTACAGTTTGACATGTCAAATCTCTCCAGTACTTTCTGTATGTACTTGCATTGTGACATCTTAACACAATCTTCAGACTGTTCAAAGTCAATTCCCAGAAAATGTCTTAGCTTGCCTAGGTCTTTCATTCTAAACTTTGATCTCAACATTTCTTTGACACGTTGTAAGACATCATCATCATTAGCAGCAATAATCAAATCATCGACCCATACTATCATGTGAACTTTTCCTGTGTCAGTAATTCTGCTATAAACACAATGATCAGCCGGATTCTGGACGAACTGCATCTCACACAAATGATCATGAAACATTTTGTTCCAGTTGCGTCCTGATTGTTTTAGACCATACAGGGATTTTTGTAGTTTGCACACTAGTTTGTCGCCTTCTTTTGATGTAACTTCATAACCTTCGGGTTGTTCAATGTAGATTTCACATTCAATTGGTGCATGAAGATAAGCTGTTTTTACATCCATCTGGTGGACAACTAGATTATCCTGAGCTGCCTTCTGTGCTAATACTCGGATACTGGTCATATTAGCTGTAGGGGAGAAAGTCTCATCATAGTTTACCCCCTTCTTTTGGCTAAATCCTTTTGCTACATATCGGGCTTTGTATTTGTCCGTTCCATCAATGTTCTTTTTCAGTGCATAAATCCATTTACCCCCCACTACATCCTTGCCCTTGGGAAGAGTGGTTAAGGTAAAGGTTACATTATCTTGCAGTGATTGCATTTCTTCGTCCATAGCATCTACCCATTCTTTTGCATTGACTGAAGTGATTGCTTCTGTGTATGTTTGAGGAACATTACAAAGGAGTCTGTAACAGTAGTCAATATTAGTAATATCCTCATCAGGTTTGTAGTCTTCCTTTCTACCTTCTTCATTTTCTGTCTTCACTGTTTGTGCATTTTGTTCATTTTTCATATTTGCCTCATTGTTTAGCACTTCCTGGCTTCCTACTTGTGGGTTAGCTAGTGGGATTGCCACAGATTTTCTCTCATTTTGAACGTCAAAATCATCTTCTGCATCCAGTAACTCCTCCTTCTTGTTGCTAACAAACTCTACAAGTCTCTGTTTTTGTACTTTCCTGGTGCTGAGATAGTACACCAAGTAAGCAGGACTATTCTTGTCATAGCCAATAAAAATGCCTCTCTCGCATTTAGAGTCCAACTTTCCTTTTTGTTGTTTGTAAGCATAACACTCTTGTCCAAATTTCTGCATTCTGGCAATGTTTGGCTGCCTGCCTGTTAACATGTAGTAAGGTGTCTGTTTTGTGCGATTATTGAAGCATCTATTCCTCACTACAGCAGCTGTCTGGACAGCATAGGTCCACAGCATCTTTGGCAGCTTACTCTCTATTAGCATACACCTGGCCATTTCAAACAGGGTTCTCCAACTGCGTTCTGCTGTACCGTTTTGGTGTGGAGAATATGGGGCGGAAGTCTCATGCCTAATACCCATCCTACACATTAATGCTTGGTACTCTCTACATGTGTACTCTGTACCATTATCAGATCGCATACATTTTATTTTGCCATAGGGCGCTACATCAGCAATGAATTTTTCTGTAGCTAGTACAGTGTCACTCTTGTGTTTCAAAAAGTAAACAAAAATTGCACTAGAGTAATCATCTGTAAAAGAAAGTGCATATTTATGACCATCTTTAGACATTGGATCTATTGGACCAGCTAGGTCAGTATGTACCATGTCTAGCGGCACTTTAGCCCTCACATCTGGCCCTCGGTTTCTAGTTTGGATAAACTTCCCCTGAATGCATACTTCACACTGTGAAACAGGTTTGTTACCTTCATCTTTAATTTCCATTCCATTAACAACATTTTTCAGTTTCATTATGTCTGCATAATTGCAATGACCCAAGATTTCATGCCAGCTCTGCAGATCAAGGCTTTTCTTACACTGGTCAGTCTTACTCATGTTCTCTGATGTGTGCAGGTAGTAAAGTTTGTTGTGTACGTGTATGGGGAATTTGGTACCGTCTCTGTGCAGCAGCACATTCTTCTTCTCACTGAAGGTCACGGTGGCTCCGTTGGAAGTGGCAGCTTTCACAGAAAAGATATCTTGTGGGTAGGTCGGGATGTGTAAGGCACCCCTCAGCGTTGTTCGGAAGCTTCTCCCCCCGCTGTCGATGAGCCACACCTCCGCATCACCTCTGCATTTGGCCACGCCTTTGCATCTGGAGCCATCAGCAAGCTCCACGCAGTGGGTCCCGGCTTGGAAACTGCTGTCAAACTTCCTGAACTTTGTGATGTCAGTGATTATGTGGGACGTCGCACCGGCGTCCACCATCAGGCCCTTCCGCTTGATATCCAGCGTTGATTCATCGGAGTCGCATACCCGAAATGCATACTCTTTGCCCCCGGTCTCGTCTGCGGCTTTACGCACGTCATCCCGCTGCTTGTTTCGTCTGCAGCTCGCACTATAGTGTGTGTTATTTTTGCAGTGGCTGCACCATCGCCTGCGTGAACATCTGGACCAGCTGGACCATTTCAACATCTTCATAACTTCGGAGCTTTGTCTTAAAATCAGCGAAAGTCATTTTAGCTTCATCCTCGCTCTGGGTTACATGTATGGCAAAAGGTTTAAATGTCTCTGGTAACCCTTTCAGCACCATCGCTATTAAAAGTCCATCACTGAGCGTTTCACCTGCGTTCCTCAGGGCTGTAATCGCAGTCTCTGCTCTGATGACATACTCCGTGACATTCTCGGTGGGCGACTTCTGCAGTGAGGTTAACTCTGTGTACAAGTTAATTATGCTGGGCTTGCCTTTCCCAGCATAGTACTCACGGAGAATCTTCAGCGCACCACGTCCATCATCTGCAGCTTCACGCATCACCAGCGACAGGCTCTTGTCATCCAAAAACTGAATGAGCTCCGCATAGGCCTCTGCGTTCTTCACGTCATCTTCATCATCTTCATCGTCGGGTTCATTTAGGATCGTTCCTTTCAATCCTTGGAGACAGAGATGGCCCAAAAACTTGGTTTCCCATATCTCATACTTTTTCTCGTCACCGTCAAAAAAGAGCCTCGCCCAGCGGCTACTTGTTGCCTCCTTTCCCTTTCTGCTCATTCTCTCGGCTCTCAGGTGCACGCAGTACAAGCAGCGACTTTCACCTGGCAGGTCACTTAAAACTATGCGTTATGGGATTATCCTGGGCCCATAACCTGTTAGCAGAGTGGGTTTTTCCTGCACAACGTTTAGCGAAAAAACACACATAACACACGAGTGTTTCTTTCTGAGTGAGCCAACGCGCACGCACGGGCTCAGCTGTTTTAATTAGAGACAGCATACCTGTGACCAATTCACTGATTAGGATCACGTGACATGACGTCTAGATTGACAAGGTAGTTACAAAAAGAATGACGTCTAGAAACAAAAATGAAATGAGAGCACATCTCAACAGACTCCAATTTAATCTGAGTTTAAATGTTATTGGTTAAATCTGAACACAGCCACATCCCCAGTTATTAAAAGGTGTGCACACTTATGCAACCACATGATCTGTCGTTTATTTTTACTTCACGTCCCTGAAAGATTTCTGTTTGTTTTTCAATTGTGTTGTACAGGTTATAGGTCACATTAAAGGCAGAAAAAGTTGTGAAATTATTTATCTTGATGTAACTTTTTTACATGACAAAAACTTGGCATTTGAACAGGGGTGTGACTGACTTTTTATATCCACTGTATGTACACTATATACAACACAAAATAGTAAAATAATAAATAAAAATAAATAACAAAAATACACCAAACTTGTTTTGAAAAAGAGCTTTATTCAACATTTTATTTACAACACAGTAAAACAAGGGCTACTTTTTTAATTTACACATAATGACTGCAAAGAAAGTTTGTGCAATTTAAGTCCCAGAGCTGATGCATTTTGGCAACAAAAGAAAATATTTAAAGCGCAACAACAGCAGCAGATCCTGGTCAAATCAACTTGCCACGGCTTCAACTTTCTTTATTCTTTTATTTCTAATAACAGAGCGACTTTTAGGTGTGCAGCAAGAAACAAAAAGTCTGATTATCTAAAATAAAGTTGATCATTAAACTCAATACAACTAGGTTTCTCTCTACAGCTCCTGATTAACATTCATTCTCAAAGCAGATGAAGAAATCAGAAGAAGATATTAGACGGCGACTGATCTGTGAAACGTGTGTGAGGATTAGAGGAGACTGAGCACTTCTGAACAACCGAGCACAAGAATATCTGAGAGTTTGAGTGGTTTTAGACTCCTGACTGTAAAATGACGGCAGATACTGGAGTTTCACGTCAGACCCTGCTGTTATTGGCTTTCAGCTGATTTTGAAAGGCTTGTCTCAGCTGTGTTTAAAGTGCTTTAGAGAAGGCACATGATGTACGTTTGGTATCAACGCAGGATATTCTGTTAATGAGGAAATAATCCGAACAGCCCTGAAAATGTCTTACTCCATTCTGATTGGTCGAAACTCCATAACGTCAGCGACAACAAATCAGTCTGCATGAAGAAGTCTGGACAATTCCCCTCTGCCTGTTGACACTGTGGCTAAAATATTAGTTCTGTTTGCATGCTTAATAACGAAGCTCAACAACAACATAGAGAGTATTTTAATGTTACTAAATCATGTCCTGCAATCCATGCAACAGCAGCAGAGCTGGTAAGCACATCAGCAGCGATAAAAGCAGCTATGGGGTTTTTATCATTTCTGTTTAAACTGCAAACTCTGAGAAGACGAAGAGCTTAATAATTTTACCATCAGCAGAAATATTCGGTTTTAAGTTAACTCAAATCTGCTGTGGTGGAAGTTTTACCAAACGTGGAATTCGAGGGACTACTTTTTTAACTGTATCAGTATTTTTAAAATCATCTTAAAGTCAACATTTCCTTCAGCTTTCACGTCTTAGCTAACAGCCTGATAATAAACAACATAATGAACAGTGAGCAGACTCTAGATAGAGTGCTATATTTGCTGTTTTTTTACTAGAGTAAATTCATTTAATGCCCATTTCGTTTTATTATACAAATGTTTCTATTATAAAACTGTTTTTCTATAACTTGTTGTAACTCTTTGCTTTTCTGAATTGATTTATTTACTCTTTTACTTTGATTTTGAAGTGAATGATTTTTAAACATTTTCTCTTAGACGACTGTAATGATTCTTTTAATCTCTTTGTTTTTGAATTGGTTTGTTATTGATGTCTTAATAACCCTGTCATGATAATTATATTTGCAAAACCCCTGACTCTTTATAAATGAACTCTCGTATACCATATTTTTCACACTATAAGGCGCACTTAAAATCTTTTTGGCTTGTTGGAGCACTGCAGCTGCCGTAGCCTCACGAGTTATTGAATGAGTTAAATAAAGTTTGACTTATCTGACTGTTTTGTTTGGCTTAATGCGCTTTGTAATCCAGTGCGCTTTATGATACGAAAAATACGATAAGTCTGGTTTTTACTTTCAGGTATCTCAGTTGGATTGAAGTCTAAATTGACTCGCACATGCTCCGATTATATCAGGAGGAAATAACCAACTTTTCACTGACGTTTCGATTCACTTAAAAAGAAAAATCTCTCACTGTCTTTTGAAAGTCAGTGGAAACCTGGTGCTATAAACCCAAATTAAACAAATTCTACTGTAATCTAATTACAACAAACAGGTTGAGAGGAAGCTGAAGAAACATCTGCAGGACGCTCGTTTGAAAAAAGCCTAAACTTGAGGTTTCCCTGTTAAGATGAGGCCAACAACCTTAAAGTGCTTCTTTTGTGAATGGAGTTTGGTTTGACTGTTTTTGATGCAAAGATGTTCTCTTGAATCTCACAGTATGTATCTGTAAACTCACCCTGATGTTCGGAGGTTTCAGGTTTCTCTCTTGGAAGATTTTAGTTTAAGGCTCAGTGAGACAGATGTGGTTTTTTAGATCTTCTGCAGTGTTTCTTTAGGACTTTATAGTCTGAGATTTGGCAGCTCACTCAAAAGTTTCTCGCACTGAAAACTGTTATTCTCACTTTTGATAGACACACGACCATAATTCTCCTCTGCCTCTGCAGGAACGCGCCCCCTTATTTAAACAGATTATCTGACTTATAACAAGAATATCCTTTAATTTTCTGCCGTCATCTCTGGAGCCCATCCCGCCCCACAGTTTCTGGGCTCCTTTCGTGAAGTCACTCATTCCCGCTGTCCTCCGTGTCCTCGTCTTCGCCTTCGTACTGTCCGTCTCCATTTCTCTCGGGGTAGTTGAGGATCTGTCGGTTGGCCTGAATGATGTACTGCTGCTGTTTGAAATACACCTTCAACACTCCTTTGATAAACACGAATGCGATACCACCCTGAGAGGGAAAAGAAGGACAGGTCTGCGTCAGCTGTGCAACATCTAGACATGAAAAAAAACCGAGAAATCCAATGAGGTGACTTTTGTCAAACTGTAAGACCCATCAGTGAACGGAGGTGGAGGACTGAGCACGAATATATGACGTAGTTTCGGATTCCTTTCCCACCCTGGATGAACCTGTTACTACCCACAGTCCTGTTGAGAGTGTGTACCAGGATAGTGCGCTGAAGGTTCGAGTTCATCCGGCTGAACAGCAGCCGTCCCACCAGGTTGGCGATGGAGGGAAAGATGAGCGCTCCACACAGAGTCCTGGACACAGAGAGGTGGTCTCCTGATCCGGGCCCATCCATGGAGACCCGGGGCAGATACCGACCTGAACCAAGAAGAATATAACGCTCACATCTGACTGTAAACCACCATCTGATCGCTGCTTTGTGTGCGTTCGTGTTTTTTTTACCTGGCTGCAGCTTCCCTCTGTAGACGAATCTCTGCCACAGCCTCACGATGTAATCCTCCCAGCGGATCATCTTCCCCAGAACCAGAACCACGGGAATAGTGGGCAGACCCATGAGCAGGAACAGCGGGTCGGCTCGCTCCATGACGTACAGACCCTTCTTATGTCCCACAACCTGCTCAGGAGCACAAAGAGGTGAAGTAACTGTGACGATCTCTGCTGTTACTGACTATTTATCATGGTCTCTGTGTACCTGCATGACCGTCACGGCTCCGTACGTGACAGCAGACCAGTACACCGTCCCAACAACCACACCCACCGCTGCAAATGGACTCGCCCGGGATAAAGCTCGGTCCACTTGCTGCAGGAAATACACCAGCGGGCCTGAAGAGGAGTAAGATCACAGTGAAATTCATTCATGTTTTTCTCTACAAGTTTAGGACACGACCTGAAATCACACACGCGACTCACCCATCTTAGGGAAGGTGATGTGGTACTCGGTGCCACACTGTGGACAGCTGACAGCGCCTCCACTGTTTCCTTTCTGCTTCTCGTCCAGCCAGCGCTGCAGACACGCCTGGTGGATCCATTTAGTGCAGCCTTTACACCTGCAGGGGCTCACCCACTCTGCACTGCGGTCGTCTCTCTCTGTGGCAAAACACACCCAGCAGTGTCTGCACAACACATACACGCGCACACACACATTGAAACATAAAGAAACACACTGTTAGAAAGTGTAAGTAAATCTATTTAAAGCAGAATCTGACTATCATTTATTGTTAATATTTAATGTGGAAGTTGTAAAAAAAGCGACTGTTTCTTTACTTGCAAGGTAAGTCATACCGGTTTCAAGCGTTAAAAATCCGGATATGGATTTAATTTGTTTTATATGTACGTACAGGTGTTTATGGGTTGGTACACACGCCTATGGGTGAGTGTATATGCATATGTACTTTTGTAAATATATGTGCTTGGGTGCTAGTTTTGAGTTAAGATCGAAACTTTGTTAACTGAGGCTGAATATATAATAACCTATTGTTCCTTACTTAATCGAACGATTCCAATTCTGATTCTGATTCTTCGTTTCGATTCCGATTCCTAATGATTCTCTATTCCGATTCTTTTAAAAGGCAGGATATTTAAAAAAATACATGGTTTAAATGAGGGTGCTAACCGGAGTTCTTCTTTTTGGATGAAATTTCTGAACTTCTCTGTGAATTTATAAATTATATGAACTTTTTAAGAACTTTACTATGAATTTCTCACAGGGCGATTTTCAACCAGAATATAAATATCAATTTTTGTTGTCAGGTCGTTTGTCTATGAAAAAGTACAAGGGCTAACGTTCGTTGGATATTTAAGTTGACCCACCGTACACAGTACAATTTGTTTGCTGCTTCAGTGTTAGCAGAAGACGGAAGTAATTTATTGTTTTATTTATCTGATTCTGGCTGGTTAGAGGAAGTGCCGTAGAATGCCTCCCCTCCACCCATTAGCTTCTTAAAGTGGAAGAAAATGATCTCATAATAAAAAAACACGAGTATTGGATCATGACAACATGTCAAATGGAACAGCAAACTTTCATTTTGATTTATGTGTCTCAAAAATGCACATATAGAGGTGTACTTGGGTGTATAAACTGTCAAGGTAGAGATGATTATATTTTGGGGACAGCAAATATTCAAAATCAGAGGGTTATTGTTTTCAACTTATCCGAATAGTCTGAATGAAATCATTAAAGGCACAAGCTTTTGGATACGTCCAACGGTAAGGAAAACTGATTATTTCGCATTGTTAAGGACTTTCAACCACGCTCCCTTCAGGGGTGCATTCTACAGCACAATACCGGCGAAGCGTGTCAAAGACAGGCACTCAGGTATTTCTCCTCCATGAATCCTGAGGTGTTTAATCATGTTGGTCGTTCACCCTTCTTTACATGATATAACTGTGTTGCTAATGCTGCACTGGGATAAGAGTTCATTCTTCCTGCTAAAGTTAGACAAACTTTTGACCAATGAAGAAGCCGCCGAACTCTGTGGCTTCGTCTCATACGCTACGTCCTCGTTGGTGTTTGGCGGCTTCTTCTTCATTGGTGTTCAAATTTTAAAATTTGAACGGTTCCGGGACAATCTAAATGTTAGTCCCGGTCCCTATCGATGCTCGACTCGAGACTCGATATCCAACCCTATTTATTGTCCCCTTTTTTTTTAGGGGGAGAAGAGAATTGATTGGGTATGTTGAATGTATGCACTATAGTTCAACTGAACATGATTATTTATGTAGACAGGGCTGTGCTGATGAATTTATTTGTGTATTTACATTTAATTAATATCAGGTATTTATACAGATAACATAATATACTTTTTTTTTTCTCTCGCACTTTTTTCTTCCGATGTTCATTTATTTCACTACTAGAGGCCAAATCAACTCGTGTTACAATTCTTACAACCATAAATACTTTGTTGCTGTTACCCTTTCCCAAGACCAGAACCAGATAAGATAAGAACCAGAAAATTGAAAGAAAAAACTATAGGAGTATGATTTTGGTACTGAGCAGACCGACAAACATGCCACACCACAGTACACTTTGGGTATTATTTATTTATGTATGCACTTATTTACTTTATTTTTCTTTCTGCTTTGTCCTGAATTTATGTGTATGTGTTAATATGATTATGCTTGAACACATGAAATAAAACTAAATATTACCTTAAAAAAAATCAGGACATGAAAACTTCAATGGGTTTGTTTTCTTTTTGACATCATAACAAGCCATCAATATGAGTTTCAGTCTATCTCATGGTCATTAAAAACTCCTCATGGGAGCTTTAAATTTCCGTCTATAAACAGGTTAAAGATTTTAACTCCTCTTGACAGCTTGTAAAAAATATTCAAAATGAGAAGTAAACAGGTGCATAACTCTCCTAACACACTTGAGTCAGGCATAAAAATGTGCTTGACTTTTGTTTAGTTGTTCATTAAAGTAAAAAGAGAGAAACAATCCGCACACTTTTGGTGTGTTGCAAAAAGAGCTTTACTGAAGCAAGCTTTCGGTCTGTTAGACCTTCATCAAGGCAGAGTGCCTCTGCCGATTTTGTGCTTGCTTGCTTCAGTAAAGCTCTTTTTGCAACAGACCAGAAGTGTGCGGATTGTTTCTCTCTTTTTACTTTAAAGTTTCTGCTAATCCTGCACCTTCTCTCCAGATTGAGCGGTGATCCTTCACTTTTTTAGTTCAGTTGTTCATGAATTTTTCAATTGTGGCGCAAATGTCTGAAATCAGTTTCATACACAAAATCCGCCTTAATCCAAACAACTATGACGCCTTTGTAATGTGATAATCTTTGCAACACGAGGTTTTGTGCAGCATTTCTTCAGCTTCTGTATATTTTTTAAAGGATCTCTTCTGTTTATTTTCTATATTAATTCACTTCCAGTGTTTATTTTTCCATGCCGTTCTTTCCCTCTGTGTGCTGAGGTGCCAAACCCAAGTCTCAGTCTGAATAATCCGACACAAACCGCTCTCAGGTGAAGTGTTCTTACTTCTCGGGCTGCTCCTCAGCGAGGGCCATGGTTCTGATCGGGTTCTGTTCTCCTGGATGTGATAATGCACCATCAGAGTGATTCAAGAACCTGCAAGGAGAGGGACTACTCAGTGAGCAGTGAACAAACAGACACAGAAACGCATTTTCTAGCCTATTTTAGCAGGAAACAACCAAAACGTTCAGCTGTTATTGGACTTTTTATTCATTTTTTATGAAAAACCTTGACTGTCAGCTGATTTAAAGTTTATATTACAGTACATTGTGTATATGTATATGTATGTATATAATATTTTATGAATGTCTTTGTCATCTTTGGCAGTAATTAATGACTTTCGGGTCTTGAGTTTCCCTGTTGTATCTCAAAGATTATGTTGGAGTTGTCACATTTGTCTCTGAGAAACTGTAGATGTCTGTTTTCTTTCCTCTTTTTGTAATTTTATTCTCCAAATGACTTAGTTGTGTCACCTGACTGTAATAACTGCTTGAATAGTAATGAAAATATCTGTTATTTGCAGTCCTACCTAACTTAAATACCTTTAATTCCTGTATTTTTGAAGATCCTGATCGTACCTGTCATCATTATTGGCTGTATTGGAGCTTTGATTAAAGTCAATGATCTGTACTTTTTCATTTCTACCACCGAACATTTACAGCTTTAATTACTGAGAGTGCACACTCTGTTTTTCTGACACTAATTATTTTAATTTCCAGAGTTTGAATAGGTCCTTAAACACAACTTCTGCCTCCTGTCCTGAACCAAAACCAATAACAAAAGTGTTTCCTCGAGTCCGTGGAAATACTTTCTCTTGATTTAATCACACAGACTAATCTAATCTAAGTCTGTGTCTGTGGTTATAACCTGATTTTAGTCCCGCTATTCCGCTCCGGTTTGTCCAAAAATAGAAATAAACACCTGAATGTCCTGACCTCAAACTCTAAACTCATGCTAATGCTAACTGAAGCTAAGACTTCTTACTTTGACATGACGCTGACAAACCTTCAATAAAACTAACCAAACAAAGTTACAACACATTTTATTACTCTGTGGCTTTAAAAACATTTTATACCAATTTAAAATGGTCACCTACCTGAAAAAAATAGGAATAAACCCGAAATAAATAAAGAAACAGCTCTAACCGTAGCACTGTTAACGCTCACACAGCTCTGTGGACTACCTTGGCAGGCTCACTAGAAGCTTTCTGATTGGTCAGAGGCTGTGACGTACAGTGTTGCCTTTGGGTCATGTGGGAAAATAGAAGATTTACGTTATTACTGTCAACAGAAGGGAGGTTATCTGAAGTGGTGAGAAATGTTTAAGCAATGAATTAAAATAAATTTAAAAAATGCATTTCGATACTTTATTCTTTTTTATTTCAAACTTTAAGAACAAAACTCTGATGATCCCCATACCATCAGGGATGCTGGTTTTGGGCTGGAAGCTGAGAACAAGCGAGGTGGATCATGTGCTCTCCAGAGAAGAGGATGTAGAGTCTCTGAGTTCCATGATTTCTAAGAAGAATGATGAATTTATTACACACTTGATTTCCAAAAGAGAGTCACATGTTGTAATAGAGATAAACTTTTCAAATGAGTATTATGTCAGTTATCTTTGTATCATCTCTATTTAATTGTCATTATGCCATTTCATATAGGTCAAATTTATATCTGTTTTGTTTTCTATGTCAGCTAACAGTGTCTTATTTCTATTCCTTTAGTATCTTCTTGTTGACTGATTTTTTTTACTTAATTCTGTTTCATGAGTGACTTCCATGCTGTATGGATGATCTTTGTATTTGTCTGTCACTATGCTTCCATTTTTTAATGTTTTTTTTTTTCCCTTGATCTGCCAGGGACTACAGATGAAAATTAGCCATTGCCTAAATCTGGCATATTTACATTTTTATGTTCATTAATGTGTATTGTCCCTTTTAAATAAATAAATAAGATGAAATATATTATTATATTAGTCAGACCATTACTATAGCATTTAATTTATTTATTTTCTCACAGACAGCATTGGCAACAATAAGATGAAGGAGGAGTGTGAAGGAGAAAAAAAAAAAAAAAAAGGGGTGGAAATTTAAAAGACCAAAAAAAAAAAAAAAAAAAAACCAGAACGAAAAAGTTATAACTATATGTCTATTTGTGTTTACATATATGTATATATGTATATATATATATATATATATATATATATATATATATATATGCATGTGTGTGTGTGTGTGTGTGTGTGTGTGTACAGTATGTACATTTTTTTCTTTCTTAATTTCATTTACTTAGTTTTTGCTTTGTCCCCCTGCCCAGTTGCATTATTCTTTTTACTTTTATATTAGTTAGTATTATTATTTTCAAATGTCATCTGTTTTATATAACTTTCCAAAACAAGCACTTAGCATCACTTAGTTTTAAAAAAAAGGAATAAACTGTTTATATCTTAAAAATCAGCATCAACATTTCATATGTTGTAAGCATTTGGTTGAAACAAAAGGCAAACCGTTCAAATGGACTTTTATCAGTATTTTTCTTGTTATTGAGCATGTAAATAAACAACCCAAAAGCCCTTTGCAAATCATTTTTCAAACATTTAAGCACGCTTTTGCTTGAACTGTGACTTCTAAAAGCTGTAAAAGCCGACTTTGTCCCGCTCTTGACCCATAAAATGAAAATAATGAATCATTAAAGTTTAACTGGGCGTTGCTGTTACAGGAGGAGATGCTCCTGTTTCCAATGGTTTATAAAGAGATGCTGCCTCTATGACAAACAGGCCTGAACGCGTGGCTGTTCGGTTTGAGAAAATGACAGGCTGTATGTCCTGTCAGTCAAACTCTTCGCTAATGTGATTGGCTGATGTGCCTGTTAGCCAGACGGACGCCTCTAGTGTTATTGTGATGAGGAGGCGGGTCCACCGTTAACAGCAGCAACGGCAGTAGCAGAGAGGAGCGGCTCAGTGCGGAGTGACAGGGCGTTCTCTTTTACATGATTAAAACACTAAACGGACACGAACAAGCGCACAGATCGACAGGAACATATCTGAAACATCCAGTCCGTCATGGAGTCCTATGACATTTTAGCTAACCAGCCGGTTGTGATCGATAATGTAAGTATGATGATGTCATTCATCCACACCCAAACCGAGGCCGCGCTGTTAGCCGCTGTTAGCCTCTGCTAGCTTCTGTTAGCACGGTTTACTACTGTGTTATAACGTCCGTTTGAAACAAAGAGGTTCAGCCTCAACTACCTCTACTAAGTATGCAGCTTTTTACACTCAAGTGTGTCTAAAAAACTTAAAAACCTGTAACTGTAAGTAGCAGCCTAAATGTAGCTGCAGCTGTAGCTAACTGACAACAGCTACCGGCTAAAGGTCCAATCGGGAAAATGGACTGTCTGTGTCTGTGTTTGTATGTCTGTTAATGTGTCTGAGTCTGTGTCTGTGACTGTGTCTGAGTCTTAAGTCTGTGTCTATCTGTCTAAGTCTGTGTGTCTGTGTGTTATTCCAGGTCTTCTATGTGTTTCTTATGTTAATGATCTATAATATTGTGATGACCTGTCAATACGGATCTGAGAGTCCTCATCCTGGACTGGTACCTCTCTTGGATTCAGGGTCTGGGTTTGGGTTGTAAACTTTGACCACCATGAATAAGGACTTTGAGGCTAACAGAGTTTAAACAGTAAAAAAAAAAAAGACTGTTATTGAATATTGTATTTTTATTATACACTGTTATCCTGGTATAACCCTGATTCAGGTTTCTTAGATATTCACTTTATAAAGGGTTTTTTTTTTAATCAGGAATCCTGGATGACTAACAAAGCAACACAATATTCCATATGTGGTCTACAACAACAATGATACCACAAGACAGTAGGGCTGGGCGAAATGGGAAAAAGTTCATCATGATATATTTTTTTCATGTCAGTCAACATCGATATATATGACGACATGAAAAATGAGATTTAACAAATGAATGGTCGTCTGTTGCGGCTGCACAGGCACCATGGTCTCCTTGCTACTCTCGGGGTTTGTAACCTTTTGTGTTGCGCGTGCTCTGCGGTGTGGCGCTGCTTCAGGTGGTGAAAAAGATTTGAGGTATTCCCTGACTATGTGAGAACATGTACTTGACATAATTTACAGTACACATTACTCTGCTTTATGTCTGACCTCAAAATACCTCCACACCACCAATGTTTTCATGCCATTGTTGTCGACGATGTCGTCCTCTGTTGAGCCTTCATCGTCATTTCTGTCGGGGGTAGCACTCATGTTCTTTTTTTCTCACCAACAGTGCTGTCGGCTTCACCTGTTAAAGTGCTATGGTTGCGTGTAGCAGCTGTCTGCTACAATGCAGTTGTTTGATACTTGGTTCTAATTCAGCACATGATTGGTTCAGCGCGGCGTGGACCTGGAACAACTCGCCTTTTCATTGGCTATTCGTATAGTCTACCAAAACATGGCAGAATGACGACTATTGAAAATCATATTGACCGTGTTTTATATTGATATTGAGGAAAATTAATTTTCAATATATATCGTTATCGTTTTATCGTTCAGCCCTACAAGACAGCTACTGCTGTTGGAGAATAACCATATAACCTTAGATCATGATGATAAAAATGCCCTTCATAAAGCTGAATGTGGAGCTGAGCCCTAATCAAAGCCTCTGAATTAAACATCTTGTATGTTGTAAATGGAGCTGCAATGATGCAAGTCAAATTTCAGACTGTGTTTGACAATCAAGTCATATTTAATCTAATCGAATCGATGAAATTTGGGTCAAAAATACACAAATCTGAGGTTATGCATTTTGAGCGTCAGGAGACTTTAGTTCTCTGCAGCAGTCGCTAGTTTGACTCTCATCCACTACCCTTTTCTGTATCCTCTCCCTTGCTCTCTACTCTCCTTATTCTCTGTCCCTCTCCGGCTGTCCTACGCACCAAAAACGATAGCTTCGTTGTGTACACTATCCCACACCAGAGAAGTCACCTGTTGGACAAACAGATAAGTTTTCATCACCAAATGTGAGCGAAAAAAACACCCTCAGTGTGGGAGTGAAGAGATCAGAGTCATGCCGTTAAAAACTCATGTTTAGATGACATTTTAGGAGGACAGACGAGCAACAGTTAAAAACATTGAGTCTCAGAGTCCGTTTGAAAGAAGTCATGAAACTCAACAGTCTCAGGACCGGCTGTTGGCTAAGTTCACCTGAGGGAGAGATGTTCTGATTTGTACAATCACTGCACCTCTCATTATTTTATCCTCCTGTTTTTAAATAAAGAACCACACACTGAGATATCTGCTCGTTTTTACTTGAACACCGTCTGTTCTGACTCTGTCTCAGTCTTTGGACTCATGAACACAAAAGACAAAGTCTCTGTTGAGACTGGAGGGATGGAGGGCAGAGTGTGTGACTGCTGCTGGCCTCAGGCTGTGTCTTATGACCTCCCTCTCTGCTCACAGATTAAAATACTGCAGCTCTCAGTTCACTGATTATCCTCTGATCTTAAATGTCATGTCTGTTTTCCTCCCCAGGGTTCAGGGGTTATCAAGGCTGGGTTTGCAGGAGACCAGATCCCCAAATACTGTTTCCCCAACTAGTAAGTATGAGTCCTCTCAAAGCACTCAGATCCCCGTCCACGGCCATAATCACACAGTTACTTTCAATATTATCTTATCCTCTGGTGATTTTGATGAGACTTTGTTTGTAACATGCTGAAAATTTGATAAAAGTTCACAAATATCAGTTACATTTAGTTAGACAAACAATCTAGATCCCAAAGATAAACAACCTTTACCGAGGACAACATAGAGAGTAAGACATGTTCAAGACCTTGAGTATCGCTCTTTTTGTTCGAACATTAGATTTATTTGAAGTTTCCTGAATAATTGTCTTCTGCTGGTTTTGTAATATTTTTGTTTGATTTTGTTTGACGCAGTGTGGGACGTCCGAAGCATGTACGGGTGATGGCCGGAGCCTTGGAGGGAGACCTCTTTATTGGACCTAAGGCAGAGGTAACACATTCACACACACATTTTTCAGAGCAGTTCATGTATATAAGGGAAAACTCCACAGGGGAGCGTCTTTGTGTTCAAACTTGGAGGTTATTTTTACACACTACGGCTCTTATTGTTTAAAAACGCTGCCACATAGGATCCTACTGTAAAAGAGTCGTCTGGATCAGACCTCAGCCTGCAGCAGTCTGGAGTCTGTAACCGCAGGAAGATGTGAAAAAGTCTTCAGAGATTCTCCAGAACTTTCATTTTAATATAACTTGAATCAGGAGGAGCAAACCTTGTCATTAGGATTCAGTGATCATTGTGAGAATGTTTTCAGCCCTAACTCAGTAATGCGCTGAGTGTTTTTGATTTCAGATTTCCTGGGTTATTTTGTTTTGTGTCGCTCTTTACCTTTTCTGGTTACTTCCTGCCTCTCAGCACAGAAGCTTCCAGAACTTAAACTCCATATTTGTCATACCAGCTGCAGCATCGATGAATCCAAGAGCTGTTCTCCTCTCGCTGTTCCTCATGGACGTGTCTATGTAATCAGACTGAGGTTAATTAATCCCACCTGCTAACCTCTGATTGGTTGATTGGTTTTCCTACAATGCAATTAACTAGAAATGAGCTGAACACCAGGAGCAGCCTACAAGGTGGAAGAGCTGAGATACAGACACTAGATGTGGATGGGGACTTCAGTTTAATCCTTTCTTGATTTCAGTCATTTTTCTGTCGTCTGATAACGAGTCTGCTATGATTACTTCTCAGTCATCCAATGGGAGGAAGACTTTTAGTAATTAGGAGGTGAATGGTTGTATTTTGATTTAATCCTGGCATCAGAAGTTTTAATGATGTGATTTAAGCTCATTAGAGCTCATGTTGGGGATGCTCTCTGTCTGCAGAGTAGTATCCCCACTTTAGGAAAGTCCCAACACTAGGACTGCTAATTTAGTCGGTGTCTGTGATTGTGCAGTGTTTAAGTTCCTTATGTAGAGCAAGATCCTGAAAGTAAAGTTGGATCAGATCATACAGCCTCCTTCCAATGTCTCCAAAGATCCTTCAGGCAAACACCAGCTGAGATGTCATGTGACTTTTTTTCCACGTTGCCTCTCTTTGCCACTCTGTCATAAAAACTGAAGCAGACAGGAAACAGCTGTTAGAGCAGAGGCTGGTGCATGTATTTACTAGGCACTTTTAGAGGTTTGGACCAGATTCAGCTGATCACTAATGAGCATGTGCAGCAACTTTAGAAACCAGCCATAGACTGTATGGATGAAATGAAAGTAGACCCACTGAAGTCAGTCTGATTCTATCACTCAGTACGTTTACATGCTGTTTCCGACCCCATACAACTGTCAGCGACAACAGCAGGTCCGTGTCAGACGTCAGAAGTGTCTACAACTGCTGCTGGGAATTTTGGAGCAAGAAGATGAAGCATCAGTACAGCATTGTTTTTGTCCTACATGATGGACACGCTATTTTTTCTGCAGATGAGACGAATGCTACTCCTCTTCTCAGGTGTTTTCGTTCCAGGGTCACGGGGGCGCGGCACACGCACACATGCACTGTCCTATCATACTCCAACTACACTGGTTACATGGTAGAGAAAATCGAATTCCAATTGCATTATCTGGGTGTCTTAATTGGAGTTCTCGACTCCGATTATAGTCGGACTAATGCGTTTACATGCACTTCAGTTGTCCGGTCTTTATCGGAGTAAGGCGATAATTCGGTTTTCTTGAGTGTCATGGAAACGTACTGAATGTCATCTGTGATGTTTCTGCTGCCTGCTCTGTTCTGGATCTTTGCTGCTGCTCTTCCTGCCTTGACTTTCCATGTACCTGCATGGAAAGGCAGGGAGCTCCCAGAACAGAACAACACGCTGCATGTAAACCAACGATTTCCTTCGACTTCTCTTCCCAGAGATTTTATAACAAATACATTTTATTTATAAGCACCTTTCTGGACACTCAAGGACACTTTACAGAGTAAAAACAGCAGGATAAAAGCAATAGAGAAAACAAAGCAAAATAGGGGGAAAAAAAACAATATATATGTATGTATAAATAAAACAAACAAAAACACAACAAGGTAAATTATAAGGAGTGTGCTAATCTGAACAGGTGAGTTTTTAGTCTGGATTTAAAGAGAGGGAGAGAATCAATATTCTGGATGTCAGGTGGGAGTGAGTTCCAGAGATGGGGAGCAGAGCAAAGGAAGGTGTTGATTGGCGCCAAACGATCAAAGTTTGACCTACTGGTCTTGGTTTTAAGGCTCTAATTGTGGTGCAAACAGACCAGAGTTGATAATTTATTTGACCTAAGAGGCTTAAAGGGTTTCAGAGTCGACATTAAAGTGTGGGCCCTCTGATCATAATGGGCCGTAATCCTCTCTGCTTTGGAAAGCCAACGGCAATCCTGACTCCAACAAATCAACCACTGTATGACTAACAGTGAGCAAGCGCACACGCAAACACACACAAAGCTAACAGATCAATAACACATGGGTAAAATCTGACAGAGTTAAAGCTCAGAGTTGAGTTCACAGCAGGACGGAGAATTTGTCTAAAACTTCATTTAAGCACAAACTCTGAGCTGAGATGACACCTGCCACTCACAGAGACCACGCCTCTTTTTTCCTTCACTGTAAACCTTAAAGGGATATTCTACAATAAAATTAATTTAGGGTCAAACACACTGTAACACCGAGTTAGAGACCCCTTCCAGAGATGAATGTTGCCGACCGCTTGCTTCTCTTGTTATACCAACTTTAGTAACGACCGCAGGATAGCAATACAGAGAGCCAAGCACTCAACCAAAACACCACTCTCTAGCCACAAAAAATGCTCAGAACAGCACCTAACTTCATCAACAGTACATACAGGGTCCCAGCCATAGTACTAGCCACCAAACATCTTTTTAATTTTGACTAATTTCTTTAGCAAAGAGACTAAACACAACTCACCTACTCTCTTCCATCAGCCGCTTGTTTGTAGCGAGACCTCAGGCCAGTCCATTACAGACTACAGCAGGGTGACGCAGCTCAAGGAAGAACATTTATGATAATTTCTTCATGGAAATACAATCAGACCTGGCACCAAGGTAGAAGAACTACCGCTTCTGCAGTGAAAAATGATTAATATGGTGATTACTACTTCAAGAAAATGATAAAGAAATGATCATTAATGTTCTTCCTTGAGCTGCGTCACCACGCTGTTGTCTGTAATGGACTGGCCTGAGGTCTCGCTACAAACAAGTGGCTGCTGGAAGAGAGTAGGTGAGTTGTGTTTGGTCATTGATGCCTAAAACCACAAATAATGGCCAGAAAATTCAAATTTTTTGGAGCTGAAATGTTTATTTTATTCACTACTGAAAACCAAAAAAATCAAAATGTCCTTAAAATTGAACAAATATATTTATTTATCTCATTTGACACATTAGATGTTTTTGGAAACTGATAAACCACAAGAGGACATTTTTTATCATTTATAGGACTGTATTCAGGTGTTTTTTTAGTAATTTGTTGATCATATTGATTTTATAGAAGTATCATAAAAGTATGTATCAAATATGATACATACGGTGTGTTTGACCCTAAATTATTTTTACACCGGAATATCCCTTTAAGAGCCTCCAGCCTTTGGGGACTTCACCAAGCTGTTACCGTGTTTATTTCTACTGTAACTTTGGTCTAATTAACATGGAGCTCTGTGAGGATGGACTGATTTTGAAGATACACTCGAGGCACTGCAGTTTCTGAATCCCTTTTTCAGCCCTGGAGGTACTTTAAGTGTCAAACAGATGTCCTGCTGTTTCTTTGATCGTCTCTGCAGCTTGTGAAGTTTGTGGCTGATCCTGTCTCAGCAGGAGGAAGAAAATTCATTTCAGCTTCATTTGATCCTCCCTGTTTTCACGTTCCCTCTCTGTGTTGATCAGGAGCACAGGGGCTTGTTGTCGGTTCGATACCCGATGGAGCATGGCATCGTGAAGGACTGGAATGACATGGAGAGGATCTGGCAGTATGTTTACTCCAAGGAGCAGCTGCAGACTTTCTCCGAGGAGGTGAGCTTTCTTCTATCCCCTCCATGCATGATGAGAAGGTCACGTGTTCGGCAGACGCCTGAATGCATTGTTCTGTTCCCAGCATCCTGTGCTGCTCACCGAAGCTCCGCTCAACCCCAGCAAGAACAGAGAGAAGGCTGCCGAGGTTTTCTTTGAGACCTTCAACGTCCCCGCCCTCTTCATCTCCATGCAGGCTGTCCTCAGCTTGTGAGTACACCTCTGTTTGTCTGTGCATGTGGGTCAGTTAGAGATGAACAGAATCTCACTGAGGTCTGCAGCTTTTCTAAACTCAAAGTGCTGACTTCAGACTCAAGTTAGCGAGAGGTCGAATCTGTGGTTCAAAGTGTTTCTGTTCTTAATCACACCAGGGCGGTATTTTTAACACTCTCAGAACCAGAGAAACAAACTCAGACTTCTTTAGTGTCCGCTTTTGTCACAGCTGGAGGGTGGATCAGCTGGTTGACTCGGTTTGAGTAACCTGCGCTCTGTCTCATGCAGGTACGCCACAGGTCGAACAACCGGTGTCGTGTTGGACTCTGGGGATGGGGTCACTCACGTGGTGCCAATCTATGAAGGCTTCGCCATCCCACACTCCATCATGCGCGTCGACATTGCAGGAAGAGACGTGTCGAGGTACCTGCGTCTGCTGCTGCGCAAAGAAGGCTACAACTTCAACACGTCTGCAGAGTTCGAGGTGGTCCGCACTGTCAAAGAGGTGAGGGGGAGGGGCTCTGATGGCTGTGTTGGCTCTGAAGGACAATCAAATCGACGTTTTTCTGATGGCATGTGTGACTTGTGTCCTGCAGAGAGCCTGTTACCTCTCCCTCAACCCACAAAAGGACGAGACTCTAGAAACAGAGAAGGCTCAGTACGTCCTCCCTGACGGCAGCACTTTAAACGTGAGTCACTCCTCCAAACCGTGAAAATCCTCATGCTCTTCCACAGCTTGGACCCTTAAATGTGACTGTTTTTGTTCTCCAGATCGGGCCAGCCCGGTTCAGAGCGCCAGAGCTGCTCTTCAGACCCGATCTGATCGGAGACGAGAGCTCGGGGATCCACGAGGTCCTGGCCTACGCTATCCAGAAATCTGACATGGACCTGCGACGCACACTCTTCTCCACCATCGTGCTGTGTGGAGGATCGACACTGATCAAAGGTGAGAGCCTCCTCGGACCTCTTCAGCTGAAGACTCAGACTCAAGAACATGGTCTACAGCCAGGATGGAAACTCTCTCACTTCCTGCGTCTGTTTCTTTCTTTTAGGATTTGGGGAACGACTACTAACTGAGGTCAAGAAGCTGGCGCCCAAAGACGTAAAGATCAAGGTGAGTGTGAGAGTGAATATCTGAGCGTGTTTACACCGATTTTCTTCTTCTTCATCATCGAGTCTTTAATGTTTTTCCTGTCGGAGACTCGTACCTAGGGATGGGAATTAGTAAGATTTTATCAATATCAATGCCTTAACGATTCCCTTATCAATGCCTTTCTTCAATTAAAAAAAAAAAAAATTAGGTTTTCACCGTTAACTCAAAATTTTATTGAGTCTCTAATAACAGAAAAAGATGTATGCCACCTTCAGTGAGAGTCTAAAAATAATCAAAGGAAAATGCTATTTGTACAGCATTTCTGACATGCATTGTGTTTATGTTAAACAGGACATACTTTAGAGTGACCATATTCTGAATCCCCAACAAGAGGATACTACTACGCAGAGCAGACGTGTGTGCAATTTTGAGGTTTATTTTTTTATTTTTTATTTTGGTCGGGTTGAGAGTTTTCTATGCTCTTCTAACTCAGTTAAATGCATATTCTGAATTCCCAAAGAGTGCATGCTGCGTCGCGTCAGTGGCTTTGCCAAGAAGTGAGTGGAGGGGCAGAGCTGCAGAGCGCACTGATGCTCTGCACTGTTTTATAATCAATGAAAACACTTTCAGGACATTTGAAGGATTTTATAAACTCCCCCGGACAGCCCCCAAAAGAGGACATGTCAGGGCAACAGAGGACATATGGTCACCCTAACATATGTACTTTCAATGCCGTGCTGAGACGGAGCTGCAGCGGATGACTTTGATTCCCATCCCTACTCGTACCTCTTCTCTTCATCTTCATTGGAGAAGGACTAACAGTTGATGTCGACTAAAATAAACTTCATATCCTTCAACAGCTGATTTTTGTTGACAACATTGTTTTGATTTCTCCGTAGATTTCGGCTCCTCAGGAGAGGCTGTACTCCACATGGATCGGGTAAGTTTTTCGCTTCTCACCGCGTTCTGGGTTCGATAATTTCGGTGTTAAACTCTCCTTTTCTCCCCGACAGCGGCTCCATCTTGGCGTCGTTGGACACCTTTAAGAAGATGTGGGTGTCGAAGAGGGAATATGAAGAAGACAGAGCTCGTGCCATCCACAGGAAGACCTTCTAGAAAGGGGGAGGAGTCCCCCCAGAACTGCCCTCGAACCCCCCCCCCCCCCAATCATCATACTGTAGGGGATCCTCCTGCACCTGTGGTCTCCAGTACCTCTGCATCACCTTTATCTAAACCTCCTGTCAGCCCGCTTTATGCCCCTCCCCCACCCTGAGAAACACTCGCCTTTCTGCGCGCAGGTTTCCGTATTTACCTCCTTTTATTTGCCTCCTGTTGTTCCTGCTGCAGGGTGACGGCGGCGGCGCCCTACACCCCGCGACCCCCCCCAACATCCACCTGCACTCATACACTCAGACAGACAGACAGACAGACAGAGGGCGGTGTCAAGGTCTCTGAGAGGGCAGATTTCAGCACTGTGGACTCATGCTCCATGACCTTCAGTTAGTCCACGTTGAAGTTTTGGTGTTGCTCGCTCGCTCGCCTACAGACGCCCTGCGAGCTGTAGATTATTATTATGACATGTCAATAAATCTGAATGTTTTTTTTTTTCTTTTTTTTGCTACTGTTGAAGTTTCCATTCCAGACCGAAGATTTAGATTTTTATTTGATGTCGACTTTTCGTCTGTTTCTGACATGAGTTAGCTCGCACAGGGCAAAGGTCGTCAGTACGAAAGGAGTCAGAATCTAGTGCGCAGGTAAATCAGAGAACCACTGTATTATATAGAGATCTGGCCTAAACTGCACATGACTGCGGTTATTTATCACCCGACTGTCTCGATTATTAATATTATTATTACCAATGAAATGTTTCTACATGAACATGACGTTACGTGTTTGTCTCGATGATGGTGATGATGAGGAAAATGTTCAGTCACTGAGTCGGCGTTTTTGTTCCAGCTGACGGGATTAAAAAACAACAAAGTCCAGAAAAATGCCTTGATTTTTATTTGAAGTTTACTAAAGTCAAAGTGCACATGATGACCACCACACTGAGAAGGAGGGATGGGGTGGTTTTGAACCGGGTCTGAAGAAACAGTCGACACAGACATGTTAGTGAAGTTTTAGACTTAACAGGTCTGCAGTATTAACCCCTCAGCCTCTGAAGTCCAATCTGTGTGAAAAATGATCATCCAAATTCACCTGAAAGTAAACGTCCTGAAACTCCCGCATATGTCCAAAATGAAAAAAACTCTTAATCATAAAAAAACATTAAAACAACAATCAGTAAATCCTCATTTTAAAAAGCCAGAGCAACAAAGTTTATATTTCAATCATTTGTTGCTTCATTCGATCTTAAAACAACTTAAAACTCAATTTTTAAATCACTTAAGTTTAAAAGCTGACCAAGGTTAATGTCTAATGTCTTTATGTTTCCTGATTGTAATTTAAGAACTTAAAACTGTTCAAAAAGCTCAGAAATTTGATTTATTTCAGCATGTAATGGGATTTAAGAGTTGTGCAGAAACAGCTCCTGTGCATCTGGAAGTTTCATCTCAGCTGTTAAAAGGAAATCCAGCAAAATGTCTTCTTTTATCGTGTCAGTTTCACAAACTTTTGACTCTAATTTAAACTTTAACCGTCAATTTACTCTTAAAGTTTATGAAAATGACCGAAAGTTGAAGAATTTTTGCTGTTGAGATTCACCACGTTCAATGACGGATCTGTCTCAGTTACTCTGGTGTCAGGTTTACTCAGATGCATGAAGAGCTTTTCATCCAAAGTACACAAAAAAAGCTTAAAACACTTAAACTGCTGATGGTTTTAAAGAAAAGGGACCTCATCCTGGACTCAAAATCTTTTTTTTTAAAAAGTTCCTCCAGTTTGAAAATGTTTGAAAAGTCCACTCCTCTCGACAAAAACGCTGCATTTGAGCTCACAAGAGTTGGAGTTAAACGAGACTGTTGCTGAAGACAGTTTAAAAGCACCACATGTTCTCCTCGTCCAGTGTAAAAACCATGACATAAACAGCAGCTGTTCCAGTTATCCCCCTCCTCTTTATTCAGACCCATGTCCGTGTACAGAGACATGAAGCCGAGCTCTGGAGTTTGGAGCTTTTGTACTATCCCCTCCTCTTTCTCTCTCTCTATGTCTTAGTAAAGTCTCCTCATTTCTCAGCTGGCAGTGAAGGGGTTGTGTCCGCCTCTTCCTGGAGTTTTTAAAAAAGCTGAAAAAAAGAAAAAAATCCAGAAAAAGATCATCAGCCTGGTCTACAGGGGAATGCTTTTCAACAGCAACACAACACCACCATCATATGATAACAACAGACTAACAATGTACAAAACTGTTTATTCAAGTGTTTGCTTTTACTTTTCGTAAATTCAGTATAATAATAAATAAGTTCATGGCTGCTGCCCAAGTGTCTTCTCATTGATTCATCAGATGGTGCAACAATCTCGAAGTGATTGAAACACTGTAAAATGTTCTTAATAAACAGATTTTGATCATTTAGAAATCCCTCAAAGCTTTTATTTTAATTAAAAAACAACATTTTAAGAGAATTTTATAGTTTTATTTGGAAAAAGTTTATAATATATTTATAAAAAGTTGTTATAAAGGAACAACCAATCAGGTTTTACCAAATCCTGAGGCCAAAAATCCTCCATATCCAACCATGAAGTCAGAGATTCGTGCTGCAGTTCTTTCAGTCTCCAGCAGAGGTCAGTGTGGCAGCATCACTGTAAATAAACAGACACTAATTTCATATTATCAGATACTCTTAATGCTGCACTCCTGGAATAACCTCCACCTGTCACCTTTTTTTTCCTAAATTCTCAGAGACACATCGACGATTAATTCGGAGGAATTCGTGGTAACACTTTATTTGACGCCTATCTATAACGCATTATAAATATATGTATAATGCGTTATAATCACGTTATAGCACTGTATAACTATAGTAATAAACACTCATAAATTTTCATAATGCTTAACAGCAATAATCATAACACATTATAAAGCATGACTTACAAGGTCAGGTATTAAAATGTGTTATAACTTAACAATTCACTGCCAAGCAACATTGTTAACAGTTATAACACATTAAAATACCTGACCTTGTAAGTCATGCTTAATAATGTGTTGTGATTACTGCTGTTAAGCATTATGATAATTTATGAGTGTTTATTACTATAGTTATACAGTGCTATAACGTGATTATAACGCATTATACATATATTTATAATGCTTTATAGAGAGAGGCGTCAAAGTGTTACCGAATTCGTTTTTATGAGAGACTGCAGCCTCCAAAAATCATGAAACCATTAAATCAGCATCTGCAAAAGTTCTGATTTTTTTCAGCCTGGTTTTCTAGAATTAAATAACTACTGTATGTATGGTTAATTCAGATGCTTTGATTAGGGCTCAGCTCCACATTCAGCTTTATGAAGGGCATTTTTATCATCATGATCCAAGGTTATACGGTTATTCTCCAACAGCAGTAGCTGTCTTGTAGGGCTGAACGATAAAACGATAATGATATATATCGAAAATTAATTTCCTTCAATATCAATACAAAACATGGTCAGTATGCTTTTCAATAGTCAGCATTCTGCCATGTTTTGGTAGACTATACAAATAGCCAATGAAAAGGGGAGTTGCTCTGGGTCCGCTTCACACTGAACTAATCATGTGCTGGATTAGAACCAAATAGCAAACAACTGCGTAGTAGCAGACAGCAGCTACACGCAACCATAGCACTTTAACAGGTGAAGCCGACAGCACTGTTGGTGAGAAAAAAAGAATGAGTGCTACCTCCGACAGAAATGACAGATGACGACATCGTCGACAACACTGACACGAGAACGTCGTTGGTATGGGGGTATTTTGTTTTTTTTTTTGAGGTTGGACATGAAGCAGAGTAATGTGTACTGAAAATTATGTCGAGTACATGTTCTCACAAAATTGGAGAATACCTCAAATCTTTTTCACCACCTGAAGCAGCGCCACGCCGCAAACATGCACAACGCAAAAGGTTACAAACCTCAAGCAGAGCAAGGAGCCCATGGCAGGCGAAACAGCTGGCCATTCAGTCTGCTTTCTCTTGAGCAACGCCTTACGACAACATGTTGAAGAGACACAAAGACCTCACAGATGCAGTAGATTATTGTATTGGAAAAGACATCCTACCAATTAACACTGTTAAATTTCATTTTTTATACCGTGATATATATCGATATTGACTGATATGAAAAAAATATATTGTGATAATCTTTTCCCTATATCGCCCAGCCCTAACTGTACAAATAAATAAAACTGGCCGAGTTCTGAGAAGTTGGAGCAACAGGTTGTCTTTCTCTTCCTCTGCTTTGACAACGCTTATGTCGAGTTCACATTCCTGATGAATTATTAAGTCGGCTCGTTTTCCTCTCGTTAGATTATTCCAAACAGCTCCATGAATTATGGATTCTCCATCATGGGGTAAACATCAGCATCCTTTAGAAATGACTGTGGGCGACAAATTGGAGAGGAGGATGAGTGAGATGAAGATCTGAGAGCAGGAGTCAGCAGGTGGGGAGGGTGTGAGCTGCTCAGTCCCTCTCTGTCATTATTGAACAGCCTGCTGTCTTCATCACTCTGACAGACATCAGCTGCACTCTCTCTTCTTTTCTCTTGAACCTTGAAAGAGCAAGAAAACCGAGTTTTCAGGGGAGCGTCAGGCTCTCAGATAAATGATCCTCCTGCAGCCGAGGCCTCCACTCTGCCAAGACGACGAGAGACTCCTTGGGACTCTGGTAAGAGCAGACAGCGAGGTCAAGGACCAGATTATACAGCGAGAAAACAGAACAAGACAAAAAGAGAGGAGAGTTTCAGCTCTCACTCAGAAAAACATCGATTTCTATTCCACTAAGGACGAGCTGAAATCTTACAAAGTTTTACAAAGAGGACGTCAAGTGTTCGAAGGAGAATCGATCCGAGGTGCTGAGGTTGGTAGTCTGTCTAAGAAGAATGTGAAGTTTTTAAAGTCTCTTTTTTTCCTATTTGTGATTTTAATGTCCAAACATTTCACCCTCAAACAAAGACCTCCTCCTCTCAGAAAAAGACCTCCACTCAAATAAAGACCTCCTCCTCTCAAAAAAAGACAAAGTTCAAAGTCACTGAATCACTGAGGATCTGTATAATCAGAAAAGTCACTTTTTCCTTCTACACTCCTCATCAGTTTATAGAGGAAGTTTGTCCTTATATGGAGATATCCTGTGACATACTAGAATCTGACAGATTGAACTCACAACATCAGAACCACTGCATGTACACACTTTACAAACACACACAGTTTTCCGGTTCAGGTTTAAAAACTTGGATCCAGAGTCTGTATGTGATGAACTTACCTCTCCTCAGTAAACGACAGTAAAATTCTGTTTAATCTGGACTTGTTTACATTAAATCTCAATCTGACGCATCTTCTTAATATTACACAGTAATTGTCCGACATGCTCTGATCGATAAAGTAGAGGCCTCAGCAAGGCTTACCCCCAGATTCCACCACATTTGGAACGGCGGCGATTTTTGCAATCCACCAATTCCTACCAGATGCGTTTGTGAGGCGAATTTCGTGGCAGATTAGAGACAGCAGGAATCGTGAGAACTCACAAGAACCTGCAGATTCACATGCAATCGTGCAATAACGAGTTGTCTCCATAAAGACAGACACATAGACATATAAGCAGTAGATTGTGTCCTTCCAGAGGAGGAAATCTACTTCTAGACCTCTAGAATCAGCATCTCCTCATCCATGGTGTCATCGGGGTGAGATGCTGTCTAAAAACCTTTCACTTGTTCATTTCCACCTGTTTGCATGGTGTGAAATACGATCCGCCTGAAACACAGAGTGTTTTAATTTGAAAAGAAGCTGGATGTTTTATTTTGTGTCTGTGCCCGACTTCCTTTCCAGCACAGGTTAATCTGTACTGAATTTATCCGACATGATCCGGCGTCCAGAAAAAATAGAACTCTTGCAATCAGCTGTGGAGTCTGGCGATCCACAGAGGAACGGAAAGAAGACAGTGGAAATTGACATGTTAAATTGAATGGTTACGATCAGCTACGATTGGAGGATACGACCTTTTCGTAGCCTTTCAGGATGCGGTGGAAATTGGGGGTTAGGTTAAGGTGACCAGATTTCTGTAATGAAATCCAGGGACATTCGGTGCGGCGGGGGGGGGGGGGGGGTCACGTGATCACAGACAACATCTCGGTACTATTTAGTAGCAGCGCACGCCCCTTGTAATAACCCCCGTACCCCGTAAAAACTGTTGTTCAGGACTGCTTACTTGTGCTTTCTACCCATTCAGCTACTGTAATAACCGTTGTTCTAGCCTTCATGCAACATTTTTGTTCTCATTCATGAAAAATCAGGGACATTTTCGGGGACAGTTTTTGCCAGGGACAGGAAATCCAATTTGGGGACTGTCCCCAGAAATCGGGGATGTCTGGTCACCGTAGGTTAGGTCCCTTTAATGATTAAGGAACAAGTGTATGTGTGTGAAAGAAAATCAAACATGCATGTCAGGTGATTAAAAAAAACACAGTTTACCATGTTTTGTATCAACACTTTGTTCATAAAAATGCTGTCATGATATTATTTACCTAAAACAACAGTATATAAAGCATGTATTGCTGTTATTCCTTTTTTTTTGTGGGGACTGTAATCAGATTCATCTCCTGGAGTGAGGACATCTCAACAAACGAGGACTTAAACTTGGATTGAGGCTTTTGTTAAATTCTAGTCATTTGTGAGGATTAGAGGAAAAAGGTTGGGTAACTGCTTTGTGAGAGATAGTCCCCACAAATACATATCAACATGAAGATGTGTGTGTGTAAAGATAATCAAACTGTTGTGTGGAAAAAATCCAGTCCACCACATTTCATGCCAGGCTGCTGAAATGCTCCGTTTGTGTGTGTGTGTGTGTGTGTGTGTGTGTGTGTGTGTGTGTGTGTGTGTGTGTGAGTGAGAGAGAGAGAGAGAGAGAGAGAGAGAGAGAGAGAGACTTCATGAATAGCTACTGTGTGTGTGTCTGTGGGTGCCATCACAGGTAACCAAGGAAACGGGGAACAGAGAAGGGGAAGATGGCATTGCTGTCTGTTTTACCATTTGGCCACAAGCTGAGACAGAAACAGTAGAGACACATTTCTGCTCGTCCTGTGAGGAGGCAGCAGCAGCCGTTTCAAACTCCTGATGAGCTTTGTGTGTTTTGGGGTTTTTGTGTTTGTGTTTTTAAACGCTTTAAACGCTCTCGGTGCATCACCACGTTCGGTCTTTTTATAGGACAAAGTGATGCTAATGTATGCAAACTGAGTCACCCGTGCACAGGCCCAACCCAGACCTCATACACGCCAGTTATTTGTGTGCAATGTCAAATTGTCTTCATCGTCCCTCCTCCTCCTCCTCCTGCAGCCACTGTTATCAGGGACTCAAACTGCTGCTGGAAAAACTCTGATCTCTGTGTACTTGTCATGTTACATTATATTTATGGAGCTTCGTTGACACCCAGAGTCCTGCCCAAAATAAGACACACTGTCAGCGTTCACAGGCGTCATTCTCCTGCAGAGATCCCGTCTGCTGCAGGACAGCACGCCTCCGGTTTGTGGGTTTAAAGCCCCCAGAGTAAAAGTAGAGAGGATGATCTAAACCACTCTCTTCCCAGGAAACCAGACCCTTCTCAAGATGAATTTTGTCCTTCCAGTCATCAGAGGTCAGACGCCTGTCAACGGCTTCTGTTGGTGCTGTTCGCTCATCTGACAGTGGCTCAGCACCACAGGGAGGAGATACGGTTTTACCAGCAGCTGAAAGTTTATGTCGTCACAAATTGAGACGGAGCATATATACAAAATATGTTTGGTGGCTAGTGCTATGGCTGGGACCCTATATGTACTGTTGATGAAGAGATGGAAGATGGCCGCCGAGGCAGATACACAGCATGGCAGGTCCTGTGTGTCTGCCATAAAAGCGTTGCAAAAGCGCTTCAAAAACCTCAAAGGACTACGGTTATTGCCATCATCTTATTTGTTACTTGTTTTTCTAATTCTCTTTTTGCTGCTGTGCCTAACATTTCCACGAGAAAAAGGATCAAAACAATGACCAAGTCCTCTATCCAGCAAAGGTGAGCCACCATCTCCTTTTCACAAGACTACTGGATGAGGGACATGCTAGGCCACCCCCTGGTAAACATGAACTGCTACAGTCTCCTAAACCTCTCTTGGGAGTTGTACACCTTCTGTTGATCCTGCTTCTTGCTGGGAATGTTGAAAGAAACCCAGGACCATTACAGCAGAACATAAACCATCTGGATGTTAGGCTAAATCCATTGTTAATGGAGCCACTGCTACCTGGACACCAACCGCTGCAGCCTGGGCTAATTTCACTGTTAACTGGGTCTCATCCAATGATAGCCTGGCCCCCTGCTGGTTTGCTCCCCCTGCTACCCGGGATGCTTTCGCTGCTACCTGGACCTCATCAACCACCACTAACAGAGCCCAAACCATGGGTAGCTGGGTCTCATCTATGGCTAACTGGGCTCCAATCACAGCCAGCTGGGCTCCAACCACAGCTAGCCGGGCTTCAACCACTGCTAGCAGGGCCTCAACCACAGCTAGCTGGGCCCCAACCACCGCCAGCCAGGCTTCAACCACAGATAGCAGGGACTCAACCACAGCTAGCCAGGCCTCAACCACCACCAGCTGGGCCTCAATCACCACTAGCAGGGCCTCAACAACAGCGAGCCGGGCCCTATACACTGCCAGCCAGGATTTGACCACCGCTAGTAGGGCTACCACCATCGTCAACAAGGCCTTAACCACCTTTAAAAGGGCCTCAACCACAGCTAGCCAGGCCTCAACCATCGCTAGCAGAGCTTCAATCACAGCTAGCCGGGCCTCAACCATCGCTAGCCGGCCTCCTACCACTGCCAATAGGGCCTCATCTACCGCCGGCTGGGCCTCAACTACCACCAGCAAGGCCTCCACCGCTGCTAACAGGGCCTCAACCACTGCCAGCAGGGCCTCAGCCACAGCTAGCCGGGCCTCAACCACTGCCAGCTGAGTCCCAACAGCCAAATACAAAGACAAAAATGAGAAATCCAATCATGAAGAAACACCATTCAACAAAAATTTTTCAGACACTTAATCAGCAAGGACTATCTGGGACCCACATTTAAAACCCAAAGGGTTACTCGGAGGTCATTTGAATATAAGAAGCATGATTCCAAAGCGAGAACAACTTGAGCACTTAATAATTTAGTCCAACATAGATTTTATTGGGTTAACAGAAACATGGCTGACAAGTTCTTCACCTAAGGCTGCTATACATATGACGAGTTACAGTGTATTCAGGAAGGACAGAGGTGAGGGCAAAGGAGGGGGGGGGTTCTTGTTTATGTGAGAGATACCCTTCAATGCTCACAAATTGTATGGCCTGAGGACATCACAGTTGAATGTGTGGGAATAAATATTGTCCTCTCAAAGGAAATGAATTTTACTGTTATCTGTATTTATAGGAAACCATTAACAAAAATTGATTTTTATGACCAACTAAAAATGCTTCTAAACCTCTGCAGTTCCAGTAAAGAGGTGATCTTGATGGGCGATTTTAATATTAACTGGGATAACAAGAAAGAAAGACGCAAATTAAAACAAATTATAAACCTTTTTAACATGGTCCAATTAATTGAAAACCCCACTCGTATAACTAACCAGTCTAAAACCAGCATAGATTTAGTATTTGCAAATAAGTCCGAAAGAATCTTGGAAACTTACAATTTTTTAACTGGCCTCTCTGACTATAATGCTATCTTTTTCACAAGGATATTGAGCAAAACGCGAACTTGCATGTCTTGTAGAAATTCAAACTTTACCTCTTTTTATGAAGTAGTCCCGAAAAACAAACATCACAATCTGGCTAGAGCTATACAGGAGATTGAATGGAATGAAATTGTCTCATGTGATGATATTTCAACAAACAGTATTAACTTCTACACCAAAATAAAAAATGTAACTGCTCTATTTACAAAAAGAATGAAGAAAAATCAGGTCAGTAAAAGTGATTTGCCATGGCTCAATGATGAATGCAGGACCCTAATGAAAACTAGGGACCAATTACTGAAAAAATCTCTTAAAACTGGTCTTGTTTCTGACAGACAACGCTTTACATCAATGCGAAATAGAGTAATTCAATTACTGCGCAAAGCCAAGGCAAACTTTTACATGTCAATGATTGAGTCCAACAAAGGTAACAGCAAAAGAATTTGGCAAACAATTGATAAAATGACAGGTAAGATAAATAAAGGCATGGAATTAGAATAACAAATCAATAATCAATTGGTAAAAAGATCCTATTGTTGTGGCAACTGAATTTAATACCTTTTTTAAAAATTCAGTTTTGGAAATCTCACAACTTTTTTCTCCACAGGAAATTATACCTTACTCTGTTAATAAGTCCTCGCCTCTGTTCACAGTAGCAGAAATAAATGAGTCTGATGTAGTCTCTATTATAAATGAATTAAAACTGTCTAAAGCTAAAGATGTATATGGTCTAGACACCAATTTCCTTAAGACACACAAAGACTCATTAATATGCCCAATAACACATATGATCAATCTGTCAATTAGAAATTCTGTTGCTCCCATGGCATGGAAAATTGCCACGATTACTCAACATCACTCAACAGAAACTGCAATAAATCTTTTTCCAGAAAAAGTTAATTATTTAGATTCTGGTCCCCTTGTGGGTGCCGTTTTTCTCGATCTGAAAAGGGCATTTGACACTGTAGACCACAAAATTTTGTTGTCAAGGCTACTAAAATTCAATTTTTCAGAGCAAGCTATTCTCTGGATTAAATCATATCTGTCTTATCGAACAAATTGTGTATCTGTCAGTGGTGTCAAATCCCTTTATATTGACAGTAAAGTTGGAGTTCCTCAAGGTTCCATACTTGGGCCTATTTTATTTTCCTTATATATTAACGATTTGCCAAATATCTGCCAAAATATTGACACACAGCTCTATGCAGATGATGCTGTAATTTTCACAAAAGCAACGTCGGATGAAGAAGTATCAGGAAAATTGACATCTGCAATAAACTCAGTGGACAAGAGGCTCACCAGTTCATGTCTTCTTCTAATTAAAAAAAAAAAACTGTCTGTATGGTATTCTCAAAGCGCCCAAAAGTGTGGTTAAGTTCAAATATAATTGTAAAGGGTGAGGAGCTCCTGCTTGTACATGAATTTATATCTTGGTGTCACCCTTGACTCAAACTTAACTTTTAAAAAACATGTCAAAAAATTACGGAAAACTGTGAATTTCAATCTCAACAATTTTAGACATATCAGATCGTCACTCACAGAGAGGGCTGCAAAAATGTTTCTGCACTGTATGATTTTCTCCCACATAGAATACTGCATCACCAACTGGTCACTGACAAGTCCAAGCACACTAAAACCAATAGAATCTCTCTTCAAAAAAGCTGTAAAAGTATTGGATTGGAAACCATTTCTCACCCATCACTGCCCTATTCTGCAAAAACACAACATTTTAAGTTTTGATAATTTTAAAAAGTTTAAACTTGCTTGCTCCATATATAAGATCTTGCATGGACTTGCTCCACCACCTCTCGGTGAATTCATCATGTTCAGGTCCAGCACCAGTTGGAGAACAACCAGAGCCTCCATTAGAGGTGACTGTGCAGTACCACACAGACAAACAACCTTCAGTAAGCAGGTGTTATCAGTCAGAGGTACGGAGGTCTGGAATGAGATTCCATCTCCAATAAGAGGCTGTGCCACCTTTAAGACTTTTAAAGTTAATCTAAAGAAGTGGCTGAAAAGCAAGCAGATCTGTCAGCACTAATCTTTAAATCAAATCAAGGTTTAAGCTTTCTTGGTGTGTGTTTTTTTTATTTTTTATTTTTATTGTCATTGGTGCATTGATATGTGTCAGTTTAATTTTCTCTTTGTTTCGTTATTAATGTTATTTCTTTTGACCTGCCAGGGACTACAGATGAAAAGTAGCCTTTGGCTAATTCTGGCATATTTACATTTATATGTTCATTAATATGCACTGTCCCTTCTAAATAAAAGAAAAGAAAAAAGAAATGAAGTTAGGTGCTGTTCTGAGCATTATTTGTGGCTATAGAGTGGTGTTTTGGTTGAGGTTTGTTTATGGCTCCTCAGATCGCTGTGTATCCTGCGGTTATTACTAAAGTTAGTATAACTGGAGAAGCAAGCAGTCAGCAACATTCATCTCTGGAGGGGGTGTCTAATTCGGTGTTACGGTGCGTTTAACCCTAACTTCATTTTAGCCGGAATATCCCTTTAACTACAAATCTGAGGATCACATCAGCACCTCAGCTCAGTCTGCAGGACACACCCCTGTGCATCCTAAAGACTCTGAATACTGAAAAGTACCTGCATGAGCCAAACTCATTAAACCACATATACTTAAACATACAAATACAAAGAAACAGCAGACGTGTCCAGATCACCAAAGTCTGGTTCCTTTTTGGTTTGTCATATTTCCAGTCTTGAAGACTTGGTTCGACACAATCATCTGAAGGTTCAGTCATTTCTCACTGTCAGCCTCCTCTCACATCAGTCTTCAGTTCATCAGCTCAGCTGCTCTGGAGATAGTGAGGACTATATATTGTATGACCTTTAATACCCAAAGACCACTGAACCGTAGACTTCCATCCATGTGTGAGAGCTTTCAGAAACTTCTCTGCCAGGAAAAGAAAATTAGATCTTCGGGGAGAGATATTATCCATAAAACGTCTCTATTTTTCAAACTCATAATGTTTCGGTTAATTTCTGAATCTCTGGTCTGGATTCACGTTAATTTCTAATCCTGTTTAATCCATCAGTATCCTGTCCAGACTGGCGTCCTCTCAGGAGACCTCGCCATCGTCTCACAGAGGAATCACTTCACCCGTATGTAATGAGGAGTCAGTGATATCAGGGGTCCTGCCTGATATCCATAAATAAAAGACACACACTGTACCAAAGGAAGATGCGCTCATGTCCAAGCTGGGTTTAGTTAACGTCCAGACAATCCATACCTTTAAATACAGCTCAGTAAGTAAGAAGAACTTTAAACCCCAAAGGGAAATTCAATATGGGAGTGACTTTGTTTTAAAAATACAAAACCAGTTTATCTTCAACTGCAAATTCTTATTTCTGTAATTACCAACTTTAATGTCTCTGAAAAATACTAAATTTTACTGCACAAATTTTATTTGCATTAGCCTTTTTTTTCACATTCACACCCCTGTAAATTCTTAAAAATGTCAGGGCAGCTTGTCTCCGAAATATCGGTCGAAGCACACCTGACATTTTTTACCTTTACACCAAAAATACATATAACCTGTCTAGCCCCGCCCCCTGGCACATCATGAATTTTCCTGACTTTTACCTGTGGGCCCTCACAGTGGCTCACCTTGACTTTCTGCAGGAATTTCACCCAGAGACTGGTAGGATAAAGTCCAGACAAAGTTGGGAAGTAAAATTTCAGTTATTTGTGTTCACACATGCTGCTCACCGATGTGTGAACACAGCTCTAAAGTTAATTTGGAAAACTGTGAACAATAACCTGAAAATAAATACGAACATCAGGTCATATTTTTGCAGGATTTTTACTTTTAACTATTCAGATGTTGTTGTATTAAATCCATAGACTGTATATAGAATGGACAGAGTCTGCCTCCTCGCTGGGTGAAGCTACTCCGGGAACAGCACCCTCTGTTGATGGGCTGCAGTATAGGTCATAAATCCCGCCTCCGCCAGCAAAGCTTATGGAGCTGTGGACAAACTTTAGAAATTTATTACGCAGGACATAAATTTTTCTCCCCCCTGCTTGTGATGTTGACATGTAGTTACTGTCAGACTGGTTTGTGCTCAAGTCCTCTTTTTTCTGTGAAGCTCCGTTTTTAAAAGTTATTAGGGGGTTCATGTTGGCTATGATTGACACCTGATACAGCCTATGGGCGTTCAGGGATTGCGTAGCTCTCCCGGGGGACACGCTGTTTGAGCCAAGTATCATCACAGCGACTCTCTGCGACTGCGCGGCCGAATGCGCGCATTGCTACTGCGCAGCGCTGGTTTCAGGAAATGAAGAAAAATCCCGGAAAGGCAGAGAGCTTTTTGGCTTCAAATCCGTATACAGGCGGTAGGCGGAACCAAGTTGTCCATAGTATATACAGTCTATGATTAAATCCAAGCAGAGATATTTGCTGCATTGACGTGATCACTCTGTGTCATATCTGCCTGAGGTGATACTTGTGTGTCTGGTTCAAGTTTTTTTCCTTTTTCATCCAAAATGAAAATATCGTAACTGATCTGAGTCACAGACACCTGTTTTCACACACTTCTTTAATGCAACAATAAACAGAGAAACTGGACAGAAAATTCAGCAAATAATGAAATGTTCAACACTTATTGACTGATACAAGAGTTAAAGATAAACCCCATGATGAGGCGGAGGGTCCCAGGACTGACAATGAAAAGTGAAAAAGGTCAAACTGAAGCTAAAAAAAAATGACAATTTGATTTAATTTGAATGAAAACAGAGAGAATTTAGTTAAAAAATAAATCTGAAATTGTGGAGCAGATACATGAAATCTCAGACTCATTTTTGTGATCGAAGATGAAGTTGCCAGACCCGTTCTGGAAACCACTAATTTTACTGGAACGACTCGACACCTCAAAAACCACAGATTTTATCTTTAAACTGACATCACTTTCCATCACTTCTTCGTTTTATTGTTAGATCTGACCTTTGCTACAAAACTTGGCGTGTTCCTTGTGTTTCGAACATTCCCGCAAAGTTTCTTCACATTCAGAAAAAGTAAGGCTGAGTGGCTCCAACGACAACGACTCTGATGGTAAAAGAAGAAAAGTACATTCAATTTTTTTAATATGCTGAAAACAGCAGTCATCACTTACTCGGTGACAGAAACTTTCATATAAAATAAGTTATAAAACACACCGAAGATGAACAGCCTCATTGGCTTCCATTATATTTAAATAAAGCACATTGTCCGATTCTCATCAAGGCATGCTTATCAACAGATTTACTATCTGATAGATTCATGTACACTTAAATAAAACACGTTTACATTCTTCTCAAACTTTCTCTAAATCCTCTAACCTGGGATTTCCACCACATCAGGAACGGCTCCGATCTGGAACGACAGGGATTTTTGCCATCCGCCAATTCCTACCGGATCAGTTTGTGAGGTGAATTTTGTGGCTAATTACCGACAGCAGGAATCGTGAGAACTCACAAAAACCCACGGATTCACGTGCAATCACGCGATAACGAGTTATCTCTACAAAGACAGCCACATAGACATATAAGCAGTAGATTGTGTCCTTCCAGAGGAGGAAATTCATTTCTAGACTTCTAAAATCAGCATCTCCTCATCCATGGTGTCATCGGGGTGAAATGCTGTCTAAAAACCTTTCACTTGTTCGTCTCCACCCATTTGCATGGTGTGAAATACGATCCTCCTGAAACACAATGTGTTTTATTTTGAAAAGAAGCTGGATGTTTTATTTTGTTTCTGTGTCCGACTTCCTTTCCAGCACAGGTTAATCTGTGCTGAATTTATCTGGCATGCTCCGGCATCTGGAAAAAATAGAACTCTTGTGATCAGCTGTGGAACGGAAAGAAGTCATTTGAAATTGACACGTTAACTTGAATGGGTACAATTAGCTGCGATTGGCAGATACAGACTTTTCATAGCTGTTCAGGATGCGGTGGAAATTGGGGGTACGTCCTGATCCATTGACAGACATATTAAACTGGCGTCCGTTTTTGCCCGCTGTTACTCTCAGGGTAGGAAGCTGAAATAAAATGCTCTGGTAATGTTGAATGAAAGACTATTGTTTGATTTCACTATATGGACAACAAACAGTAAAAATCTAGACGGCAACAGGATCAAACTTTAAGGTCAAACGACTGATAAGGGAACTAATCTGGTTCTGAAAACAGCTGACATTGACATCAAGCTAATTCTCTTCAATAGAGAGTAAAAAACAAGGGTACAGCCTCAGTGATTTGCCGAGATTTGAAATCTCCAATAAACCACCAATCATTTGTACCAGCTGTTCTTGTTCTCTCCTTTTTTCTCAGAGTTGTTCTCATGTCCTGGACTTGAAGCTACATCATTCTTTCCCCTCAGCCGTAAACACCATGATTTCCTCGGGCCGGAGGGTTATGGAAGTGAATTTGAAGAAGTGTCTGACTAGGCCTCAGATGGCTGTAGGTGAACTTTATTCAAGCCTCTTGTAGAAAAAAGAGATTGTTCATCGTTAGGTGATGGCTGGTATCGTTTTCACTGGCCTCGCTTGGCCGATCTCGAATCTGGGCGAGGGGACACACACTGACCCCATCCTGTTGAGCGAGGTTGCTTTTGTGATGCCTTCGCTTCCCACGGTGGACAGAGGGAAGCTCTCGTAGCTCTCCGCCGCCCTGTTTCCACACTGGCAGCGCTGCAGGGTCATCTTCAGCTCCCTCTGGAAGTTGCTGTTGAGGAATCCATACACCACGGGGTTGATGCAGGTGGAGGCCATGGCTGTGAGGTGGCAGGCGGAGAAGATGGCATCGTGCTGGCAGTCTGGCAGGATCTGGTGGTGCCAGTCAAACAGCGTGTTGAAGACGTTGAGCGGCAGCCAGCACAGAGCGAAGGCCACGACGATGGCGAGCAGCATGACGTTAATCCTGTGGGCTCCTCGAGTCCTGCGGCTGCGCTCCACCATGTCCCTGCAACCAACAGCAAAGAGCTAAGAGCAGGGCACTTTTTATCAGACTGAAAAATCCCTCTGAACACAAGGCACAATGCTGATACACAAACAGGGACAAGACAATGTCCAAGAACCAAGAATTTAAGAAGAATTGTTTTATTTTCATTTAAGGTTAATCTAAAAATGTAGTGCTGTATGAGAGTTTAACGGCTCCGCATACAGAGTTACGTAAACTTTTGAATAATGATGAAAATGAGTGAGCTTTAAAACCGAACATCGGGCCCCGTCTTTGTCGAGTTGAAGAGGCTGAAAACTAAAGAAAATCTAAAGATGGACTTTGTTGTTCCTGGAGGACGAAGATTCAGGCTGCAGAAAAATTTAAAACCTGTTACGATCTCGGTAAGGATGCCTCAAGCGTATCCAACAACAGTTTGTATCATATTTTGTTGTTTTTTTGTCTTTAACACCAGTAATAAGAAGGAGGTGTGACTTCACATCACACCAAGACTGCAGATGTTCATCTGTGGGTGCAACAGAAAAAAAAAAAGGTGTCATCTGCATAGAGAGAAACAGAGCTGTGATTTCTAAAATACCGCTCAAAGGCTGGGTAAAACCAAACCGCATGAAATATTGAAAAGGTATGGTTAAAGGTAGCAGAGATGTTTGGAGGCGGTTTGGATCTGATGCAAGAAAAACTTCAGTTTTTAAAACACAAGACTGCAGAGGGCGGACATGACAGCCAAAGACAGACTGCAGATTTTAGATGAAGATAAAAAACTGTCATCTGCATAAATAGTCACAGAGGCTTTAAATCAGGCTAATTTAACTAGCACCCAAATCAAAAAGAAAGATTGTATTAAAACAGAACCATAAAGCTTATCTTTGAAGCCTTTGAGGAAATTAAAATATCAAGAAAATCTAAATATGGACCTTTCTGTCTCAGGGGACGATGATCTAAAAGTAGCAGAGATGTTTTTAACCACTCAAAAATGAACAACTGTGTCATCTGCGTAAAAAGCATTTCAAGCAACAACTGAACCTTTTTATTTGATATTTTAAAAGCTGGATATCAACAAAGTTAAGATATGGACCTGCGTCGTTTCAGTCGAAGGAAGATCCTGAGGTAGCAGAGCAGCACCAGCAGGAGAGGGAGGCAGTACTGGAAGAGCAGCAGTGACGTTGTGTAGGCCAGACGGTGTTTATCTGACGGCCACAGCTCCATACAGATTAGGTGATCCCTGAGAGACACAGACATGCAGGTGTGTTGTTGAATGTCACTTGAATTGTGTCAAAAAAACTCCTCACCGATCCTTTAAAACCATGGTGTTTTAAGTCTGTTTGAGTCAGCAGCACTTTGGCTTACCCCCAAATTCCACGGCTACCAAAAGGCCGTACCCGCCAATCATAGCTGATCGTAACCATACAAGTTAACATGTCAATTTCCACCGGCTGATTTCTGTTCCTCTGCAGATCGCTGGACTCCGCAGCTGATCGCAAGAGTCCTATTTTTCCCGGATTCAGCACAGATTAACTTGTGCTGGAAAGGAAGTCAGGCACAGACACAAAATAAAACATCCGGCTTCTTTTCAAGATAAAACACTCCGTGTTTCTGGAGGATCGTATTTCACACCATGCAAATGGACAGAGACGAACAAGTGAAAGGTTTTTAGACGTCATTTCACCCCGATGACACCATGGATGAGGAGATGCTAATTCTAGAAGTCTAGAAGTGGATTTCCTCCTCTGGAAGGACACAATCTACTGCTAATATGGTTATGTGTTTGTCTTTATAGAGACAACTCATTATTGTACGATTGCACATGAATCTGCAGGTTCTTGTGGGTTCTTGGGATTCCTGCTGTCTCTAATCCGCCACGAAATCGCCTCACAAATGGATCTGGTAGGAATTGGCGGACAGCGATAATAGCCGCCATTCAGGATCTGGATGCCGTGAAAATTGGGGGTTAGATGTGTTTTTTAAAGGTCTAGATCAGGTCAGATTGTGGTGAGTTTTCAGACCACGAGGACCTTTGTTTTATCCCATGTTTGCACACAGCCACTAAACTGAAGCTCCAACAAGGGCCTGAGCTGGTGCAAACAGCATTCTTTGCCAGAATTGCATTACATGTTAAGCGTGTACACTCGGCCTCAGCTGTGCCTGAGCTCTGAGCAAACAAATCAGTTAGAAGCTGAAAATAATCAGCAGACAGAAGCTAATACAGGAAAACACAGGGGTCAAATAATGAGGACTGACACTGAGCTGCTGCCTGGAGAAACAGATGAAACCAAAGCAGAAACTCTTCCAGCTCACCCTCTGTTATTTATGAGCGCCCCCTACAGGCCCTGAGGATGTAATACAGGGCCCCTTCGATCCCAGATGTCTTGGCTCACCTGAAAGGGTTTGTAGGCAGACTGATGTTCTGAAAGGGGTCATTGGTGAGAATGTTGAAGGAGAGGAAGGGTAGAGAAATGAAGCAGGCGACCAACCACGTCAACCCCACCGCCAGGTAGGAGTGTCCGGCAGCGGGAGACCAACCAGTGGGGTGGAGGATCAACTGGTGACGCTCCAGAGCGATCAGCACCAATGAGAAGACGGAGACCGTCACTGACATGCACTGAACGAAGGGAGTCACCTGGAGACAGGTGAGGAAGAAGGGTTAGATGTTTAAAGGGATACTCTGTATGTTTTAGGTGAAGGTGTATCACATGATAGTTCAGTACCTACAGTTCATGACAATCAGCATGGTTCCTGTTCAGCGCCATTGCTAAAGCTAAGCTGGCATTGGACTGGGTTTGGAGCAAAACTTGTACTTAGCCAATCAGTGGGCCTTGCACCGAGGACTTTGGCCTCTTCATTCAACCGTACAGCTAACGAGACGCCCTGGAACTGTGGTATCCAAACAGACACAGCCCTATATTCCCCTTGATGTAGCGCAAATATCAGAACAGCTGTCCGGGCTTTTCTGGCATCAAGGTTAACTGGTCCAAAAATGGTATACTTTTATTTTGAAAGAAGTTGTTCAGGTGAGACTCATTCTCTCTGATCTCTGTCCACATTATACTTGAAACAGCCAAGATATCCTGGTAATACTTGTGACTGTGAGAGAATTTATTTCAGAATTTTTCTGATCCGCACGTGCTAGGGCTGCACAATATATCGTTTGAGCATCGCGATGTACGTGTGCACGATAGTCACATTGCAGAGCCTGCAATGTCGGAGGTGAATAAACTCATCTAATTTCAAGGGTAGCTGACTGAGATACACTGCATGTGACTCTTCATGTGCTATGAAGCAATCCACCAATCACATTCATTCTTTCCTCACTTGCCAATCAGACAACCCTGCCAGTCGTCAATCAAAATCAGAGAGGAGGAAACCACACCCCTGGAGTTGGAGCTGGCGCTGCTGCCAGCTCCAACTCCGCAAACCCACCGAGAATTACTTTCGGAACATTACTCATCACTCTTTAGCCCCACAATTAAGAACTGTATGGGTTTAAAATTGTAGATTTTCCGTGGACCACTCGACTATAAGCGGTGCGTGTTTCGCAATTTTCGGAGGACATGCATTTCTTGGTACAACACCAGTAACAGCAACAACGATTGAAAAATGAGCAACGAACAAGAGAAGACCACAGAAAATGGAGATTTGTTGCCAAAAAGAAAAGTAGCGTCAGTTATCAGGAATTATTTCGGTTACAAGAAGGATGATGTTGACCAAAACGTGTTCTGTGTTCATCTGTTTCCACAATAACGTCCCAGCACAATAAAAACTAAAAATATCTCTAAGACAGACAGAAGCCATTCTACTAACATTCACTGAAGAGGTAAGATCAGTGCAGGTTAACTGTCCTCAAGATTTCAGCATAAAGTGATATTCAGGTCATCTGGTGAAAAAAAAACATATGTTTTTTCCAATATTGTGCAGTCTTAGCATGTGCTAGGCTAAATTTGGTGGTTTGGCTGTTCAGATTCGGGGGGAATCGGCAAAGACCTCAAGAGTTCAGAACAGAGCAGGCACCAGAGAAAATCCATATGACACTGGTAAACGTCAAGTGCGTGAAGACTTGTTGTTCTATCCAGATGGAGACTTTGTCCTGATATGTAACCCACCGTCGAGGACTGTTTTGTTTTTTCCATGGAGACTGATCACTGGTCCCAACAGACAGAAACACTGTGGTGATTAGAAAACAGCCTGCTGAGATGCCTGGAGAGGTTGTTATTAAAATGCTCTTATAAGTGCACAACTTCGTGTTCCCCCTGGTGGCTGAATATGGTATTACAGTGGTGTGTTTGTTTGTGCCTCCCTACCTTGCACAGGGCCTCTCCCAGCACCCAGCGGTCCATCAGGGTGTAGATGACAGTCACCGGCAGACAGACCACACACATCAGGATGTCTGAGCACGACAGGTTGGCAATCAGGATGTTGGTGACATTGCGCAGCTCCTGTTGCCGGGCGATGATATACACTAGGCCTGCATTGCCTAGCAACCCAATCGCGATGACGGCGCTGTATGCTATAATCAGGCAGGTAGCTCCACCTACAGAGGGCGGGCACTGGGAGGTGTTTGCCCAATCAGAGGTCTCCCACACACTAAGGAAGCTGCTGTCGTTGGACATGGCAGGGAGGAGGAGAGGGGAGGAAGGGAGGTGAGGAGAGGGGGGTGAGGTGAGGGGAGGGGAGGGGAGGGGTCACAGCCCTGAGGCTGTTTCTGAACTTTGAACTCCAAAAGAAAGTTTAAATCCAGACGTGAGCAGAGATGACAGGATGATTCAGGCAGGTGCAGCTGCTGCTCGGCGATCAGTGTCGTGATGACTTCTTCAAAAGAGTCACAGAGAAATGTTCAAGTATAGACGGTGTCCTCTTTTTCCTTCACTGTCGTCATCCTGAAGGATCCATGCAGCATCAGCGTTTGCCTGGGAGGGACAGAAAATAAAACAAGACACAGATGGTTAGAGGTGAAGAAGACAAAGGGCAGAGCAACAAACGTGGGGATCGAGTGTTGAAGGACAAACGGTGACAAAATGAAGAGAATCTGAGAGCTTTTCTTTTCTCATGCAAACACATCACCTCCTTCTCCTCCACTGTGCTCTACCACCCACAGTTTCTGATTAACATAAACCATCAATGCATGTCTCATTATGTGCTGAAATGATTGGAGACCTCATTCTGGCACATCATGCTTGTTCAAACTGATGGGATACGCTGCTAATGAGGATGACAGTAGCACGGAGATGATCATGGTGATAATAGCTGTAAATGCTAATAGTTTAATAATGATTTTCATCAGGAAGCTGTTCAGTTTAGTCAATAAGCTGCTTTTGTACAGGTGTGTCAGGTTTGTGTGGGGATTTCCTCAGGTTTTTACAAGACTTGTAGTGACAGAAACAGTCACAGTTTTTAGCTTGCATATCACCCCTGCTGAGACTGGAACTGAAAAACATTAGAAGGAGACCTTCCAAAGCAATTAACTTTTGAGCCTATGAACCTTCACAACACCTGATGCAGCGGAGACCTTCGTGAGTGGAAACAAAAACACCACATTCAACTGTTTTCACCGAGTTTATGCGGGCACCTATAGAGCGTTGAAGCTGAAGTGTCGGCAGCCTGAGGAGCTGCTGGACTCCAACCATCTCTGACCGGGAAAGTCGAGCGTCAAAGACGACTCTGGAATCATAACCAGATCTTTGGTTTAGTGTTGGGCGGTATGAACAAAATCTTATATAACGGTATGAGTAATTATATATCACGGTAACGGTATATATCAGGGTATGTTTTTTTCCCCCTGTAAATTCAATTAATGTCTTAAAAATAACCATACTGTCGCATTTGTTCTTTTTATTTTTATTTTTAAACTCTGATTTTTAAACAAATGCAAACAAAATGTCAGACCAGTCTTGTGATTTTTTATCATATGGCATAACTTTAGCGAAAGACTCTATGAAGCTCTGTTGTATGAGAGGAGCTGCTGCAGTTTTAGTTTTTGGTGCAGCAGGTGCGTCACGCATCTTTTGTCTCTCATAATAGAGCTTGGCGTGTTTCATCTTTAGGTGGTGGAAGAGGTTGATGGTGTTTCCACATGACGCTCTTTGCATGGTATAATTTTTTGATCATTGTTGGATTTTCTAAATCCAAATAATCTCCAGACAACCGATGTCACAACTTGCACCCTTTTTCGGAAAAAGTTCCTCCTCTTCTTCCTCGTGTTGGGTGGGTCGGGCTGCCTCCGTTTGCTCAGTACTGCCGCTAATCTCCGCGTCCACCATGACCACCACCAGTGAAGCTGTTTCTTCTTCATCTAAACTATGCCAAGCAGTCTGCTGGACATGCTGGTGATTATAGGGAGCACACCCAAACCTGACCAATCAAACAGAGCGAACAAACTCTGCATGATACGCTGGTGAATATATGGAAACGCAGCCAAACGGATGCGCTCATACATCTGCGCTCTCTCTCCCGTATAAACGGTAAAGCAAAATTTCTACCGGTAGACACTTTTATACCATCACATGCTGTATACCGTCATACCACCACACACTAGTTTGGTTCAGTTTTTTGAGGGTCTATGGTTGTTAAAGATGTAACATTAGTATAGTCCAGTCACAGAACATGATACGGGGTTTCTACCAAGTAGTGTGGTTTGGTTTAGTCCAGCACGGTGAGGTTAGGATCTCAGCAGACTGTACCCTACCCTGGATCTTCACAGAGAAAGCCTGTGAGTGGCATGTTCACATGACCACCAAGTGGGGGGTCAAGACTGCTTTGACTTGATTGTCCAGTCTCTGTAACAGACTTTTATTGGGTTGGAAAGACATTGAGGCTAAACCACAGACTGCATAAAGAACAGAATGGACGCAGTCTGCCTCCTCGTTGGGCGAAGCCACTCTGAGAAGAGCACCCTCTGGTGTTGGGCTGCAGGATAGGTCATAAACCCAATGGAATTGGTTCGATTTTGACATTTATGGGGACAATTGTCCTCCTGAAAGTTTGTTTTTTTGCATTTGCAATCATAATTTTGTGTCATGTACAGCTGATCAAACAAGCAAACAATCACAGTCAGAAAATTGTCATGTTTATGATTTATATCTGAATATCTAAAGAGAATATGTGTAAATCATAATTTAATGCATTCCACAACTGACTCCTAAAGAAGTCTGTTATATCCCATTTTCTTTTCTTTGACATCCTTCATATCCTATACCACACATGCACGCAAACCGACACAAACACAAATGTAAATGTAAATGACACCCCTGATATTAAAATCCATTTAAGCTGATGTTGCCCAGGCACAATATGCCAAACATGTTGACAACTTACACTTCTCAGTTGCAGATAACATGCCCTGTCTGCTTACTGTCCGGTTACTGTACGTAAGCGAGAAACCAGCAGCCAAACAAAGAGCAATATTTAGGTTAGAGGCGGGACTTCTAGCAGAGATCGACTGTTAACCCTTTGTGTGCCATAATCATCGATTAAACACTGCAGACAGTGGTTGTACTGATAGAGACTACACTGTAGCAGCTGATTATTGGTAGGGACGTACCCCTTGTGTCCCTACCCAAGTCTACACCCTTGAATGCATACAACGCTACTGCACAAGCGATGGCTCCAGGAAGTGGAGAAAATCCTGGAAATACCAGGATGGCAAGGTGTACATAGTATATACAGTCGATGTGTTTAGCCCACACCTGTGCAGGTTGTCTCCAGGAGTCATTTCTATTTCTAGTATTTTAATTTATAGAGTAAAATGTGATTTTAAAGGTGACTCTGCAGAGAGGTAACATTTTTATTGGCTGATCTCCAAAGTCACCTGCCAAACTACAAACAGGGTCACTTCATGTTTTTCTGAACATGAAGTTCCCAGATGGATGAGTGTATAAATTGTGATAACAGTAAATAAATACATGATTCGGTTTGAAAACAATTAATCTATCTGCCAAAACCCACATGAGGGACACACACCATCCTGTGATCATAGAGAGGTCACGCCTCCCTGAAGTGGATTAATAAACGTGTGCATGTTAATAATAACACGGGCGTCGTGTCTGAGTCTCTGATCAGAGAGTCCTCCTCCCTCAAGCCGTTTAAGATGCAGCTTATTAACAGTCATCCTCTCCTCCTCTCACAATACACAGCCGCTGATTACAACATTCATCACACTCTCACTCACATTAGCATACGCTGAACACACACACACACACACACACACACACACAGGGGTATAATCAGTTGACAGCCTCCCTCCTCTTCTCTGGAGATCTCTGCCTGTCTCTGTCGCTCTGAGTTTCTCTCCTCTGACAGCGTCTGTGGGACCTGAGGGATGGAGCTGACACACCAACAGGTGTTACCACACACACACACACACACACACACACACAAACCGCCAGCTTATGATGACGCCAATCAAAATCCTGCCCGAACATGCAAACACAATCAGTCCTTATGAAAATATCTGCTCATCAAAAAAACTCAAAACAGCAACCGAATGTGTGTTAAGAGCTTCACTCTCATTTTGTGGATCTAAATGAAGACCGGTCCACGTGCAAAAACCAGGTTCAGTAGATAAACTGGCACCCAATCATCAATAACACCAGAGAAAAAGCTTAATTATGCATTTTGATCAGAAGAAGAAAAAGGAGAATCAGAAGGGGTTTTATTGCCATTGTCAATGAACAGGATCCACAGACTAGGAATTTTTTACGGCGTGATGGTGCAACATTAAACGGAGAATAATATATAAAATACTAGAATAGAAAATGATAAGAGCATGCAGGACATATATAAAGTATAAAAGTATAAAAGGCTATGTTCAATGCTATGTACAGTAAGTACATAGCATTGTGTAGTTGTACAGGCTATGTACAACTACACAATACAGAACAACAGTGCAGTGGGAGGAGTGCAATTAAAAAACAAAGGTACATTAAACTGAAGTGACCAGTGATAAAGTGACGGAGTTAAAGTGACTGAGTTATAAGGGGTTCATGAGTCCAACGGCAGAGGGGAAGAAACTGTTCTTATGGCGGGAGGTTCTGGTCCGAATGGACAGTAGCCTTCCTGCCTGAGGGGAGTGTCTCAAATAGTCCATGTGCAGGGTGAGAAGGGTCAGCTGTGATCCGACCTGCTCGGCCCCGAGTCCTGGAGACGTACAAGTCATGGAGAGATGGAAGGCTACTGCTGATCACCTTCTCAGCAGAGCCCACAATGCACTGCAATCTGTATCTGTCCCTAGCAATGGCCCCAGCGTACCACACCGTGATGGAGGAGCAAAGAATGGACTCGATGATGGCCGTGTAGAACTGATGACTCTACACAAAGCTAATGGATGAGATCGACACCAAAAGTTTTCCTCACAGCATAACCTCAAAACCCTCTAATATTCATCACTCTGTTCGCCCGAGTCTCCATTTAGAGAGGTGACCCAGTTTCTCTCAGTTAACAAGTTCAGAACCAGCAAACTAAAAACCCGACTGCAGCAGGATCTGCTGGTGAAGTCATGAAGCAGATAGTGATTTAAGCACATTTTCAGCCTCATTAATCTTCACGGTGCGAGATTGGCCTTCACCCAGGGAATATAGAGGGTGTAGAAATGATAATAATGAAACAGTTTGAACATAAATTCAATATTAGTACGTTGATTTTGGTCTACGACAGACAGGAAGTCGTCTGTTTTAGTCTTAATTATGATATTTTTATATCATTCTGAATGATTCAATTAATGGTTCTGAATGACTCTATTTCATTTCTTCAAAGAGGTAGGATTAAAAAAATGCATGGTTATGCATAGTTATGTACAGCACTTTGTTCAGCTGTGGTTGTTTTAAAGTGCTTAACAAATTAAGTTGAGTTGAGTTGAGTTTAAACCAGGGCGCTAACCAGAGTTCTTTTGCGGTCCACGTTCAGTTGAGTGATGTTCTTGCTAGCGGATGCACACAGAACGCTGAGCAAAGTACTACATGCCCTGAAAACAAACTGGTTCGAGCAATCTGAACCAATACAAAAGAATCGAAATCCAAATATCTGCTTGATGGTTCCGGAACTGGACATTAGGAACCGGTTTCTAATTACCAACCCTTACCAACCCTAATTATGCGTGTCCAAAGACAGTCATAGTGGGCGGAGCCGGGCCCAGGGTCAACAGAGCTCACCGTAGAGAAATCCACTGACTGTTTATAATCGTTCCTGATGCGGTGGAAATTGGGGGTTTGACTACGTTGTGTGGTAGCGGTGCACGAGTGACCATGACCAAACCATTGACATGCTATAGTCCTGTTCCTGTCCTCCATGATATGTTAATAAAGAGGAATAAAAATGACATCCTATCAACGTGTTGAGTTGATCCGACACGGACCTGCTCTTCATTATGAGGTTCATCTTTTTTACAGACCTTGTTGTGTTTTCGAGAAATCTGTGCAAAATTTGCATGAAGTTGAGGTTTTTCTCTGCAAGGTTTGTGTAGGCGAAGAGCTTTTAATGCTCTGAATGTCACCACAAGAGTAAAATAGGGGCGCTGTAATGATGTTTTCTGGTTAGTGTGTCTGCAGAGGTATAAATAAACTCAGTGTGCAGCGAGTGTGGGACTGGGACCTGCTGATAGGAGTACCATTTAATCCGGTCTTGATTCAAGTATAGATCAGGGTTTATGTGCAGACACAGAGGTTGTACACAGACGGCTCAGGTTTTGGTTTGTTTCCAGTTTATCTGTCTTCGACTTTGTGAATCGTCTTTCTTCACCGCAGTGCCAGACAGAGACTGTTGAAATAAGCGGTCAAACATTGTGGGTGAAACAATCCTCCAGGTTTGATGTCTCTCAGGAATTCGAGTGTCTCCTCAGCTCGAGGGGGAATAATTCAGACTGTGAACACACAGCCAAGAGGGGTGAGAGAGGGGGCTTCAGCTATGAAAAGAAAGAGAGGACAAATGCAAGGACGAGACAGCCCAAAGAACAGGAAATCACAGTGGTGCAGATGGCACTTTCACACTTCTTCCCCTGATTTCATCTGACAGTCACTTTCTGTCAGACTGTCGCTGTTATCTTCCTGAAACAAAGAATGAGCGCAGAGCTGCAGCTTTTCATGAATCATTTCAACAGATACTGAAATTCACTATCCGGGTCTTATCCTTTATGTATTTTGGGTACATAAGAGAACACAGGAAGGAAAAACCGAGGCGGGGAGAGCAGCAGGAAAGAACCTAATCCACATAAGAGCCCAGGCGTGAAAAGAAGGAGTTAGGGTGGAGATAGGTGGGGAGAGCAGCAGCAAAGATGTCTGGGTACAGAGCAGACATCAGTTACAATACAATTAGGGTGACCATATGTCATCTTTTATCCGAACATGTCCTCTTTTTTGGGGGCTGTCCGGCCCTGTCTGGGGGAGTTTATAAAATCCTTCAAATGTCCGGGGTTATGTCTGGAAGTTTTAAGTTTGTGTTGCGTGGACTAACTGAGTTAGAAACACGTAAAAAACCCTCGATCCGAAAAACTGAAAACTCTCAAAATTAACCACACCTGTGAAGTTGTGTCCTCTTTTTGGGGATTTAGTATATGGTCCTGATGCTCTCCCCACCTATCTCCACCCCAGATCTTCCCTTCTTATGTGGTCTGCTTTTACCTGTGTCATTTGTGTTTAGGGTGACATACACTGAGTAAAACTAAAAGAAACACTCGATCCGACCCGAAAAACTCTCAAAATTAACCACACACAACTCCATGACTCTGTCCCCGTGAAGTCGTGTCCTCTTTTTGGGGATTCAGAATATGGTTTCCCTAAACACAAAAGACGCTGGTAAAAGCAGGCTGCATAGGAAGGTGGATATGGAGTGGAGATAGGCAGAGAGAGCAGCAGCAAAGTCCTCCAAGATATAAGAAGAGCAGACATCAGTAAGGATAACATGATCCTGGTAAGAACAGGAACATTACAAGCAGGAGGAGTGCTGATGAAGGTGGGGTGTAAGAAACAAAAGACAGGTCAAGGCAGGGAGACCAGCAGCAAAGAACCTAATCCACATGAGAGCCCAGGCATGAAAAGAAGGAGATGGGGTGGAGATAAGTGGGGAAAGCGGCAGCAAAGACTGCCAAGATATAAGAAGAGCAGGCATCAAGAAGGATACGTAAGGCATGAAAAGAAGGAGTTGGGTATGAGCAGCAGCAAAGAACCTTATCTACAAAACAGCCCAGGCATCAGAAGTGATTTGTATGGCACCGGTAAAAATGAGAGCAGAGCAAGGCAGAAAGAGCAGCAGCAAAGATGTCTGGGTACAGAATAGAGCAGACATCAATTACAATACATATGACACTAGTAAAAGCAGACCGCATAGGAAGGGGGATCTGGGGTTGAGATAGGCGGGGAGAGCAGCAGCAAAGAACTCTAAGATATAAGAAGAGCAGGCATCAAGAAGGATAAAATGATCCTGGTAAGAACAGAAACATGACAAACAGGAGGAGCTCTGATGAAGGTTGCAAAGCACATAAGACAGGTCAAGGCAGGGAGACCACCAGCAAAGACCTCCTGGGTCTTTACCCGCTGGGTGCAGAGCAGTTTTCAGAGGACGCAGGTAGAGTTGGCCGTTTAAAGAAAATCCTTGTTTTTAGACACTTGGAGGTGACCAGCTGAGCTGTCAGCAGATATGTGTTTTGATGATCAGCTGGACTTGGTGTCCTGCAGGATGAAGGAAGTCCTAAACTTTTTGCACATGAAGACCCTAAAGCACGTGAAAGAAGGAGTGAGATATAAAACCAGTGATTTCAGTGCTGACTTCTTCCATTTACGTAAGTTTGAGACGATTATTATCTAATAGTCTAACATCTCTATCCATTCTTACTGACAGCAATCAGGACACGTTTCCAAAACCGTGGGAGTATAAAAGAGCTTCGACAAACTGTGACACACAAACACACACACACACACACACACACACACACACACACACACACACACACACACACACACACACACACACACACACACACACACACATTATCTACTTTTCTCCATCTTATGCAATCCCACACCACAGAATTGAAGCTGCAGAAGATCAAACAGGATCCTGGTCGACAGCCTCATCCTCTCCCGTTCCAGCGATCCCACCTCCTCTAGTGCTTCTGCTTCAAAGTGTCACAGTCACACTTTTATCTAAATAAGGTCTGCTGGCAGCCTGATCTGCTTTTAAAATCGCTCTCTGATCTTAATCCCTCAAAAAGAGAGAGAGAAGTGGATTTTATCGAGCTCATCTGGGTCTCACATCCAGCTGAAGAGCTGTTTGGCACAATAATTACCAACACTAAAACCTCTCGATCCAATCAGTCCAACACCTTCAGTGTGAGAGCAATCGGTCTGCGGTGTCAGAAATAATAACGCTGATTTATTGCTGCTTTGTGTGGAGGATTGTGAGGTTGCCTGTTGGATCGCTAAAGGCAGCTGCTCGGCGAAAATCTGCGCTCAGTTCTAGCAGCAGCTAAGAGATAAACATAATTAGCATGCAAATGGATCTAAGAGTGAGGAAGAGGACTCTCTCTCTCTCTCTCTCTCTATGTGATCACACCTTTCACAGAGGAGCTTGTCTTCATTTCTGCAAACTTTCATAAATCAGATCACACGTTTTCCCGCGATGAACGAGTCTGACATCCTCGTCCTCTCACAGCGAGGGGGCGAGATGATTAATGATGTTACTAACAAATGCAGCAGCATGTTCCTCCCTCCTCAACCACGTTATCAGCCCTCTCTCTTTCTCTCTCACACACACACACACACACACACACACACACACACACACACACACACACACACACACACACACACACACACACACACACAGAGGTAATCATGTGAGATATTAGCTTTAACCTTTACACCAGGATTGGACACGTTTAAACCTTCAACAGATCAAAGTCAGAGCGGTTCATTATTGCATATTTACAGAGTACCGGGTACCAGGTCAAGAAAGAGGACAATTGAGAGTAGCTGCACACACATTCACCATCTGTGTGTGGTCTTCATAGGACCCAGGTGAGCTGCACGGACCCACTTCACGCCACTGTAGGTGGGTTAGGCAGGAATCCCTTAAAGAAGCATCTGTTTCAGTGGTGTATTTACAAAAAAGGTTTTAATATTAGTTAATAATTATTAGTTATTGATGACATATTGATGATATATTGGTTATATAACTGTATCTCTGTGTTCTCTTATGTCTGTGTAGTCAACATTTTAACATTTTTGAGCTGCCCGCTCTTTCTGACTGTAAACAAAGCCGTTCTCCACCTCCCGGACCTGATTGGTTGTGAGGCAGACGCTTCTACCCCGTGTTGTTCATGAGTCCAAACAAAGTTAGCGTGCTACAATATCAGACAGTAGAAACCAACCAGAAAGTTCGGAAAATTGTCTGAATTCTCCTTTGGCCATGACTGCCAACACAAGCAAGAAAATGAAGTAAATACCAGAGACTCTGGCGGAATAACAGGCGCTTAAAACGGAGGTCGACTGGTCAAGAGCTAAAAAGCCGGGTCAACATAAACGATTTGGGACGCTTCGGGATGTTGTTGACCCTGTAACCTTTCTGCTGGACAGGTAAACCACTTTAACAAAGTAAGCCAAGTGTCTGTAACAGAAGTGTTTCTTGTCAAACGGGACCTGCTGTAGCGTGTTGTAGCGCCATCGCTAAACTGTTGACCTCAGGTCCTGGACTATGTCACTTTATCCTAGTTGTAGAAGTCCTGCAAACATTGTGTTTGCTGGTAGTCTGTTGGCATCTACAGTAGCAACAATGCTTTTTACTTTCATGTTGACTGGGCCCCATTTGTAATTATCTGAAGTATTTATCTGCATTATACCTGAATTTAATTGGAACGATACGAGCGAGCAGGAGCGTCTGTTTGTGGGCGGGGCTTGTTGGAGCAGAGAGGGACGGGATCGAAGGAGAGGAGGGGAAAACTGGTTGGGAGGGGTAGAGTTTACATTCAAGATTTCTCCCAAAAACTGGAACTTCCTCAGATCCTGACTACACCACCTTTCAGGTGAAGCCCGGAAGTACATATCCACACCTCCTTATATGGTGTTGACGGCTCTTCCTGATTCAGATTGCTGACTGTCACTTATGCACAAAAACTCCTCCAATCAAATCCCAAATCTACACACGGATCATATTTCATAAATAAGCGTGAAGATTTCCTGACCTTCCTGAATGCATCATTAATGATGGCTCTGACCTTTGACTCGACAATTAAACATTTTAAAAGTTGTTTCCTGTCCTCTTGAAGACAAAGCCTAACCTTTGACCTTTTAAATATCCGCATTATCATATTTTTAATTTATCCTTCGAACTAAAATCACAAACAAACTAGCTTCTTAAAAACCAGTCACATGCAGAAAACTGTAGCCCAGCCTGCATGCCGGTACTCCAATAGCTTCTCAATGAAGAGCTGATCACATGTAACCCCCAACTTCCACTGCATCCAGAACGTCTACGAAAAGGCCGTATCCGCCGATCTTAGCTGATCATAACCATTCAAGTTAACGTGTCAATTTCCACTGGCTCCTTTTAGTTTCTCTGCGGATCGCTGGACTCCACAGCTGATCACAAGAGTTCTACATTCCATATTTCAACTGTTGTCAAAATGTGGTTTGGGATCATATGAAGGTCTTCCATGGACGCAGATGTTGCTCCTAAACCTGGAGATCTTGTCTAAAACTGAGGATGCAGCATCTATGATTTCAAATTCTTCATTAAAAGGACAGCTAGACTCAGGACTTTCCAAAACAGTGTTACCTCCAATTCCCACCATATCCTGAACGTCTACTAGAAGGTTGTATCCGCCGATTGTAGCTGATTGTAACCATTCAAGTTAATGTGTCAATTTCCACTGACTTCTTTCTGTTCGGCTGCAGATCGCCAGACTCCACAGCTGATCGCAAGAGTTCTATTTTTTCCAGACGCCGCAGCATGCCGGATAAATTCAGCACAGATTAACCCGTGCTGGACAGGAAGTCGGGCACAGACCCAAAATAAAACATCCGGCTTCTTTTCAAAATTAAACACACTGTGTTTCAGGAGGATCGTATTTCACACCAGGCAAAAGGGCGGAGACGAACAAGTGAGAGGATTTTAGACACCATTTCACCTTGATGACACCATGGATGAGGAGATGCTGATTCTAGAACTCTAGAAGTAGATTTCCTTCTCTGGAAGGACACAATCTACTGCTTATATGTCTATGTGTCTGTCTTTATAGAGACAACTTGTTATTGCGCGATTGCATGTGAATCCATGGGTTCTTGTGAGTTCTCGCGATTCCTGCTGTCCGTAATCCACCACGAAATTTGCCTCACAAACAGATCCGGTAGGAATTGGCGGACAGGGAATATCGCTGCAGTTCCGGATGCGGTAAAAATTTGGGGGTAACTCATACACCTCACTTCAAAAACAGTGAACTTTCCCTTTACAGTTCCTACACTCTGTCTCCACTTCATTAGAAACATCCAGAGATAATTAAAGATGGTTTTCCTGCTCCAGGGTTATCAGAGCGGGCAGAAATCAAACCGGTACACACAGGTCCGATAAAAATGAAATCTTCCATATTGTTAATGATGAGCTCTCTGCTTAATGGGCCAAAAACAGAGAGAGTGATAGAGATAGGTAGTCTGCATTTATTCACTTTATGGTACAAATATCCAGCAGAGTGTGAAGATTCAGCCTTGGTGCTCTTGAGCTGTTCTCTGCTCATATAAATAGAGTGAAATGAGTAGATGAGGAAGTGGAGCGAGCCTCCCACACTCTGCTGCTGATTACACAGGAGCGTGACGAGCCTTCAGATATGACAGCCACTGCATCTCTCTGCCAGCGATCAATCTGCAAAATGAAGATACGGGCAGAGAAACAAGTTGTAATTTCATGTGCGGCTAGAGAATCAGAGAGGAGTCTCCAGAGATCCTTGCCGTCAGATCGATATCTTTGAGATTTACCTCTGCAATTCAGACTGAGCACTTACCACCACCCTCATAATGACGGCAATCAGCGCTAAAGCAGGACGTGCTGTTCTCACATCTGATGTTCTTACCAGAGATTAGAAATCAAAGGGTTCAACAGCCCCAGACTCCATCTGCAAGGCTTGACTTAACAGGTAACATTATGGGACTTATGCGACTTAAGCTACTCAGACCAGGCCAGGACTTTTCCTGCGTTGAGCTTCAGGCGTCAGGATAGAGCTGGATGTCTTCAGTGAGAGTTAAACAAATATAACTCTGTAGGTCCAAACTCAAACATAAGAGTCCAAATCCACTCTCCTGTGTCCTGGTCTGTCTGTGGCCCTTTCCAGTGGCCTAACAGGATAATCAGGGAAATATTTCACTGCAAAACTGAAAATCTCAAGAGGGCAAAACTGAAGCAAAGCAACCAGGAGACCCTGATCCACGACTCAATACGACCACTGAGACTGCGGCACAAAACAAGCTTTAGGCCAATTGTCATGAAATATCTAAAAATGATTGATCTGGACGAGTGCTGCTTCAGGACTTTATTCTGGTGACGAGGGTCAGCGGCATAAAGAGGCGGAGAGGGGAAACCCTGAACAGATGGAGCTGAGTCCCAGGCTGGACAACAATTTACACCAAACCTTAAGAGGGTCTCAAGTCCAGGACTGTCGACAAACCCGCCCCCTGACTGTCCAAGACTGATTTTAACTCGTCTGAGTTTGCAGAGATTCTCAGATCACAGATGTGTGCAGGAATTTACCAGTTCAATAAAGTCCAGAGAAGATATCAATAGTGTTTAATAAAAACTCCAGATATAAACCTAAAAGTACTGTAGATTTATGTGGTATGTAGAGTTTAGACACTCGTGCATTTGGTCATGTCCTTCCCTTTTTGGCTTATTTTGGCTTCACTTGTCGCTCCACGTCACAGTAGTTTAGCTTAATTATGCTCTTGACCGTCACTGGAGGATTCTCAGTTATACAACAGTATCAACAGGAACCTTTACTGTTGGCCGTAATTTAAGGTTCATTTTATTTAGATGATATTTTTAGTGTTTATTTAAGACCACCTTCAGAGATCGGTCTTTTTTAGCTTCATTTAAATCCAAAGGGAAATTAGTTTAAGGTGATTTCTGGCATAAAAATGTCTCTGAACTTGTCCTGTTAGTGTCCAAACACCATCTGAGAGCAGCGTTTTAAAGCTGTTTATAAGCACCTGTGAGTCACCTCCAACTATCCCTCAGAGAGCTGCACTGAAGTGATGCCAGATCCTGCTGGGGAAGGTTGTTGGCAGATGATCCTGACTGTCAAATGTTCTGTCACTTTTTATGAAGGTTTTACACTAAAAAGTCAAAATCTAGATTTTTGGTCACAGAAAATATTTCACTACGGTGGCCCTGAGGTGCAAATCATGACAGCAAAACAGAAAACACAACAACAAAAAGAGAAAACACAACAACAAAACAGGAAATATAACGCAATAACGGAAAACACAAAACAACAAAAAAAGAAAACAACAACACACAAAACAAGAAGAGAAAACACACCAACATGAAAATAAAAAGTCAGGAGAGAAAACACAAGGATAAAAAGAAAACACATTGACAAAAGAGAAAACACAACAAAGGAGAAAACACAACAACAAAAAGAGAAAACACAACAACAAAAGAGAAAACGCATTCACCAAAAGAGAAAACGCGACACAAAAAGAGAAAAAAAAAGACAAAAAGAAAAAAAACAATGACAAAAAGAGAAAACACAACAACAAAAAGAGAAAACACAACAAATAGAGAAAAAACAACAACATAAATAAAGAGAAAATACAACAAAAAAGAAAAAACAACGAAAGAGAGAACAAAACAGAAGAGAAAATGCGACGAAAAGAGAAAACACGACAAAAGAGAAAACAACAACAGAAAGAAAAAACACCACAACAAATAAAGAAAACACAACTGCAAAAAAGAAAAAAACAACAACAAAAGAGAGGTAAAACACAACAACAGAAAAACAAAAACATAACAGAAAAAAAAACATGACAAAAAGATAAAACAACAATAAGAGAAAACACAAGAAAGGGAAACCACAACAGATGAAACTAGAAAAGCACTCTGAGAGCTCAGACCTCCCCCAAGCAGCTCATGGTCCCCCATTAAAAAGAAATGCCCTGACCCAGATTCAAACCAGTGTTGTTTTCGTCAGGCAGGACGAAAACTTAAATGACGACGTCAGACCCCTTTTTTCCTTGACGAAAATGAGACTAAGACAAACGTCACCAAAGCTCTGTAAAGACTAAAATGTGACGAAAATTATATTCATTTTCGTCAGACGAGAACGAGACGAGACTAAATTGTTATTAGGTGGAAAAACAAAGTTTCAAAACATGCTTTTTTTGTCCTAACAGTCACGCCCCCATCACACACGCACCAAAAGCCTTGCTCGCGCACAGCTGCGTGCACACACTCATACACATACACAGAGCGGCAGGTGGACGAGGCACGCGCAAACACACACCGTGGCGGCAGGCACAGCAGCGGTGCCCGGTGGCCGAAAAAAGAGGGATGATTTTGGTCCTACTTCAGATACAGTCCAAGTGACAATAAAACACAATGTCTTGTACGGGGACGGGGAGACGAGACAGACGACAGTTGTGGAGCCACAGCTTCCTCATGCTGCGGCTTCAAACTGTCGGGAAAGAACACCACGAACCTCAAAAGGCACCTTTTCGTCGACTAAAACTAGACTAAAACCTTTTGAGTTTTTGTCGGACTAAAACTAGACGAAAACTATCAAGGATAGAAATGACTAAAATGGGACGAAAACGAAGAACCATTTCGTCAAAATGACTAAGACTAAAACTAAATCTAAAATGCCTGCCAAAAACAACACTGATTCAAACCCAGGACCTTCTGGTTGTGAGGCGACAATGCTAACCACTACACCACTATGCCGCCTATCTACACCACTGTGCCGCCCATTTGTTATCGTTCAGCATTGAAAATTCCAACGACACCCTTATTTTTGTGTGTTCTGCATCACAGTATCCAGAATTTTGTCCGGATCACCACCAAAATTTAATGGGATCCTCCTGGGACTGATATGCACCTCTGGTGAAAATTTCAGGTCAATGCGTCTGTTACTTTCCCCGGAAAGTTGCTAACAGACAAACAAACCAACGCTACCGAAAACATAACCTCCTTTGCGGAGGTAATAATGACAAAAAGATAAACACAACAAAAAAAGAGAAAAGATAACGACAAAAAGAGAAAACAGAATGACAAAAAGAGATAACACAATAACATAAAGAGAGAATACAACAACAAAAACAAACAAAAACAAAAACAAAACCGAAGAGAAAATGCGACAAAAAGAAAAACAACGACAGAAAGAAAGAAAAAAACACCACAACAAATAGAGAAAACACAACGACAAAAAGAGTAAAACACAACAGCAAAAAAAGAAAACAACCACAAAAAGAGAACACAAAACAACAAGCCAGTGGATGTTTGTTTTTCCAGGGTTCAAACACTTAAATTAGCGAACCTAACATGGCGTTTTCTACTATTTACGGTAAATGCATTCAAATGATCCTGAATGAGCGAGCCAGCACCTTTAGGACTTCCACTTTTTTAAAATACGATGCTAATTACAGTAAATGAAGAATTTGCCCGGCTTGACCACAGTTCTGATTTGCAGTTGTTTTTTTTTAACTTTTGCTGTTGAATTTTCTCTTTTTGTGTTGTGTTTTTTTATTCGTTATGTTTTCTGATTTTCTTTTGTGATTTGCACCTCAGGGCCACCGTACTTCCCTATAAAAAGATGCAAAAATCAGACACCAGCGCTTGATAAGTAAAAACTGGTTCATCTTTCAAACTGCTGGCACTAATTAAATTTTTACACATCAAGATTGGTTTATAGAAAAAGCTCCACAGTAAGAAAATTACAACTCATATTCAAAAAGAGATCGAGGCGGCACTGTGGAAAACATTTACATAACGAGAAATCATTAAAAGGAAAACACAAAATGATGAAAGTGGAATTTTTTTTTTTTAATCTAATGTCAGCAACATGTTTTCAAAAAGTCATTACAGCTTCATTTTTAACTCTATTTGTGTCCTCAGCTCTCTGTAGACCTTAGTAAACTCTCTACTCTTTAAAACTGAGGACGCAGCATCTATGATTTCCAATTCTTCATTGAAAGGACAACTGGACTAACTTGAGACGTTCTGCCTTAGGCGTAATCAGACTCAAACAGACGAGCGTCTGGGTTTTTCTAAAATGTTTTGAAGGTGTCGCTCAACTTTGCCAAGTTTGTCGGGTTCAGGAGTGCAGCAGAGGAGTAATGCACTCCGAGCTGACAGCCTCCGAATGTTTTTAGGGCAAGTTGATGGATTTCATGCTTCAGCGTTTGAGATGTTGCATCACCAGAATTCACAGTTAAACCAACATCGTTCCCACAGCAACGAGGGGAGAGTTTCCTCAATGTAAAGACAGTTTCTCTTGCACACTGAGAATAAGAAAGCCAAATGATTCGAGCGTCGGAGTTCAACCAAAAGGGAAAGAACCCAAAATGCAGATAAAAAAATTAAAAAATGATTTATTTAAAAAGAAACAAAAACTTACTTCCAAAATGTCCAAGTAAAGATACTGAGGAAAACATTTCAAGGAGTCAACTGGGACACAAGCGTACGCACACATGGACATACAATGAACCAACAAGAGCAGAGGGGAAGACAGGGAATATAAACAGAGGATAATGAGCAACAGGTGAGACAAACGGGACACAGGTGAGAACAATTACTGAGGAGGGAAAACAAGCTGATAGACACAGGGAATAAACTACTACAAAATAAAACAAAAAATAAACAGTGAAAAGTGATCTAAAGAATAAAACACTGAGAACAGGAGGGAAACAAACTGAAAACTCACAAGACAGGACTACAGGGGGACAGGACCACTGGGGAAAATACACAGAAAATACACTTAAATAAACAAAACCAGGGAAAAACTAAATCAACAGAACATGAAATTGAGGTCCTATAACTGATATCACATTGGCTGATTTCATTATTATTTTCATAAAATACACTAAATGTTAAGTTTGCTGCTACAGCTTCATGGATGTGACTGAAGTTCATCTTTGTGCCTTTAATTAAAGTAAACTTGATTTTTCTGTGTGCAAATCAGGCCTGATGAATCTTTAACCTGCGGTGTTGACCATTTTCAGTCAGTACGTTTACATGACACCAGAGAAAACCGAATTATCGCCTTACTGCGATTAAGACCGGACAACTGAAGTGCATATAAACACCTTAGACCGACTATAATCGGAGTTTGAGAACTTTGATTAAAGGTGGAGTAGGCAGGAATCCATTAAAGAAGCATCTTTTTTGTGGTGTATATACAAAAAAGTTTTTAATATCAGTCAATAGATAGTAGTTATTGATGACATTTAGTAATATCACAATATCACTGTGTTCTCTTATGTCTGTGTAGTCAACATTTTAACATTTTTGAGTGGTCCGCTCTTTCTGACTGAAAACAAAGCCGTTCTTCGCCTCTCTCGACCTGAATGGTTGTGAGGCAGACGCTGCTCCCCCATGTCGTTCATGAGTCCAAACAAAGTTAGCGTGCTACAATATCGGACAGTAGAAACCAACCAGAATGTTCAGAAAATTGTCTGAATCCTCCTTTGGCCACGACTGCCAACACAAACAAGAAAATGAAGTAAATACCAGAGACTCTGGCGGAATAACGGGCGCTTAAAACGGAGGTCGACCGGACAAGAGCTAAAAAGCCAGGTCAACATAAACGATGGGGGACACTTCAGGATCTTGGTGACCCTGTAACCTTTCTGCTGGACAGGTAAACTGCTTTAACAAAGTAAGCCAAGAGTCCGTAACAGAAGTGTTTCTTGTCAAACGGGACCTGCTGTAGCGTGTTGTAGCACCGCTAAACTGTTGACCTCTGGTCCTGGACTATGTCACTTTATCCTAGTTGTAGAAGTCCTGCAAACATTGTGTTTGCTGGTAGTCTGTTGGCATCTACAGTAGCACCAATGCTTTTTACTTTCACACTGACTGGGCGCCATTTGTAATTATCTGAAGTATTTATCTGCATTATATCTGAATTTAATTGGAGCGATACAAGCGAGCAGGAGCGTCTGTTTGTGGGCGGGGCTTGCTGGAGCAGAGAGGGAGGGGAGAGGAGGAGCTGAGGGGAAAACTGGTTGGCAGGGGTAGAGTTTACATTCAAGATTTCTCCTAAAAACTGGAACTTCCTCAGATCCTGACTACCCCACCTTTAAGACACCCAGATAATGTGATTGGAATTTAATTTTCTCCACCATGTAACCAGCGTAGTCGGAGTATGATCACACAATGCATGTGCGCATGCGCCACGCCCCTGTAACCCTGGAACAAAAACACCAGAGGAGTAGCGTGCATCTGTGTCCATCATGTAGGACAAAAACAACGCTGTATGATGCTCCATCTTCTTGCTCCAAAATTCCCAGCAGCAGTTGTAGACACTTCTGACGTCTGGCACGGACCTGCTGTTATTGTTGATGGTTGTATGGGGTCGGAAACAGCGCCATATCGCCCCCTAGTTTTGGGGAGGAGGACACGTTCACGTCATAATTTGATTTTCTCAGCTACATGTATACGAGGACAAGGAGAGAAGTCCGAAGATAAACTTCAGAAGATGATCCATGAGGAATCCTCTCCACCTTTAACTCTTCCTCTCCACTAAACCAAACTGTGTCCACCTCATCCAGCAGCAGCAGCCTGGTGTTTATAAGCCTCAGAGATGTGGGGGTGAATTGTAGTGATTTGTCGCAGTGTGAAATGAAAGTAGGGGACAGTTGAAATGTTTGGCCTGAGAGCTGCTGAGTACCAGGGATGAAAAATTTTGAAATGTTTTGGTTTTACACTGAAGCACTCCTCAAACCTCATTCTCATCCTCATCCCGGCAGGTAGATGACTCATGCTTCCTCTCTCGTTCTCTCTCTCTCTTCTCTCTCTCTCATCAGAAATCATCCTGAGGTTCACGTGGATCTGGATTGTTTGGTGGGTCACATTGAGGGTCAGGAAAGTCTACACATTTTTAGATCACTCAGATCACTCTCCTCATGTAAAAGTTACAAAAGTAATCCAACCGATATGTCGCCTCATGAGCAGACGACCTGATGAATGACCGCAGAGATCATATTTTCACGTTCAGCTGAGATGAACACACCGTCTCTAACATCTCTAACACTCTGAGGCTTTTATTGCAGTTTCCTGTGTGTTTCCCGTCAAATTAAAAGTGTCCTCATTATCTCTGTCAAGGTAAAAATCTTCCTCTCTGACCCTCTCACAGCTCGTCTTCATATCACTGAGGACTCCAGAGAGCATTAATTCCTTTCATTAGACTGATGATTAATGAACCTGTTCAGGAGCTTTGTGGAGCTGATGTTAACCATCTCTGCGCAGGTTTGCTGAACAACGACCTGATCGTGGTGTAATTAGACGTCTGCTCTCTGTATGCTCATGTCCAATTATTCTCACTGGGGATTCTCAAATGATATAGTTTTTAATCGGTCCACAGCAAACCCTGGACCTCATTATGGATAATGTTCTCCTTTATATTTTCGGTGAACTTTGTAAACCGATCAGACTGAATGCTAACTGTTGTTCCTGACCTGAAAGTTGAAAAGTTACTGACTGATACAGGAGACCCTGAAGGAGTACTTGGTCACTAGTAATCATTTGAGCCACAGTGAATGCTGGTCTGCTCGACCCTTTTAATGGGAAACCACATGGAGAACCGGCATGAAAGCTAAGCTACAGATTTCTGCGGAATGGGCGACTATTAAAGGAGGTTGAAGTTTAAAGTTCGAGATTAAAAAAACAAACAAAATTATGTCAATAAAGTTGAAATTTCGAGATAACAAAATGTCAAAATGTCATGAAAAATGTTGAAATTGTGAGATTAAGAGAAAATTTAATTTTAAGATAAAAGTGAAAATTTTGAGATTAAAGTCAACATGAATAAAGTCAAAATTTTGACTTTTTAAAATTTCAACTTTGATCTTGAAATGGAAGTTAAAATATCTCCTTCCTGTTATTTTTTCTCTTCTAGTGGACCTAACCTGGTATTTCCACCGCATCTAGAATGGCTCTAATCCAGAACAGTGATTTTCGTTGTACGCCAATTCCTACCGGATCTGTTTGTGAGGTGAAGTTCGTGGCAGATTACGGCCAGCGGGAGTCACAAGAACTCACAAGAATCCATAGATTCATGTGCAATCGCGCGATAAGTTGTCTCTATAAAGACAGCCACATAGACATATAAGCAGTAGATTGTGTCCTTCCAGAGGAGGAAATCTACTTCTAGACTTCTAGAATCAGCATCTCCTCATTCATGGTGTCATTGGGGTGAAATGACGTCTAAAAACCTTTCACTTGCTTATCTCTGCCAGATTGCATGGTGTGATATACGATCCTCCTGAAACATTGAGTGTTTTATTTTGAAAAGAAGCTGGATGTTTTATTTTGTGTCTGTGTCAGACTTCCTTTCCAGTACGGGTTAATCTGTGCTGAATTTACCTGGCATGCTCCAGCGTCCGGAAAAAATAGAACTCTTGTGATCAGCTGTGGTGTCCGGCGATCCACAGAGGAACGGAAAGAAGCCGGTGGAAATTGACACGTTAACTTGAATGGTTACGATCAGCCACGATCTGCCTTTTAGTAGCCATTCAGGGTACCGTGGAAATTGCCGGTAATCCTCTTTCATGCTAAACACCTACACTAGTTAAAAAAAAACACTTTACCCCCTTAATGAGAAACCAGAAGGAGAACTGGCATGCAAACTGGCTCCAGTTTTCTGCAGAACAGGCAACTGAATTATTTTGAGAGACTCTGACCCAAACACTTATCTATGTCCTGTCTGCAGAAAACTGTAGTCCAGCCTCTATGCTGGTTCTCCACCTGGTTTCTTATTAAAGGGGACCAGCAGACCAGCATCTGTTGGGGTTGATACACTCATTAGTTTCATGTAGATAAATATCACAAAGAGGACTTTTTCTCTTTGATTTTAAAATACAGAGAATTAATTCAGTGTTAATGATGCCGTGCTTTTACTTTGAAAGAATCTCAGTGACTTCCTGCAGGTATTAAACTTCCAATGAAGAGAAAATGCTGAATGCAGAGTTTAAAAACTGTAATCTTGAAGTTTTCTTTTAGCTTAAATAATTTACATCGTATAGATCTGAGAGGAAAGACGTTCAGTCTTTGTTTTTGCTTGTGTTTGTATTGATCCGCTGACTATTTAAAAGTGAAGGATTTCACCAATATAAAATCTATAATCTTGCTGGAATTTTGCACCTTTAAGCATCCGTCTTTAGCTTGTTTAGTTCCCATCAGCGAAACGAACCAAAGCAGATCAACGTGCCAGAAAACGACCAAACGTTTGTCATAATTCAGGCGTTTATTTCCGCAGCTTCACAGCGCCCAGAGTCCCATCTGTCTTCAGGGTTCTCCATCGTTTGTAGCGACAGGATGAAAACTAGTTGTGACCTACAGGAACTTTTTTGTCAGAAGCAGGCTTCCATAGATGAAGTGAGTGATCCATCAGTGAGCCACATGCTGACAGGATGATAGATTCACCCCCAAAACTGTCTGACTGTTGGAGGTGCTGATGGAGCCTGGCAGCTTCAGCAGATCCAGTCTGATCTGGAGCTGCACCAGGGGGACGGGGGGTTTGACTATGAAAATAAGACCCTCCAAATCCAAGACTGACTCTGAATAATAATAATAATAATAATAATAATAATAATAATAATAATAATACACTATTCAGACTATTTCAGAGTTTGTTCAGAGGGATGTTTATTCTGCACTATTAGATCATTGACTCATAGCTGTGTGTATGCTAACTACGGTGGGCCTTAAGGTCAAGTGGGCAAGAATTTCACAATGAATAAAAATAAATAAAAAAAGACTAAAAAAGTAAAAAATGTTTTGTAAAACAAAAAAGTGGTCCTTGAATACAAAAAAACCCCACAAAAACATATCAGTAAACTATGAAAGAGGATTAAGGCCACAAGAAGAGAACAAAAAAATAATTACAGGAGGGAGATTTTTTAACTTCCATTTCAAGATTAAAGTCGAAATTTTAAATAGTCAAAATTTCGACTTTATTTGTGTCGACTTTAATCTCAAAATTTTTACTTTAATCCCAGAATTTAAATTTTTAAATCTCAAAATGTTGACATTTTTCACAACATTTCAACATTCTGTTATCTTGAAATTTCAAATTTAATCTCAAAAGTTTAATTTTTTGTCTCAAAATTTTCACCTAAACTAATTAAGAAAACACTTAAAATCTCGTAAAAACAAAAAAAATTCTTTACCTCTTTACCTCTTCACTCAAATGTTTTTGCATTTCATGAAATATTTTGTTGTTTTGTAATTTAAAAAAAGTCTCTTGAAATAATTCAGCCAGGTGGACCCTCTACTCTTTAAAACTGAGGATGCAGCATCTACGATTTCCAGTTCTTCATGGAAAGGACAACTGGACTTACTTGAGACATTTCGCCCAGTTGTCCTTTCCATGCGGTGATCTCCACTCCAGAGTCCTGTCTGTTTTCAATGCCCTGAAGATCAGGATCATCCAGTCATCCAGCCCCCTTTCAGTTCACCACCATTTGTCCATCTTCATTATGTCACGAACCAAAACAATTGACAAACATGTTTGTCCAATCATAAAAAAATATAATCCCGTTTGATTTCAGGTAGACGTGTTCTTAAAAAGTCCAGTTTCAGTTAGACGTATGCAGTAAATTGTCTTCAGTAGCTTTAAAATACATGAGTAAAAGTGATGAGTGATTTAACCCTCTGCATAGAGTGAACAAAGAGAGAAATGGGTCATTTAGACTAAAATGTTTGTCCCATCAACTGTATAAACTATGGACAACTTGGTTCCGCCTCCCGTCAGTATACGCATTTGAAGCTGAAAAGTTCTCGGTATTTCCAGAATTTTTCTTAGTTTCCTGAAACCAACATTACGCAGTAGTGTTGAATGCATTCGGTGGGAGAGTCGCTTAGATTCGCTGTGATGACACTCGTCTCAAACAGCATATCCCCCGGGTGAGCTATGCAATCTTCATGCGCTCATAGGATGTATCAAGTGTCAATCACAGAAAACATGAACCCCCTAATAACTTTTAAAAATGGAGCTGTACAGAAAAAAGAGGACTTGAACACAAACCAGTCTGACAGTAACTTCATGTCAACATCACAAGCAGGGGGGAGAAACATTTATATTCTGTGTCATTAATTTATAAAGTTTGTCCACAGCTCCATAAGGAGGCAGGATTAATGACCTATACTGCAGCCCGTCACCAGAGGGTGCTATTCTCACTGAGGCTTCACCCAGAGAGGAGGCAGACAGCGTCCATTCTATATACAGGCTATGGTTTGTCCACGTCAATGAGCAGTCGTGGGGTTTCCTGGGATTTTGAAGACAGCCCCAAGTGGACAGTCAGGGAACTGCAGATTTCTGTGCTTCGACTTTTTATTGCTAGAGGTTTCTGTTTTAAAAAAAAAAGCCAGTTGAGGATATTCTGACTCTGACTTTATTCAGGTTTATCTGGAAATAGCTGACAGTCAATGACCTCCAACCAGAGAGTCAGAAAGTGCCCCCTGCTGTTCAAAAAAGGCACTAACACTCACTCTTCATCTCTCTGATTCGAGGCGCTTTTACCTCCTTGGATACAAAACCAAACTAAAAGCACTCGAGAGTCTGCAAATCAAAGTTCCTGACTTGGAGAATAAGCTGAAATTATGTTTGTTTCCGACACACTCACTAAAACACTCAGACGGTGTTGATATAACTCAACCCTTTAACTCAGAGATTTCACTCCTGTTTGGAAGCTCAACCCTTTAGCTGTAAATCAAGACTGACATAAATCCCAGTAAATATGACCCTCTGCATCACACACACACACACACACACACACACACACACACACACACACACACACACACACACACACACACACACACAGATATAAACCCTCTCTGAAGCAGCACTTCACATATAAATGTTGCAGGCAGACAAGTGTGAAATTGTATTTTTGATCCTGCAGTGTTACACAATTCAGACATCTATAAACAGCCGTGTTTGTCAATATGAAGTGTTGGAAACTTGGTTGGGAAAGCTGCCTTCAGGTAGAGAAAATAAAAAAACAAATCAGACTTTTCTGAAACCTGAGCTCTTCTCAGTCCATCAAACTTTAAGGAGAGAAATCAGCGTCAAAGCTGAGGACTCAAATGTGCGTCAGAGGAGCTAGAAATAAATGACAATAAGACTGACAGGTGTAAGAGGGTGAGTAACCGTTAGCACCTACAGATTCATGACCCTGAAAATAACTCAAACTCTCAGTTTGTTTGTGCGTTTGAACCTGATTTATTTAAAAATACCATTTACTTAGAAAACTGCTGCAAATATCCATTAACAGGTATACAAATCAACTTTAAATTTTATTAAAATACAATCAAGAGTGTGAATGAGATTAAATTAGACTATTATGTATCTAGAGAGCAGCTTGTAAATTAGGTTTGTTTGAGAAATGGATTAATCACGGCAGTTTGTTTATGTTGGAATCTATTAAATCAACGGACAAATCGATTAATCACTCCATCCAGAGAATTTCCTCACAAATGAGCTCATCCAGCACAGCCTCTGAGACTAAATCCTCTCCATTTAAAGCAGCAAATTGGGTTTAATAGCAGCATTTAACACGTTCACAGGACTGACAATCTCTATTTCACAGCTCTCAGGAGCAAATAAAGAGAAAAGAGAAAATTTGTAATGCCAAAACTCAGTTTTGACCGACGAAATGACCGATTCTGACCAATTAAACCGAAATTCACCGATTAATTCCGCTGCAATCCAGCTGTTTATCGATGTCACTGATCCGAATAAGTTATAAATGCTGTTCTAAGTTATCTCTCCTGCTTAACCAGATCCAGAATCTCTCTGAGCCTCTATCGATTCAAACTGATGGATTAAATGCATCGAAACGTTCCTGCAACATTTGTCCTCGGTCCTCTTTCACAAACAAATCCAGCAGACATAATCTGGATTAGGATCAAAAACAATAAAACACAGAGGAGAGCAACACTCACCTGTCCGGGGTGTCCGTGTTGTGTCTGTGCGTAGAGAAGCGGGTTGTGTCTGGAGATGTTGCTCGCTGCTGCGCTCTGTGTGTGTGTGAGTGTGTGTGCGTGCGTGCGCACATCACTATTTGTGTGTCTGTGTGTGTGTTTTTGTGTGTTTATGTACAGCTCCGTGCAGAGACCACCAGCATAGGGATCTCAGTGCGGTTTGAGTCAGGAGAGAAACTGCGCAGTAAAACCTGATCTGGAGTCAGCAGGGGGATTTAATTTAGAGGTTTGTTCAACATTGGTCTTAAAGGTAACCTCCGGAGGGATCAGGTCTGCAGACAGGAGCAGGACCGTCTGATGAGAGCAGCACAAACATGTCTCTACAACTGTCTCTGCTAAGCCTCAGCTCCTGTGAAAGCTCACCCTGTGTCTCAGAGTCCCAGTATCCGTCTCTGCTGAGTCTCAATTATGTCATCCTTCAGTCCTGTTTTCTCTGCTTCTGTCTCTGCAGAGTCTCAGATTCTCAGACTTGTTTCTGCTAAATCTTTATTTCTGATTCCGAGTTTATGGTGCTTCAGTTTGACAATTTCTGTCCTCTCTTTATCTCTGTTTTCTGTTACTGTCTTTGTTGACTCTCAGTTTCACTGTAACTGTCTCTGTTGAGTCTCAGTTTCTCTGATACTGTCTCTGCTGAGTCTCAGTTTCATTGTAACCTTTTCTCCTAAGTCTCAGTTCAATGGTAACTGTCTCAGTTTCATTGTAACTGTCTCTTTTGAGTCTCAGTTTTACTGTAACTGTCTCTGCGGAGTCTCAGTTTCTCTTTCACTGTCTCTGTTGAGTCTCAGTTTCATTGTAACTCTTTGTTGAGTCTCAGTTTCATTGTAACTGCCTCTGTTTAGTCTCAGTTTCTCTGATACTGTTTTTGTTGAGTCTCAGTTGAACTGTAACTGCCTCTGTTTAGTCTCAGTTTCTCTGTTACTGTCTCTTTTGAGTCTGAGTTTCACTAAAACTATCTTTGTTGAGTCTCACTTTCTCTGTTACTGTCTTTAAGTCTCAGTTTTACTGTAACTGTCAGTGTTGAGTCTCAGTTTCACTGTAACTATCTCTGTTGAGTCTCAGTTTCATTGTAACTGTCTTTGTTGAGTCTCAGTTTCATTGTACTGTCTTTGTTGAGTCTAAGTTTCATTGTAAGTGTCTCTGCTTAGTCTCAGTTTCTCTCTCACTGGCCCTCATTTATCACGACTGAGGGCAGATCTGAGAGCAGGATTCATCCTATGATAGGACACACGTGAGATTTATGAAAGGGTTCGTATCTGACCAACCCCAGCGTACGTATGATCAGGTCTTGATAAATGCGGCGTACTGAGGTCAAACATGAAAGAGGAGATGTACTGGAATGATGCGAAACTTATCCGAGCTGAATGTAGATATCCTCACATCTGTGGTGGAACCTAACAAGGATTTTCTCTTTGGAAGCATCAAAACTGGTATAAAAGCAGTCCAGAAAATTCCTGTCTGGAGCAGGATTATGGTGGCGGTGAACAGCGCTGCAGCGGAATAGTGGACAGTGGCTGAAGTTTGAATAAATCATTAGTCAGTAAGTTGCTCATGATGATGAATTATTATCTCATACATGCTTCATATTTTTTTATTGCCATGACATAGGGTACGTTGCTCCTTTTATTTAAAGTATTTAGTTTTAATTTGTTGCGTATTTGTAATGTAGAGCAGACTGGAGAGTCTGACAGAGGCTGACAAAATAACAAAAATAATCATTAACGTCACCAAACGATGTGTTGCTGCCCCTGAGGCACATTTTTATGGATTTCTATTGGATTTTTATCACTGATTAAATAGCAAGAGCACTTTCTAAACTTATATTTTACATCAGAATCCATGTATAAGGTCCTGTCTCCTCTGTACAGCACCTTTGTGGAGTCTCTCCTTGTTATTGTTTTCCGGGCATCGGGTCCTCACGTTGCACCGGCACAGCCAACGGCACTTTATTTGCCAGAGCAACATTGTGCAAAACTGTACTGGCCCAAATGATGTCCCACACCCTTTTAGGAGTGTACAACAACGTCCCCACTGCTGGGCCAAGACAGAGACACCTGCCTTTTAGGAGTCGCAGCTACATAGTGGCATGTGTGCATAATGTTGAAACGGCGCTCCTGCTCTGTGGCAGTGTTTCTGGGCAGAGTTATCAAATAGGCCTATTCACTAAGGACATAACAAATTTATTTTATTTTATTTACGTCTTAATCTTTCAAGAAATCTGGCTGTTACTTCAGCAGCTCTATGAACCCAAAATAAAGGTTTACTTTGATCAGAGCAGATGAGTCTCTGAAGAAGATGAAAACCATGAATTCATGTTTGAGAGTTTTGCCTCGTTCTTCTGAACTAATTTTGTATTTTGGGAGTTAGCTGTCTCTGTCACTGGCATGCAGTCGTTTTCTGTCTCTGTCTCTCTCTCTGTCTCTCTCTCTCTCTCTCTGTCTCTCTCTCTCTATTTCTCCTGTCTCATTCAGAAACAGTCATGTTTTTGATCATCCTGCTCCTTTGCTGTAATTCCTCTGAGATGCAGGTGAGAACACATTCATTCCCTGTTGTACATCATCTGTTTCTGCTCCTTTATTTCTCATTTCCGTTATTCTAACCATCCCACCTTTACATCATTTCCCTTTCATTTAACTCATCTATATATTCATATTTCATTGACTTGATTTCTTCCCTCACATCCCTCTCATTCCCTCCACTTTGACAGCAGCTATTAAATGAAGGGGAGTTTCTCATTTCGTCTTCCCACCTGAGTCAGACCCTCAGGCCGCAGCTGCTCTGTATGAAAACTCATTAAACACAAATAAAATGTCTCTCAAGGTCTCACCTTGTGTCACAGTCAAATTACCCGTTTAAATAAATATATCAATGCACATGTAAGAGAAAAAAAAGTCATGATTGATACTCATGTGTGCTATGAGACTGTCTCTCCCAGATGAGATGAAGTCACCGCAGCTCTTTGTGTCGCTGTGACTGATTCAGAGCAATTTGTGGTAATAATGAGTTTGGAAACCTCAGAGATGGACTGAGAAGAGAGGGAGAAGAGAGTGCAGCAGAGAGACAATGGAGATGAAGAAGGCAGAATAATGAGACTGAGGGACACTAGTTTGCAGAGTTCTTCAGGTTCTGCTCTTTACAGTCATCTAGAGTTCCTTTGGACCCGGTTTCAGGAGTTTGTTCTGGATAACATCGAGCTGCTGGTGAGGAAGTTTGATAACTCTCCTCAAATCTGTTGCTTTCACCTGCTCCTCGCATCCATATTTTCATACCTGAAACACACATGACATCCATGTAAGTGAATGTGTCGCTAATACTAACACACTGCTAACTCCTCCATGTTCATACAGCTAGATAAACCTGTCAGGTGCTCTCTGATCTGCTCCTGAATTCACCCCCCACTGTTGAATGAAAACCTTTTTTTTTTTTTTAATTGGCCTCCCCTTCAAAATAAGAGCGTTATTATCCTGACAATCTGATGGGGTAAAGCAGGCCTCACCTTTAAAGGCATGGTCGACGATTGTGGAGATTGGTAGTTATTATGAACCTTGTTTCTATGGCGATCATGGTCCTATAGTGCGATCTCCACAAAGTGAAGAGAAAAAAGAATTTGCAAAAAATCTGTTCACCCTAGCAGGTGCAGGGCTGAAAAACATTGACCAATGGGAGCCATTCATCCCGGACAGCTCCTATTGGTCTGTCTCCTGCCCCGCCTCTCTATCCAATCACCTCACTGTATTCGACACACTACTCTCCTGTAGTTCAGACTCGTCCCCTCCCACTCTCCTGGCCCTCCTTGGAGCTCTGAGCGGCTAAAAGTAACGTAGCAGCTTAGCTACAGAAGCTGTGATGTAGGAGGATGCAAAAAAAAAAACCACTTCTGCTCACCCCACCGCCAAAAGTGGGAAGATGTTACATAAATAACTCTTATTAGTCTCTGTAATGTCAACACAGTAGCTGTCCAGGCAGCTGCAGATGGCGCTCGCTAGCAGAGCTGGCGTTTACTGCCGCTAGTCACTAACAATCTGACATGGTGACTCCTATTTGAAGCCAGCGTAGGATCTTCTGCCGGCCAGCTTTTTGCTCTGCCAGAGGGGGTGTGGGTGTGTTTGTGTGTGTGTGTGTGTGGGGTGGGACCCTTTTTTCAAATCTGCCTCAACAGCTCAGTTTTTTTCAACTGAAGCTCAGATCATCATTTATGCCTTTAAGAGAACAGGGATATGCTGTTAGATTATGTTTTAAATTAGATTAAATTAGATTAAGGACTTGGACACATGCCAGAGAATGAAAGACCAAAAACTCTCCATAATTAAGGTTAACAGGTGATTCATGAGCCAATGGCAAAGCCAATCTTAGTTATTCTCTGAAGATGATGTAAAGAGGGTGGAGGAGGAGGTGGGGGTGACTGCTCCTCATTATTCAGGATAAGGTGAGAAGTATGGATGGGGGATTATGGCACATAATTACAGAGCTTGGCAATTCATTAGCTGACATATTGGATGATTACACTCATTAAAACTATTCATGAGAACTGAGCTCTTCAGAGGGGTCACTGTGTTAGTATGAGAAGGAGTCCACCCTGAGAAAATACAATACTAGATTAAACTTATGAAATTAAAATATCAGAGTATTTTTGTTTATAATTCTGATTTTCATTTATTTATAAATAAAAGAGTGAAAATATTCTGATTATAACTGTGGGAGAGTGAAAACCTGCAGTTCCTCAAATGTCCACTTGGGGCTGACTGCAGAGACAAATGCTGCGTTCAAGTTACCTCAGAAGTCAGATGTTGGAGTTGAAAATGACGTCACACCCGAGTTCCCAACGTTTCAGTTACCAAGTTGGAAAAAGCTAAATCGGAGGTGGAAACAAGATGGCTACATCTACGAAAGTTATTTTAGCACTTGCCTTATATTTGGACAATGCAAGCGCTAAAATAACTTTAGTAGATGTAGCCAACTTGTTTCCACCTCCAATTTTGTTTTTTCCAACTTGGTAACTGAAACGCCGGTAACTCAGGTGTGTCGTCATTTTCATCTTGGACTTCTGGCTT